ATTTAATATAGCCTTAATTTTTAAATTCTTTCCTTGATTAAACAAAAAGTGTTCAAGTTTATATAAGTCACAGCAGTAATTTTTGCTGCATAAAGAGAAATAAAATATTATCTAAAATATTATTATGTGAATAAAATAGCAGTGCAGAAAGTACTGATGCAATTTCACAATTTTATGATCTATTAAATAGTAATAAAGCTCTCTTAATCAATAAATTAAAATCATTAAGACAGGCATAGAGAGCTGGAGATCATTATTGGTCGCGAATTATACAGATTAAATAATAATAAACATTAATAGGTTGAAAATTCAGTTTTAATAATACATAGATGTTTAGACAATTTAAGAGCGGACATTTCGACTTATATTTAAGTCATCTTCAGCGCATGTTAATTCTCGGAAAGTAAGCAGATGCTGTACGCACGCAGTAAACATATTTAATGAATTTCAATTCGCAGTAAAACGGTAGGGAGATCATCTTACGGTTATATCCATGAATGAAACAGACCTTACAAGTTTAGGTTAATAGGCCTAAATTTTGTGTGGTTCTAATGGACGTTTGTCAAACCGCAGACCAATAGTCAGAAATATCATGATGAGTCCGAATTATATTAATTTATCTGTCACTGGAAAAACTTTATAAAACTGTTTGTTACTTCCTTCTTCGAAGAACATCTATGTATTATTAAAACTGAATTTTCAACCTATTAATGTTTACTATTATTTAATCTGTATAATTCGCGACTAATAATGATCTCCAGCTCTCTATGCCTGTCTTAATGATTTTAATTTATGATCTATATTTTTCAGGGTATTAAAAATAATTTATAAGCGTAAAAAACAAATCTTATAAAGAATAAGATACAAAAAAACAGCGAATTTTATTTCCTACAATACATTACGCATGAAAAAGAAAGATGCAAATTTTTCTTCGATAGTCTATGTTTATTGTAAACGAAGTAATTGTAAACAAAAAATTCAATTACAATTCTGCAATAAACTCAGTCATGTCAGTCATAAAAATATATGAGGAAGATAAAAATGCTTTTTTGTTGTTATAATGCATACATTATTTGTTTTTTTAAACCTTTTGAAAAAAAATTCAAAATTAATTTTAAGAATCCTCTTAAAAAATCAATAGAAGCTATATAGAACAAAAACTAATCGTAAAAATTGAATGCTATTTTTTGATGAGATAATTTTTAGGAATAATCTTATCAAACGTGACTTCTTAGAATTATGTAATAAACATATATTCAAAATTATATCACGTTTTCCTTTTAGTTGCTATATATCCGCACATTTGATAAAATTTTAAAGTAATAAAATTTTTACCAAGGTCTTTTAACATCATTGAAATTAAACGACGAGCGTTACGTAGGTATTATGACAAATGCACGAGCGACATTCCAAGCGAAGAAGTTATGGTATTACAACATCGGTATTTCAAGTTCGTTGAAACAAATGCGATGGTTTGATCTTTCCGAAGCTGACAGTTCCAATACAAAAATATCACATAAATATTTTTGTTTATTATTAATAGATAAATTAACGAACGGTATTTTTTGTTATTAAATTTCGCGAGCAAATAAAAATGATATATCTCTCATGTATATATCTTTTAATGTTACTACGTCTTTCTATCAATTTATGTTAAGTCTGAAGACGTAGATATCTCAATTAAAAAAAAAGAATTTATGGAAGATATATTTTATGCATTGTATCGTAAGAAAGAAGTGTTGTTTTTCGTAAAATACATATGATATAAAATTTATTAAACGATTTCTAGAATATATTGAAATAATGTTATGTTAAAAATGTAAAGGATATTAAACATGAATAGAAATATGATTCGTATTAATTCTATCGAAAAGAAGTCTCTACCCGATAAATATTTGATTAATGATTTTTTTCTGTAGACTTCTAAAAGACATATATTTTATATATTCTAGAATCTATTCTATTATAATTTAAATATTTCTAGTGAAATTTCGAAACAATAGACTTGTATATAGATACAGTTATAAAGATAAAATATTTTAATTCGTATTTCAATTTTAAAGAAAGTCATATATAGAATTTTATTTCGCAATTATTCTGTATAACATGGAATAAAAGAAACAAGAGGTTCTTAATTACTTCAAGCATTCGAAATTATGTGTATTTTGGGCTTCGACACGTGCGATACAATTAAGAAAAAACCAGAAATTTTAATGCTAATTATATTATATTATTAATGTAATCAGATCTGATTGGTAAATATAATTTGCCGATTATTCGACTTGGATTCATCCGAATGGATTCAATGGTTTATGATTTCAATATTACAAGAATATTTCGTAGTAGCTAAGTCGTGGCAATGGTGTCACGGGTAAAGTCACAGACGTCGTAATGCTAGACTTTCTACAGACGATGGCCAAGACCGAAAGGCGGGACGTGCTTTGCATAAAATTGCGCCGCGAATCTTTCCAAATTCATTTCTCCGAGTGCTAATTTGCGCATCGAGGCGCACACGATTGCTTCTTTCGTTAAGGAGGAACAGAATCAGTTATGTCAAGAATTAATCAACCTAACGTATTGCGAGATTTATAAATTTAATATTGCACAAAATCAACTTTTAGACTTTTCAAATATAAAATTAATAATTGATCTGTAAGAGTTAAAACAAAGCCTTTCTTAAATTATATTATCTTGCAGATAATATAATTTAATTTCAAAATCTAAATATCAAATTTTTAATTTAAATTGAATTTAAATTAAGAAATTTAAATAATTTTTAATTGATATAAATTAATTAATTTATATTGAATTAATTTTTTAGGGACTACTATAATTTTAATTGTATGATACAAAAATTCATGAAAATAAAAATTTTAATTGGGAGTCTTTAATTTTAATTCAAATCTTTATTGTAATTCATCAAATCTTTCAATCTTCAAGTTTTTAATTTTAATTCAAATCTTTATTGTAACTTACAAATGAATTATTAATTTTATATTTTAAAAGACTATAAATATTTTGCACAATGTCAAATTTATGAATATTGAAATGTATTAGATTAATTAACTTTCAACGTAACTATCCAGTTCCTTTTAAACAATTGCAATTGAAGCCGTTAAATCATTTCAAATAGTAAAGCTATGAAATACACATACATAATGAGTATATGAGTTTTAATATTTTCGTCTATAACATTTTTATTCAACACTGTTTTATTATTTCTTGCTTTAATTATTTACTCACTCTTGTATAACAAATATTTTTAAATGCTAAAATGTTACTGTGATACTTTTAATTAAAATACGAAGTCCAAGAATTATAGAATTGTTAACAAATTGTTAACAAATAAGAATCTGCTGCTCAAATTAATTGAATTATTGGAAAATAACGCGGTAGAAAATAAAATAAAATAAATGATATCGAAATATTAATGCAATATGTATCAATATGTATTATTAACCTAATTAATAACAGATCTTTTGAGCTGAATCAGATCATAATGTATCAGATTGTAGTATTTTATAGCATGTAATGTAAATCAAAGTCGCGAGTTCTGCGATCGTATAAAAACAATTAAATTTGAAAAAAATCGATAAGAGATCTTAATATATTATAAACGCATTACAGCTTGTTTTTATACACATGTTTGCATAAAAATGCTTTGCATGAGATAAAAATCCAAATTGGTAATTCTATACCATTGACGCAATTTGTTATTTTAAAAAAAAACAGACTTTTAGGAAAAAAACTAGTATTCTACTATTGCAAATATAATTTATTTTTAAGAGATAAGTATAAAGATATCGATTTTTCACAGTAAAACATATGGTGACTCATCTTTATATGTGCAGATATTATATGTGTAGATAATAACGGTCACGCTATGTTACACGAAACCACTTATACTCGAAGCTCGATCTGGTTTTATATTGTCTTGTCGAAATAAATCTGTGGAGTGTATTTATTTCGTTTGTATACACATTTGGCATCTCTTATTAGCATACTGCATATATAATGTTAAATTTATCACGAAAAGATGACGAAATTCAATTAGATATATTTTTGACACGAGTCATGGATATTTATATGCATTCAACCCGGAAAAACCTAAACCGGAATTTGAAGAAGGCATTAATGAACCGGGTAATAACGAAGTCACCTAGGTATATTTAATGTTTCTTGGCGCGCGTATTCACGCAAATTACAATGCATACACTTATCACTGCACTTTGCAATCTATATGACTTATACAAATTCCCAAGTTAATTATCGCGAAAAAAGATCGTGAACATGAACAAACATGTGCTTGTCCTTCGAGGAGCTTTTTGTTAAAGAAAATTACCTAAAAATTTTTTTAAAGAAAATATCTTAATATTTTTGTATTAAATTTTTTCAAGAAAATTATCTTAATATTTTTTCGTCAATTTTTCGTCTTCCTGAATTTCGATCATAACAAAAATTCCGCCGGTCATGAGGGAAAAAAAGGCGCGCGAAACAAATGATATACCTGGAAAAACATTGCGTAAAATATGTGTAACAAGGCAAATTTTTCTCTCAACATAAAGAAAGCGTAATGTGATTTTCACGAGTAACAACACATTTTAAGATTAAGCACGCGTGATTAAAAGTCGCGTTCGATTATCGAATGATAAGGCAACTTTTCACATATAGATTTTCACGCGAAAAAGCCTCGTTAAACCCACCATACGCGGCCAGGATTATGTTGTAACGATCAAATGCGATTTCATTATCTCGCTCGTCCATGTTGCTCAAAAATTGACCAATCATTCGCGCGGGCAACCGTTTCTACGAAGGAACAAGAACTTACGTTAGAAGCTTTCGTACATAATAAATGCATTATTCGAAATAAATAGAATGCAATATTTTGACGGAATGTAATTTGCCGGATGCTTGTCACGCGAAATGATGAAAGAGTTAGAAGTGAAATATGTCAGTCGTGTACGTGTATCAAGGTAACGAATTCTAGAAAAACCTTATACCTGGCAGGATCGACATTCGACAAATCCCCGTAATTCATCCTGTTGTCTCGGTTGACGGGCTTGCGAGTGCACGCGCACCAAGTTACGCTCTCACCGAGGGAAGAAAGGAAACGTCGAGAGAGAGACGGCGGATCGCGAGTCCAACAGAGAGGAGACGACGACGTTCCTCGTTCGGCTCGCCGCTTTTATACCTTCGCGCGAGGGACGCGTGTTGTCAAATACGAGATTAACCAACGACGCTACGATGTCGTACGATGCGTTACGACGAAACTAAAAAGACGAGCGAGCTAAGAAGAGCGGGGAAGTGCAACACGTTTCTACGGAGCATCGCGGAGCGGAAACTAGCAAGGATCTCTCTCTCTCCCTCACCTTTCGTTTTCTTGTCGTGAGCGACAGACGATTCGACGAACTCCGACCGTCGCGATCACGGATTCTTATCGCGCGCCACGTGTATTGATGGGTTAATAAGCGCGCGGGTGGGATGGGCGATACCGGGATACACAGAGATCGCACTACGCGGACACCAGTCGAGATGGATCACGCAGCCAGGCGGTGACAATGGCACGAGAGCGGCGCCGCGCCGCTCCGCGCTGACAGCTGGCCGCTTTCCCCACCATGTGCTCGAGTCGGACCACAATCCGCGAACACGATTGGCTGGCGCGAACCACGCGAGCACCTCGTCTCCTCTCTGTCGGCATCGACGCGATCCTCGTCCTCTTCCTCTTCTTCCTATTCCGCGTGTATAGCCTGATCCGTCACGCACGGTCACACCATCGTAAAATAGATCTCCTGGACCGGCGACGATATATGTGTAATTTGATGTATTAAGAGCGCGATATAGTGACTCGCCTGGCGAATCAAGAGGTGTATGTCAGTCTCGTATAGGTTTTACAAATGATATCTCTGAAAAGATATTGATGTATGATTTTCTTATCTCTGTAAAAATGTTAAAAATATTATAACATAATAGATCTCCTGGACCGGCGACGATATATGTGTAATTTAATGTATTAAGAGACGCGATATAGGCTCGCCTGGCGAATCAAGAGGTGCATATCGGTCTCGTATAATAGGTTTTACGAATGATATCTCTGAAAAGATATTGACGTATGATTTTCTTATCTCTAATAATAAGTAAAAATATCGTTAAAAATATTCTGACTTTTTATGTCTGTAAAGTCTATCATTAAAGTTTTTCAATCGAGAGGTGTGTACTTATAATTGATCGTGTATTTATTTCAGAAGTATTTTTATTTCAAATCGTATAACTCGATATCACGAGGTCTATTTCTTTTAAATTACAAAAAAATGTTTTTAATATCGCGCTTTTCCACGAAAAGATATATTTTAGATTGTAGATTCGTATGTATTAAAATTTCTGTTATTAAAGAAACTCGTACAGATTATTATAAAATTATTATCTGAATATATTTATAATTATGATGATATTTATATGATAGATTAAATATTTTGAAAGATACTTAAATACTTTGAAAAACTTCTTCGACTCTCTCCCTTTCGATATTTCTGACTGTTATAAATAAAAACAAATTATATGATCAAAATTTAAAAGTGTAGACATCTATGAAAAAAATGCAAAATTAATCATCAAAGGTTAGTGATAAATGGTAAGGAAAGTAAAAAGATAAAAATAACAGATTCCTACATTTTTGACGAAGGATAAAGTAGCTTCGGAGAGACTTGTGTTAATTTATAATTTTCAACAAAAAAGTGCAAAAAATTGCAACATTTTAAATATTTAATAATAATTTATTTGCAGTGAGAGCAAGCAAATATTTACACATAATGTTAATATAATTCTTATAATTCTAATTATCTTAAATAATAATGAAAATATTATGACATCAATTAAAACTTTATATAAAAGTTTATAAAAGAATCAATCTTATTGTATATCATACAATAAAATGTTTAATCTAAGTATCATTAGGATACTGATGCTAATTTCAAATGGCAGATAAACTAACAATATTTATGAATCATATTAAAATTTCAGAGAAATTTGCATTTATTCAAAATAATATAATAATGAATTTTATAACTTGAGAAGAAAGGAAATAATATGTATATATTTTCTCTTATATCACCGATGGTTTGAGGTGAGGATTAAGATAGTATTACAATATAATAAAAATATAGAATAAAGATGACAGTAAGGATATTATACATTATAAAATAACAATCTTCTCTAAAATTTTGAATAATATTACATGGTCATAAAAATACATGATGATATAAGTTTGTCATAACATTATCAATTTACAATGCATATTTTGTTTAAGTACTATAACTTATTATATATGTACAATTATATATATATATATATATATATATATGTATATATTTACAATTTATATTTTAGGAACTCTCTCTGACTCAATTATTTAATTCTCTTTGGATTTGATCCAACGTCTTGCCTTTAGTTTCTGGGACTAAGAAATAGACAAATATAATGCCAACGGCGCAGAATGCAGAGAATATCCAGAAAGTACCATAGGAATTTACAGCCTCAACCATGTCGCTATAAAACTTGGTGACTATAAAAGCTGTGAGCCAATTGAATAAGCAGGCGCTGCTTCCGGCGATTCCCTTCACTTCTGGCGCAAAGATCTCTGGCATCATCATCCACGGAATTGGGCCAAAGCCGAGAGAGAACATTACAAGAAAAACGCATAGTGGAATAAGTGCGAACCATTTGAGATTATCAAAAGCACTAGTATAATTGATACAATAAAAGTAAATTCCCATGATCAGAGTCATTAAAAACATAACAACGATCGATGCCAGCAGCAATATTCTTCTGCCCAATTTATCGACGATCAAAGTGCCAACGAAAACTGATATTATTTGTACCGCGCCCACAATAATCGATGCCTCATTGGCCGGTAAAGAACTTCCAGCCTTGTTGAAGATGTCCGAAGAATAAAAAATAATAGAGTTGACGCCGCTCATTTGTTGGAAGAGCATTAATCCATAAGCGATTATGAAGCCTTTTACGACGGCTCGTGATTTAATCATGACAACAAACGGTAAGTTGCTTCGAGTGGTCTCTTCAAGTGCCTCACGATGTGCCTGTAATTCAAGCTCAATGTCATACTCACTGCCACGAAGTCTGACCAAGCTCTTTCTAGCAGCTTCCTCATTTCCTTTCTTTAAATAGTATACTGGAGTTTCTGGCATGAAGAAGAATACTGCGAAGAAGACCAGCGGTATAATTCCCGAGATGATTGACAGTGTCATCATGTTTTCTAGAACAGTTCCGAGAACGTACGAGATCAGAATGCCTATAGTAAGCATCAACTGAAAATAAGAACCCAGGGTGCCACGGATTTCGCTTTCTGCTATCTCTGATGTATATAGAGGAGCAGCCACACAAAAGGCACCACCGCTAGCACCAGTAATGAATCTACCAAAGTAGAACATGAGCACTGAGTTCGAACAGATGATAAGTAGCCAACCAAAGGTGAAAGGAATCACCATGAGCAGCATAGCGGTCTTTCTGCCAATTATATCTGCCAGTATACCTATGGGAATGCATATCGCGCCTGCTCCAAGAGTGGCTAGCGATCCTATCCAAGAGAATTCGTTTATGCTAATGGGTATCTCATAGTCCTTTGCCAGATTCTTGCCACCTCCACCAGCAGGTGATGTCCAACCTAGCACCATACCAGCAGCAAGAGCACCGAGCGTCGCTGCTATGCCTGCTAGGTATTGTGGCAATTTCTTAGCTTTTTGGCCATCGGTGGAGACCAAAGTTTGTTGCGAGATACCAATTTTTTCTGACATGGCTTGACCATCTGCTGACAGAAGTGGTGTGGTTTCGTCGGTCTGGAGAAAAAAATATTAATGATTGTTTTAAAATAAATTCAATTACATTTAATTAATGAATTACATAACATATTAATATCTCTGTTTATAAATTTGTTTCTCAATAGATTGCGCATAGATTCTTTAATAGTTTTGAATGCAATTATTTTAAAGAACATTATTTTTCTCATGAATTTTGACTGAAAAGTTCCTATTTTCAAACCATATTATAAGTAGAAAAGATACTCTACAAATACTTAATTTGTATCTGAAAATATTTTTAGATTTTTATTTAAAAATAATCTGAGAAAAATAGTTGTTCAAAACTACTTATATATGTATCAAAACTTTGCCTTTCTTTCCTATTTTTTATAATTCTTTATATGTGTATATACTTTTTACAATGTTTATTTTTCTCCATTTATAATTTGAAATTAAAATCGTGATAATATATAATGTGTGAAAGTAGTCCAATATTTAAAAGATTATTGTCAGGAATTATAATATACATATAATCATATCGTCAGTAACAATAGAAATGTTCATCGAATAAAGCGAAGAATTGAAAAATAATGATACTGACATATTGAAGGAATATATCGTAAAAAAAAATATGTAGGCTTACACTGCATATTGGTGCCGTATTTTCGGCATCCCATATATTATTCGATGCCATTTTGCTATGGGAGCTTTACACTCTACTCTGATAAATTATAAAGGGAAATGCAGCAGATCAATCAACAATTTAATTGATATATCGTGATGTCGTGTGACTCTTTTGTCGATCAGCGGACGATCCACTTGTGTCCATTGTATTTTTTGTCTATATAGCTGTGATGTCATGAACGAAACACAACATAGAAACACGATACGATATTAGAAAATACTCGCACCTGACATCTACAGATGAAACTAAAAATTAATTTTACACTGCAAAAAAATATCGAGAAGAGAATCGGAAATGAATAGTGTCCCTAGGAGATCTAGGGATATTACAAATAAAGAGAAGAGAGAACGTCTAGCAAGAAATACACAATGACATAACTCTTTTAAATAAAAAAATTAAATAAAAATCGCTATTCGATAATCAATTGCATATTGTTTACGTGTGCTTTTTTGTTGGAAAGCTTCCGTGATTATCAATTGTGAAATTTTTTCCATTTTTTCCTTTCAATTTTTATGAAAATTTTCGTTTTTTATATTAAAACAAGAAGTTACAGAAAGCGATAATACGATATATTATACTTTGTAAGTGTAATAGCTGCATAAATAAATTGTATTTATTTGAAGATACATTTACATTTAAAACGTGAATCATCGGTTTTTTTCCATTTCGTTGCATTTATATTATTATACTTTTAGTTTTTATTTATATATTTTTATATAAATATGAAAGACTCTTGCACAAGTATATAAATATACTTGCAGTATTTTTAATCGCATGCACGTTATTTCCGTGTCTTAGCTTTATGCAAAAACACTGCACGTGTTCACCGAAATTAAAGTATATATATATGTATAATTGCATTAGCTTATAACTGCAAATATTGACATTGATGAATTTGAAATTACGAATTTACATTTATACATCATATAATGAATTCAATTCTTAAACATCATAAAATTCATAAACATTTTAATACTTTTTAATTATTCTTTTTAACTTTTTTTAATAGTATAAAAGACAAATTTAATTATTTAGATTTTCGAATTGTTTGTATATAAGTCACAATTTTTATTTATTGTAAATTCTATATTATTTAAATTCTATATATAATTTCTAATATATTCTTTTCTTATAGAAAAAATACAAATATACACATACATACGAGAGATTTTATAATAATATAATATATTATATATTATTCCTTGAATATTCAAGAATGTAATACTCGTACCTGACATTTGTACAATATAATATAGATTATATCATCGTGATTTTTTATTTCGAAAGATACACTGATTGTTATTAATCATTTAAAACACTTCAAATTTAGTATTTTCGTGTATTTAAATCGTAGTATTTAACAAAAGATAATTTATTCATATCAGATCATTTCTCGCTTTAAATAGTAATATGCAAAATTTTTATAAATGGATGAATTTAACACATCATATATATATATATATATATATATATATATATATAATTTTATTATGTATTAACTTTATTATATATATTATTTTATACATGAATATGTATTTATATTTTATTTATTACAAGTTTTGTATTTTAGCGTTTTTCGGCCATACATTATGATCGCGTAAAAATCAAAGAAATACAATTATGCCAATACATTATTTATTGTATGCATAAGATTATGTGTGATGTATAATCTATAATCGAGAAAAAAGATATATATTCTATACAGAAAACTTTACAATATTATTAATCTATTGCATCAAGCATGATATTAATCGAAGAAAAATTGTATAGATAAAAGAATTGTAGATAAAAGAAATATAGATAATAGAGATTATATTGTGAGACGTATAAAATTGTTACGTTTATATTGTAAATGTTATATATATCTCTTCCTACATCACTAGAAAACTGCAAATTCTTTATTGTTCTTATTTACAGATCATTAAAATTTATATTAATATTGAGATAGAGAAAATTAACATCTATGTAACAATAGTAATGTTTCTTTATTTTTGTTTTACTTTAACTTTTGATAAAAAAATATGATGCAATAAAAAAATTCTTATTGCATGTCTCTTCACAAGTATAATAATATGATAAAATTTTATAATTTGTTTATGAAATGATGGCGAAATGTGTATTGAGTAAGAATTTGTTCAAAACGGGAGCTGCTGCGAAAAACTTTAATATCTGCAAACGTCGCAATTTAAATATAACGAATGATAAGAACAGATATAATTCCTTTAATACTACTTTCTGGTATTTTGATAATGTGAATTACATAAATCATGCATGATGCAATCGATTTTTTTTAGTGTATATTATTTATTTATACTTTATATAGTACATGCAATTTATAGATATGTATAAATATTCCTTAATTTATTAAAGATTTAAAAAATTGTCTATACAAAAAATTATAAAATTAAATAAAAGTTAAATTGCAAACACGCACAACGTATGTAATATTTGGCATTATCAATGAAAATATTAATTTTGATAACCTATTTTACAATTTGATATTAATAATGTAAAGATTTATTACAATTTTTATATATGTATAATCAGTTCATGTCATTTTATTATCTAGGTTCGCGAACCTTCACCTTTGCATAAATAGCATGATTAATCTTTATCAAACTTCATATAAATTTCTTTTTTATTGCTGCAAGCTTAATTTCTAAGCTCTTTGATATTGCAATTCTGCAAGTTATGAAATAAACGATCGTACCATAATTGAAATATCATCCAATGTTGTATGTGACACGAGTTGGACTTTATAATTCATAAAGTTCATTTTTTCTTCTCTTTTTATATATGTATATAAGAAGTGTAAATAATTTTCTGAAAATTTATTTTTCTATGGAAAATAAATTTATGCGCAATTTAATTTTTTATTTTAAATTAATGAAATTTTTCACAGTTACCAATTATTTTATCAGGAGAAATATATGTTACGTCAATATTCTCTTACGTTGTTACACTTTTTAAGTTTATCATGTAAAGATATGAAATTGAAGTATTTGCTTTTTTCGGCTCTGTATTTATTCTTGTTATCTGATATCGCTGCAAACTAGATAAATATTTTTATAAAAGTCGAGCCTCTTCGATTTGAATAAAAAAAATATTCCTATTATTTCGTCATATCTACGTAATCGTTTTAAGATAAGAAAATTCAACATAAACACGTATGTTATAATACGTATTTATATAAATTGTTATAATACGTATTTAATGTTATAATTTGTTATAATATATTTTTTATAAAATATAAATATTTATTACGATATTACTAATATCAAGGTATATTAAATATGTATAAACACTAATATATCATCATTTCATTTTAATGTTATCGTCTGATATAGATTGTCATAGACATCAATAGAATATAAACAATGTGGCATATAAACTTGATACTCTTGAATTAAAAGCGTATCAAGTTTAAAATATCAAGATTAAACGCGAATCCATAAAGTATTAACAAACTTTATTGCCACTATTTCTTACCTAGATACAATAAAGTTATATGAATTGATTGTAAAATGGATTATATTCATAAGATATATTCTTCATATAATTCATATAAATTTCAACGGGTACGATCAATTTGTACGTTCAAAAATTTGTATTTATATTTTTAAAATATTATAGCTAATTTTTCAACTTTCGAATTGATGTGTCATAATAGATAACATAAGCTCCACTTCAAAAATTTAAGCAAACAGGATGTATGATAATCGAATCTTATTACACACACACACACACACACACACACACACACACACACACACACACACACACACACACACACACACACACACACACATATATATATATATATATATATAAAATAAGTTTCGATTATTATGCATTCAGTTTGGTTAAATTTTTATTTATATATTAGTAAATAAATTTCATAAAAATTTATGTATAAAACAAATTAATTTGTGAAAATGAAATTTCTCTAACAGTAAGTTTTATGTTTTTTTAACATATATGAAATTACGATGTCAACCCCTCGAGAGTTCAGATTAATGTCATTTCACAGATTAATATATTAAAAGATTTATATACTTATACATATTATTTATATCTTTTTATATTAATTTGAAATGATAAATATCGAGAGACTGACATTATAGTTCCATACATATAGATCCTTTTGACATTCTTTTTGTATTATAATATTGTTCTCAATAATATTTATCGATAAAATATAATTAATTTATTGATAAAATATAATTAATCACAGCACTCATTAAAGACTTAATAAAGGTAATAAAAAAAACATCTTTTACTTTTGCCCGTATTTAAATAGCGCATCTGTATTTCAGTGTTAAAGCTCATCAATCGTACAAATACGATTTATGTAACGATATGCGGTTTCTTATGTAAGTGGTAATACATATGTATGTTCGGTCCCATCCATAATTTTTGTTTTGTTGTGTTTTTCCGCCTGTCGAAACGATCATTGTCAAAGTGGGAGCTCGTGTTACGCAAAAAAATGCATAAATCGCATGTCGAAATAATACTTTATAATACGGCAAAAGCGCGAATAATTAAACGAGCGTAATAATTGGACAGTTTAAATTTTTCCTCTTCTTATCTCAAATATTTCATGGCTGCGATAGCATTTAAATCGAAAGCAGTCAATAGGAATGGGAAATTTTGCTCGTGTAAATATTGACTGAATAATTACAAAAAATTCCGAAGATTTATTAATCTGTTATATATTTTTATATAATTAGTTATCAAGAAACGTAAATCATCGAATATCGTCATTCTATATGCGTGATATATCACATTCACTTAAATCAAAAATGTCAAAAAATACCACACCATAAATGAATGTATGAATATATAACATATGAATATATTCAATAGTTCTCTTTGCGATATGCCAGTTTTTAATGAGATAAGGTTCATGAACATTAATAAATGACGCAAAAAAACACGTCACGTGTACTTACGTGGAACTTTTAAAATAAAACAAAGACACGTGTAAAAATAAAAAATGTATATATGCATGTATACGGATAATACAACTGCTTCAATTTTATTTTAAAGTTGGACTAACATAAGAGGGACAGAATGTGCGTTTTATACCTATACTTTTTGCTATTGCTGAACATTATTAATATGTTTTTGTGTAAACATTTTTGCCATTCATATTAATATATCATATTTTTTCATTGACACATCATTTTTCAAAAAATTATTTTATTTTTAAATTCGAAAGAAATTTCGAAACACTCAAACATATCAAACACGTACACATACACACACACACACACACACACACACACACACACACACACACACACACACACATATATATATCAATTAAGATATGTCAAGGCCAAATTTCTCGAGTTTATCAAATAAAATCGAAGCGTCAATAAAAAATATCGATAATGCCTAACGATTGTAAAGAGTGATGAAAAAGTATGAAATCTGTTTCTTTTCACTTGCACTATTTTGCACGCGTCCAAGAGAATAAATATAAGTGCATTGAAAAAAGAACTAACGGAAAAATAAAGAGAGTGCAAAAATAAAGAAATGAAAAGAGAAACGAATCTTTATCAACAAGAATTTCTTATATATGCGATTACCTTGTTGTGTTATAACATAATTTGACTATTAAATCGAAATTGATTACGCACCGAGATGTTTCTTCGTAGTGCGAGACTTCTTCTCAACGGCGATGTTGCGTGCAAGAGATAGCTTCCAAACCAGATAGAATCTGAATCCTTACACCGGGAATCGGATGTCGTGGCGTATATAACGCACGACAGAGTATATAATGCTCGCTAGAGGCTCGCAACGTTAATCACCGCCCCGGCAAGAATTCAGTTCTTATCAGCCGCAGTATTCAGTATGTCGAAACGCGAATATATATGTGTATCTTGATTTAATCGACGTGACTGTTTGTGTCGATGTCGTGCAAATGGGCTCCTCGTTTGCGAAATAATTTTTCGCAACGTAATTTTGTTGCATGTTACCGCACGTTCGGAAACATCATAATCAATTCGAATGATCGTGATTGATGTTTTCGCGGAATGAATTTTATTCCGCGCGTCACGTGTGATAATTATGTGTAATAGCGCAAAATTATCGCGCTAAAGATGCAAGATGAGCAAAGCATCACGGAAACTGGAAAGATACAGATTTATCATTCTTCGTATGTATCTAGATCGCGTATTTTAAAATAAAATATAAAAATAAATAAACAAATATTTCGCGCAAAGTTTTGGGTCTTTAGAAAAAGTATTTACTCTCAGAAATATGACAAAGCCTAATCTCAGAGATAATAAAGTTCCATTAATAAAATCAAAATTGATAAAAATATCAAATATTTTCCTTTTCAATTTTTTTTTAGCCTGTTTCTTATTCCTTTAGAATTTCTGAAAATCTGCAAATCTGTTAAAATAATCGCGAAAAACAGTTAAGTATGAACTTAATATAGACCTTAATAAAACGTTCATTTGAATTTTATTTAATTTAAATTAATACTGATTGTGTGTTAATTAAAATCTTATTTGTTCCAAATATAAATCAAATTAGAAATTCAGGTTGGTTAGATGCTTATTAAATATTAATATGATCTATATATATGCCTGGACAAGTTAAATCTAATAGCAAGAACGTATTTAAATTTAATTTCAATGCATATTAAAACATATTTAAATTTAATTACTTTTAAATTTAACATTTGATTTTTATTAGAGTTTAATTTAATTCATATAAATAAGCAATATGAATCATATTTAAATCATATTTAACTGTTTTTCGCGGGAACTTACATTTCTTCTATTGCTATATATTCAGACCACGTGCTTTGCGGTATCGTTGGATATTTAACCGCAAAAAAATATTTAAATGTATGCAGATAAAAAAAGAATTACACAGTCCGTCATCGAGTCTCGAATAAACATGAGACACACAGCGGTATACTATATTATTAATTGTAAGAAAGCGCGGAATCTGATCTGCTGTGACGTCGCGTAGCGTAATTATAGTATATTTAATATACTATGCGTGAATTAAATCGAGAAATTATAAAAATAAATTCGTTTAATGTAACGCGTCACTATTTTTCAGGTAGCAGAGTGACGTCAAATGACATCTTAATAATGTTTTAATGTCATTGTACGTCATTGTACATCATTAAGACGTCATCTTGCTTCCTGGATTGTAATATATATTGTTAACATCGCGCTGAAGAAGGATCAAAAAATGATCCGAAACGTTCGCTTTTTGTTATTATAATATGTTTCTAATAAACTGATATTGAGAAGAGAAAGAAGTGTTGTTGCTTCTCTGCGCTGCAACTATCGCACATTGGCTCTTATGCCATTTTCTTTTTGATTTTCTGATTATTTGAGCCAAGTCTCTAATTATTAAATTAAAAAAAGAATCTTTTACAACATAAACTTCATATAGACGGAAAAAAGTATATAAAAGCATATCTACATTTTTGTTATAAAACGTTTGCAATTTTCATTTGAAGGAGAATTATTGTCTCTTTCTATTTATCGATATAAATCTGTATTAGAAATCTGAATCTATAAAAAAATCTTATCTTTCAAGTATTAATCTAATTTTCTTGTAGATATATGTAACTCTGATTTATTTGTATGTTACTTTTAGATAACATGATAGCAATATAATAGTGATATAGAATATGTTTCTAGAATGCTTTTGCAGTAATTTTTTTTCTTGTTGTCTACTATTCGTGGTATTTATATATCATTATCGATAGTTTTTATACACTATAATACACGATAATACACACAACTTTGCTCGATAAAGCTGATAAAATTGATAACTTCCACTATCTACTTATCTTACTTTTGAGAAGTTTAGGTGTAAGTAATTATCTAATAATTGTTGAAAATGCCAGCAAAATGTATAAACATGTTCAAAATGTGCAAGTATGCTTGTGATTTTATTTAAATGTTGGATTATTTTATGGATAATAATTTACCTTTATGCTTTAATCTTGACTTTTTAATTTAATTATGACATATTCCAAATTTTTTTCTGAAAATATCATTACCCAGTAATATCATTATAGATACTAATTAATGTAAAAAATGTCATATAATTTATATTTCTAATTTAAATATTACAAGTTATTATAATTATCACAAATTATTAAATATTTTTTTCAATTGAGATAATAATTTTGAAGAGTGTAAAATGGTTAACAATTTTGGAAATATTTATTATTTACTTGGTGCTACATAGAAAGTAATATCTATTTATTTAATAAATATTTATGATATAAGTAATAATTAATTTATTTTTTATTTATTTCTTGTATTCAATACGCGATATGAAAATATCTAAAAATATTATAATATTTGAATTGTCCTGCACAATTTAAATTTTATTAGAGGACGAAGAAAATCCCTATTAGATAGCCAACCTATTTTCTTACTAGAAAACACTCTTATTTCTGATTGGTCGATTAAATTCTATCTCACTTCGTGTAGAATTTTCGAACACATTCTAAAGGAAATAAAATAGTCGATTTCGGAACATGACATTCACGATGGGAAATAAACTAAAGGTGCAATTTCATTGACGCTAAAAAGTAGCGTCAACCATTGGTTGAACAAAGAAGTAAGTAGTTGCTTCTTTGTTCAACCAATGGTTGACGCTACTTTTTAGCGTCAATGAAATTGCACCTTAACAGTTGGCAGCCCTACGAGATAGGCTGTGCAGCACTGCGCGTATATAAAATAAATTTGAAATCGCTTCTAGCCTAACCATCTTCACGCGATCGACTTTATTTGAATTGCACGGCATCGCATCGAATTATGATGCGGCGCCGATTTGTTCGAACGTAATTCGGGACATCGCGATGCTGCATAAGCGTCGAATGAGCACGAATTGTCACGCAAATATGATAAATCACATCTACTCACCGCTCACCGGCTGCGTCCACAGGCTCCACTCGCTCGCCTCGGGACGTCCCATTCCGATCTTGATGCACACGATATCATCAACGCGAACGCGCGACACTTTATTCGGCACTCCCGATATTCGCTCGCATCCGATAATCATCATCAAGGGCACAAATAACGCGACGCGACTTCGTTCCATCTTCGCGATCGCGCTATCACTGAACTGTGAAAAATAGCTGTCGCGCACTTTCACCGACATATTATGAAAGTCGCGCGATCATCCTTGGACACTTTCGACGCTCTTTCACTCGCGATATTCGTTTAAAAACGGTTAAAAGACGCGAAAAATGCGGACGTACGACGATCCGTGTAACTGCGTATGACTCCGATTCACGTATGACGCGTATGACGTAGCGATCACACGCTAACATGGCGGCCGAACCAGTGCGCATTCGTTTCTGCGCACTGGTTCGGCCGCCATGTTAGCGCGTGATCGCTACGTCATACGCGTCACTGCTACGTCATAGCGTCATACGTGAATCGGAGTCATACGCAGTTACACGGATTGTCGTACGTCCGCATTTTTCGCGTCTTTTAACCGTTTTTAAACGAATATCGCGAGTGAAAGAGCGTCGAAAGTGTCCAAGGATAATCGCGCGACTTTCATAATATGTCGGTGAAAGTGCGCGACAGCTATTTTTCACAGTTCAGTGATAGCGCGATCACAAAGATGGAGCGAAGTCGCGTCGCGTTATTTGCGCCCTTGATGATGATTATCGGATGCGAGCGAATATCGGGAGTGCCGAATAAAGTGTCGCGCGTTCGCGTTGATGATATCGTGTGAGTTTGTGTGCATCAAGATCGGAATGGGACGTCCCGAGGCGAGCGAGTGGAGCGGCCTGTGGAACAGCCGGTGAACGGTGAGTAGATGTGATTTATCATATTTGCGTGACAATTCGTGCTCATTCGACGCTTATACAGCATCGCGATGTCCCGAATTACGTTCGAACAAATCGGCGCCGTATCATAATTCGATGCGATGCCGTGCAATTCAAATAAAGTCGATCGCGTGAAGATGGTTAGGCTAGAAGCGATTTCAAATTTATTTTATTGACGCCATATCTAGAGAAAGTCTAGTGATTTTAATTTGCCGCTGGTTTCTAGCGTCAATGAAATTGCACCTTTAAGGTGCAATTTCATTGACGCTAAAAAGTAGCGTCAATGAAAAGGCCGCTTAACGGAAATTCAAATTTAAACGAATCACGTGAATGAACAAGTTATTGATACAAAACTAATTTCCTCAAAAGCTAATGTGTTTCATTTCTTAAACATGAATAATTCATAATAATTTGTAATAATATATTTAGAATAATTATTAGAAATAGTATATGATATGATATGTGATACACATGACGCATAAATATAACCTTGATGTTTGTAACCGTGATGCATAAAAAAGTTTTATCTCAAATAATTTAAAATACGTTGGAGACACATTGTGAAAAAACAATTATATATGCAGAATACATCATCTCATATTATTTGTACAATAAACTAACAATATGGACAAGCAGGATAATTTAGAAGAAATAGTTGATAAACATTATAAAAGATTACATCAACTTAATACAACCACAATATTTATAAAAGGTATGTGGTAGAATATATTATTTATTTTATATTATATCATTTTAACAATATAATAATAATTTATAATTGCAAAATCATGTTTCATCTCTTATAGGTAAACACAATCTAAAGGATGATCTTTATAAAATGCGTAATGAAGTATTGCAAATCTCATGTGGCATTGATAATACTAGGAAAATTTTGGAGCAAATGAAGAAACAGAATACAGATTTAAAAGTAAGTTTGTTAAATTATTCATTCCTAAAGTTTTTTTAATTAAAGAATTGAAAGAAAGTTAGAACTTTATATTTATACACAGGAATTATTGTCGTTGATTGAAATTTTGAATAAAAGAATTTTACACCAGAAAGAAAATGTTCCACAGGAACTTATACAAGGTTATCAGAATGCTGATAAGCTAAAATGCATTCAAAATCAAATCTCTCCTGTTATAACAAAAAGTATAACAAAAACTATAAATTCAGCACATAAATTGATAGAGCAAAATATATCTGCAAATATGTACAATAGTGGTATTGAACAAGAAATAATAAAAGACTGTAAAAGAACACTCTTCAATGAACTGGAAGTATACCCAACAATACTATTTATCAGCACAGAAGAATTTAATAACGTGCCTAAATATATGATTGGGAGACAAACTTTGGAGACAATTAATAGTTTGATAACTGATATAAATAATACACTAATTACAAAGTATACAATCTTATCATTGGGAAAGGCCGCTGCCCAAAAGAGAGGGGAAATTAATCTATATCTACAATATAAAAAACAAGAGTTTGATATTAAAAAAGAAAAAGGTAAGTCCTCAATTTTAGCAATTTTTGTTAAGATATATATTTTTTAATAATATGTTACAAATATAAAAAATACTGTATATGTGTGTAATTTATATCAATATGATTTTCAGGATATTTATATTTCTTCACAGCTGAAGATTATTATAGACACACCAAGAAAAAAATGGACAAGACTAAATTAAATTTAATAATTGTATTGCGTCATTGCAAACGTTTACGCGAATGCAGAACAAATAATGAACTGCGATATGTTATAATTAATTAATATAATCTTTATTGTATATTGTATAGATATACAATAATTTCATAATCTTCTATCAATTAATCTTCTATTAATTAATAACTTTTGTGAATTAAATAATATTAGCTTTCGATAGAGACAAAGTTTCAATTTATTAGTATTATTATTAACATATATAAGGTGTTAACAAATTAACATTTAGAAGAGTATATAATAATCACTAAATTAAATGCAAATTAACAGATAAAATGTTTGCTATTTTTATATTACTTATTGATTGTAATGGTATAAAGTTTGAAAGTTTAAGCACTTATTTGTGTAAATAATGAATCTTCCATAATATAATATAATTTATTCTTCCATTTATACATATATGTAACCTATTTTCTTATTTTTTCTTTTGTATACATTAATATCAGAAGACAAAACAAAAAAGAGATAGTCAATTATTTCTAGTTATTCAGACAATTTGTTTCTCATTGAAGAAGCTGAATGATAGCACAAAAATTTTTTATTTCAAGAATATTGAGTTTGCCATGAAACAATATTTGAATATTTGTGTTCTTTTTCAAGGAAAAGGTAATCTGCTCCATTTTTTCATTGCAACACTTGGAGTATTTTTTGCTAATCTATATATAATATGTAAAATAAATTTAATATATGTATATTCATTTTATTTTATATATTTCATATATCTCACAAATATTTATAAAGATGATGAAATTATATTAAGTTATATTAAATATTGTATGAATAAATTATGGATAAGAAGTTACATATTCATAGTTTCTTAGATGGATTTTTAATAATGTTTTATGATTTTTATATATTTAATACATAAAACTGCTTGCAATGAATTTATAAAGATTTTTATGAATGATTTGCAGTTATAAAATATGTTCAAAGCAGAATCAATTAGTACATTAAGTGATCATGAGGATGATATTGATGATTTGGATGGCTCTATTGTATGGTCCCAAGAAGAACCACTTTCTTCCAATGAAATATTAGAATTATCAACTCAAGATGAGAGAGAAAATAATTTTGCTTTCTGTCGATTATGTGCTGGCCAAACTAGTAATCCAATATTTATCTATTCTAAACTCGGAGAATCAATGAAATTGGCTCATAAAATAAATACATGTCTAAGTATTAAGGTATATAAATATATATATATAGAAATATCTTCTATTTTTATAAATATATATTATACATATATTTTAATTGTCATGCAATATATGTATTACATAAATTCTTATAAATACATGTATTATGATTTATATTGCAGATTAGAAAAACAGATCCATTACCAAAACAGCTTTGTTTGGCCTGTATCGAGAAAGTAAATTATTATGACAGGTTTGACACACAGTGTATTAAAGCGGAAGAAATTCTTTTAACAATGTTAAAGGAGAGACAATCTTTCAATACTTCCAATCACAAAAATCAAATTTTATCTGACCGACAGTCCTGTCCCTTATGCATAGAAGGTTACATGAATACATGTGAAAACATGTCTCAGCATGTTAAAGATATAGAATTAGACGAGAACGATATAATCTTAGAAAGCAGCGACGAGGAAAGTATATTTAATAATGTAAATGTCGATAAGGAAAATGGAAATCGCTCTATTATGTTACAATGTTTAGGAAATAGGCAGAAATACTTGAAATGCGGCGCGTGCATGAATCTCTATCATACTAAGGAGACTCTAGATGGTCACAAGTGTAAGCCCAATGTGCAGAGCACGACGAAACCATACAAGTGTCTTACGTGTGACGCAACGTTTAGTTTCGAGGAACGTTTGAACTTCCACACGCAATTTCACAGAGGCGCAAAAGCGTTGTATTGTGAAAACTGCAAAGTAACTTTCGGTAAAGAATTGAAGCTATTCTATCACTACAAGAGATACCATTCTAAGGATATTAGCATCTCGTGTCTGCAATGTGGAAAATTATTCGAAAATCAGGAGACGCTTCGTGTGCACGTTTGCGTGGATGGTAAGAATCGACCACACATTTGCGAGGTGTGTAACAAAGGCTTTTCCGATGGCTATACCTTGAAGCGTCATATAGTGACACACCTGCCCGAGAAGCCTTACAAGTGCTCGCAATGTTCGAAGAGCTTTACTCAGAAGTCAAGATTGAATAAACATGTCGCGAGTCACTGCATCGTTATTGAAAACAACCAGACAGTTTGGAAATGCATTCAATGCGGCGAAGTATTTATCTCTTGCGATGACGCTGATGCTCATTACAAGATACACGAGGATAAGATTACATTGATCGAGGAACTATCGATATCGAAATTATACCACTGTGAATTCTGTAATAGTCACTTTACCGACGTGGACAACCTGAAGACTCATCAAAATCGACACGTTGTTGAAAAACCATACACGTGTAACGTATGCCAAACTATGTATAAATCATTTGCGGAGGCCATTTTACATTGGAAGGAACACCAGAGATTATTCAAAGTCCTCATCGTCTTTTTATGCGATGTTTGCAACAAGGACATGAAGGAATTATCTCTATTGTATAAACATAAGCAAAAGAGACACGATTATGCAGCCAGATTATCCGAATCCGGTGATGCAAAGTTCGTGTGCGAACTATGCGGAAATATATTCGATAGAAGCGAGGATATACAGGCTCACGGACGAGATCAGTGTTCCAAATTTCCCTGTGATATCTGCGGCAATCTACTGCCCACGGCAAATTCGTTGAATGCTCATAAAAGGCGGCACAATGGACTGCGACCGTACGTCTGTAATATCTGTGGAAAGAGTTACACTCAGTCCAGTCACATGTGGACTCACAAGAGATTCCACATGGGCGTCAAGCCTTATGCTTGCGAGTATTGCGATCAGCGTTTCACGATAAAGCCGGATTTGGCGGATCACACCAGAAAGAAGCATACGAGGGAGAGACCATTCAAGTGCGACGTCTGTAATAAGGCTTTTCTCACCGGATCTGTATTTTATCAGCATAGATTAATACACCGTGGTGATCGTAGATACAAATGCCACTACTGCGAAAAGGCCTTCACCAGAACAGAGGCTTTAAATAATCACATTAAAATACACACTGGGGAAAAGCCGCATGCGTGCGATGTGTGCGGCAGATGCTTCAGACAGAAAGGAGACATGAGGAAACATAGACGCACCCAACATAATTCAAAACAGGATACATCTTGAAACTTTTTTCGTATTTCAAATGCATGAATGCGTGAATTATTTTCGTTATTTTTGTATTTTAATTATCATTACATCGATAACTAACAAATATGTATATAATAATCTATTTGTGCAACATGATTCTATTATACTATTGTATAATGAATATAAAATCACACAAATTATATTTATCTGTTTCACACAAATTAATTTATCTGTTTCATAATTAATAAAGTATTTCACAAAGAGAAAAAGAGAGAGGAAGAATAAAAATTATAAAAAAATATTAAAATATTACATATGAGACATAGCATAGAATATAAAAAAAGAAAATATAAGTATCATAATAAATATATAATATATAAAATATAAAAAAAAGAAAATATATATAAGTATCATAATAAATATAATATATTACGATGGCATATTAAAAAACAATTTATATAATATAAGTACATTATAAAAAGTATACAATAATGCATTTATTTCTCATTATTTATTTGTCTATATCATGTATTATATATATCGCTTAATTTTTTCATTATGCTACAAATGTATAAGAAGAACATGTATACAGAGAACAGTGAAGGAATTCGTGTACTCCGTACGTAATTTTAAAGAGCCGCGATAACGCGCCCGACGAATGACAGGTGCGCGCGCACGCGCATGCGTCCGCCCGCGCATGCGTCCGCGTATCGCAGAACAGGTGATGTGTGCGCTACATGCCTAGAATGTCTCATGACCGTCGTCATCGTACATCTAATCGTCGCGCACGATCTGCTGGACGGACGACCTGACACACTTGACTGTGATAATCACCGAGCTCGTCGCGTCCGCGGAATACGCGCCGTGATGGTCGCCGAGGTGACGATGGCGAGGTAGAATCGTGTTCCCGGGATTGCGGAGCTGATTCTGGTACGTGGTGGCCTAGAGTAAGAACGTCATCGTTGATCCTTCGCGAGAGTAAGTCGAGCAACCTTCGCGCGATCTTCCGGGTCGCTCGGGGAAATGTCTCCCGATGTGTCCCTGATCTGTGTATTTGAGCGCGACTTAACCTTAACGCGTTTTGACATATGCATGTAACGGGCGTACGCATGTGACGAGGGTGGGACGATGTAATTGTAAACAAAGAGGTGAGATGTGACGGAAAGTAACGCGACGACGATTCGAGCGATTTTGTGTAAAATTTTTTACGAAATTTATGCGCGGCAGTTTGGCCCCTTATTTAGGTTGAATCTGTGACCGAGAGTCTGTTCTTTACCTCGTTATTGCGCTCTTTAATTTCGTCGATGTTTGCGAAAGGTTATATAAGATCTTGTCGTTTGTCGATGTTCCATGAAGCAGAGGAGAACCATGGCTTTCCCGCCTTTAGTCAGCTCAACACCCCCGCCCTTGGACAACTTCGGAGAGTCCGACGAGGATGAATTCGGAGACTTCACAGCTGGCGGAATAGATGGTATTTATATAATAGAATACATTAATAAAACATTATACACACATATTAATAACGTGATATCAACATTGATTATCTTCATTATCACAGTTATCTTCTAAAATATAGATTTGTTGTAGGCTTATCCGTTTCATCAGAGTCTCCACAGAAACTTATCACTCCGATACAAACACCAATAACATCACAGAATGTATCTCCTAGGATAAATGGTATTAACGAGTCATCAGTATTAGACAGTCGCTCTAAAATAAACAAAGCCTTGAAATGTGGGGTCATTGATGACCTGTTGATTGTTGAGAAGGGAGAGGACAACGTGAGCCACATAAGATTGAAAGATAAAACAGATAATAGTAGCATATTGGAAAACGATTTGGAAAATATTAGTATAACAGAACACAATGTATTAGATGTACCTAGAAATGGCGATTCGCATAATGTTGAGACTAGTAATAGTATTGATCATGTTTGTACTCAGAATGTTTTAGTTAAAGAAAATTTTGTTGATACAGATGTAATTAGTAGCAACAATAGTAGTTTAGCTGATAGTGTAAAGACAGTCAGTGAGCAAGAGGGATCGTCAAATGGTTTAGAGGCAAATGATGAAATAGAACCTGCAAGTTTGGATTTGGAGGATCCTACGAGTACGCCGGATATTTTGCAACAATTGGATGACGATTTTTACAATTACGAACAGTTTAAAGATTCCAGTGAGTGGAACGATACTGTTTGTGAGAAAAAGACAGATGTGACTGTGGCAGTTTTGCAAACAGATTATGATAATACGCCTAATTCTATAGACACAGAATGTAATGTAACAGATGAAATAGAAAATACTTACACGCCATATAGTGAGAATGATGTCTGTGTCAATCATATTAATGATAAATCTACTTTCATTCATAATGAAAGGACAATTTCCAATTTTGTTACCTCACAAGAACTTAATGTAGACAGTACTAATGTTTTTAATCAGCCAGACTGCGAATACAGTATTCAACCAAAATATATAGAGATGTACGACGACGTAATATCCAATGGTGAAACAAGCAAGTCGAAAACTTTAAATGATTCTTTCAATTTTGATTTTACCTTTGATGATGCTCTAAGAGAGAAATCAAATTTAGATTGTACATCCATATATGCCGAAGACATCTATGTTAAAAAATCTAATATGAAGAGCGACGAGAATTTTCCTAATAACGTCTGCGATACAGTCACTATAGAAAGTATTACACAATCAAAAGAAAATGAAAATGTAGTTGTAGAAACAAAAAATCAAATTGTTCAAAAAACAGGTGTGAATGGGACAATTGAGAAAATTTCTGCTTATAAAGAAAAAAGCTTGAGTAATGAAGAAATAAACAGACACATTCCGGAAGATGATGATTATGACGCACACAAGCCAGATAATTCCGACTTTACGGAATTTATGGAGCATAAAGATTTTGACAGTGTATTGGAATTGACAAGTAATTACAATCCGATATCCATTAATAGTGATTGCAAAACAGTACAAATTCATGATTTGCATGCATTTTCTTCCGACACATCTATGCAAAAATTTTCATCAATTGAAGAAGCTTCACTGCCATCTACTAATACATCCCTTGACTGCTTAAAAGATAAAGTTAATTTTACAAGTACTGCGAGCGAATGTGCCACATATAAAAGCGAAAATTCTGTAGTATACTTTAGCGATGGCGAATTTTATGATTTCCACTTACGAAATATGGAGCCAATAGCAACCAGAGTACAAGAAAATAATTATTCCGGCTTTGAAAGCGCAGATAACGAGGACGATGATTTTGGTGATTTTACTAATTTTTCGAGTGCGACAATAGAATCGAAATTAAATGATGATGCTAAAGAAATGAAGGTACCTGAGGATAATGACGATTTCGGAGACTTCAGCAATTTTGAAACATCAATGAATGTAGTAGAGACACAGCAGTTTAGTTTGAAAGAGTCTATATGTCGGATAGAAAACAAGAATGTGAGTTTAGGAATGTTTGTAATACAATATAGTTGGTAGTTTATTAGAGAAATAAATGTATCGCTTTGGCTTAGATTTCGTGCAAGTTTTGTATTAAATATAAATAATATAACTCAACATATTTTCTGATATATTTTGATCAAAATGATTTCAGGCCGCGAATAAGATAGAAGATATAATAACAAATATGTTTCCAATGATTCTTGACCATCATGAAGTTGAATTAAAATCTTTAATAGATAAAACGGATAAAGTTTGGCAGAATGTGAAAAGTGTAGAAGAAACTAATGCTCTCACTTATCAATGGGCAAATAGCAGTAGTAACAATGTTCTTTTAAATGCTCTTGGTATCGATTCCCGAAACATCGTAAGTGTGCATATATTCCACGTATTTAAAACTGAAAATATTTCATACATTTATTCGACAACAAATATTTAAAATTAAAGCTTTTCGGGCCAAGATGGAATCCGAATATACCAAGGTTTGCTGCAAATCTCGGCTTTACTCCACTGGAGCCGATTAAAGCTACCGCTGAATGTCAGCAGCAACCATCTGCATCCAACATAAACAGGATGCAAGGCACGGCTTGTTCAGATGTAAGTTGAAGCTTTTATTTCAATAGGATACACGTGTGAGTACAATCTACGTGTTTATATTATTAATAATTGTAACATTATATTAGGAAGTACCCGCCGCCCAATTTGATTGGAATAGTTCTGGTCTTGTAAACCCCCTAGATGCTAGTAAGTATTTATTGTACTCGTGTGTATATATGTGTGTGGTAGTTAAATTATTACATTGAAAAAAAAGATGTTATATCTCTTATATAAATCTTTCTGAATCAATACACTCACATATAGCGAAAGAGAAAGAAAATAATATCTTTTTTTTTAAACAAGTATTTATTTTACACGTAAAAGCAATATATGTTGTGATATAACATGTAAACACATAACATGTTGAGTTTTTTCTTAAATCTTGCAAAAAATAACACAATACAGGTGGTGGTGGGTTATCCGCTCTTCTACCTCTGGATTTGTTGTGTCCGTTTGATCCTCTATTAACACCTCATTGCTCCACACACTCTGAATCCTATCATCAGTCAGCTTGCTCAACGAACTCCGTTTATTACTGTAAGTGCTGAAGCTATATGTGTTATGATGTGTATGTGATATGACGTATGCGTGCACGCTTATTTATCATTTTTATTTCAAATAAAAAATAATCCTTTCCATATGCATTCATATATTATGAAATATTCAGTAGATTTACACTTATCTGCTTGATTTTGAATTTTATAGCATCTTCGTAATTTTTCTGTATTTATAGTTGACCATATAATTAATTATTATATAGTTAATTATTGTTTATTATTATGCAGATCCATTGGAAACACAAGAACCAAGCAGTCAGCTTGTAAAGTCGCAAAATTTATCCGAATTTACTAATAGTCCGCTAAAACAGCAAAAATCGTCTCAGACGTCCAAGATAATAGAACCATTGCCAGGACCATGTACAGTAGAATGGAAAAAGAAAGTCGAACAAGATCTCGGAACGAAGCAGAAAAGTAACCACCAGTCGCATAAACCTTTGAGAAATGTTCCGCCGACCAACAATAAGTCGTTTCCGGTAAGCAATAATATTTCCAAGGTACATGATTATCATAGAAAGACATCGGTAGGTAGGAAAGAGAATACTCAAGCTGAACACGTGGTCATTGATCGGTATGGGCGACCGATGAGCGTGCAAGCCGAGACCGCGAAGATTCTGAATCAGTTACCGGATCTGTCGTTCTTAAACGCGAGAACTCTGTTGTTCAATCGCGAGCAGAAGCAGATCGTGCCGGATCTGGGCGCAATGATAAATCGGAAGATGCCCGGCTGAGTAACATCGGTCTGAATGCGAGTTTGAAAGGGGCAAACGCGAGAGGAAACCTCCCGGAGAACCTGTTGCGAATTGGACGTTTCTAAATGACCCATACAATCAAAACGTACTTCTGCTACCTTTCAAACCTGTGTTCAGACCAACCTCTGATCCAACCTTGGCTCTTCCGCGTCTGAAAAGAATAACTAGACGCGTACGTGTGTACGTGTGAAACTCCTGTATTATTCATCTATTCACTTGCTACACCGAGCAATGGCACTTTGACATTCCGATCCATCATTGTTTTGTGATTCTATAGCGCTATTATTGTTATTGAATCCTTTTAAAGGAGCTTTTACTTCGTTATGCAATTATAATTTAATATTGCACTGATCGTTTCGGCATGTAAGTTTGTTCTGTTAGCTCAACGGTTGCATAATTCTCACTGGAGATAGCAACATTTTACGTCTCTAAATTAAATAGATTTAAGAATTCACATCTATTCGGCCATGTTCTAGTCTACAGTTCTTAACAAATAAGTTTTATGTATCATATGTTAGGAAAGATTTTCATTTAAAGGGGTTTATATTTTTAATGATAATTACGAGCAGTGAAGCAGTCAAAAAAAAAATTATATTACACGTTTTTATCTCGTACGTTAAATTCATTTATTAACTCTTCTGAGATTACTCTTAGATGAGAGCAGACCTGAATATTAATCATATACATTCGAGATATTTCGCGTACTTTGTACGATATTTACTTATTACAATTTCAAGCAATCGTAAATATTTCCAGTCATAATATAGAGAAGAGAAAATACACATACACATACATATTTAACTCTATTCAAAATAAAAACTATATACTAAATCGTAAGTCAATTATCAATTAGATTGACGAGAAGATTGATATCTGTAATGAAATCGTCGAGTGATGTCGCATATATCAAATTCGCTTGATGCTTTTATTGCACATTTTGAATTTCTACTATGGAACGTGATGTACTTAATTATATGTAAATGTAAAGGCATTTGCATATTGATTATTAGAGCGAGATGATAAGCTAAAATAATATTACCATTATCGAATTCGTTATTTATTAATGATAATATTGTAATATATATTTTATGTAAAATATTGTGGATAACATTAACACATAGGCAATCTTTGACAATTGAATCGTTGTTACTTTTCTTAACCAAATTATATCTTGCAAAAGTCCTCGATCTTTTCCCGATCCTTGAATTAATCATTTACAAAAGACACATATGTCATATTTGATTTTATTAATTATATGAGTTAAAGAACGATAAACAATTCAATATTTTGAATATTCGTAGTTTTGATTTTACTAAATATAAGAGAAAAATTCATTTAAAAGACTAACTAAATGATAGTTATTCTTTTTTTTATTAAAATACTTTTATTAAAAAATTATTCATCATTCAATAACATAATTTGTTTTTTTCTCATCATTAATATGTATAAAAATATATATATATTATATATATATATATACACACACATTAAACAGTAATAGCTAATAATGTTTACAACACAATTAGAATAAAACATGTACTTAGAATATATTTGTAAAGAATATATTTAAATAATGTACTTAGAATATTAATAATACAATTAAATATTTTTTTAAAATATATTATATTACACACACACAAATTATTTCATATAATGCAATCTAAGTCTTTTTAAAACTTTTATAATTTTTTCTTAGACTAGATTTTTATAATTTTAACTTTTATAATTTTTTCTTAGACTAGATTTTTTAAATTCAAATATATAATGATTTATACATATATTGAATACATGTATGTGTGTGTGTGCGCGCGCGCGCACAATTTAAAACAATAATACTCTATATAAGTATAGAAATTTTTTTTAAAAACTATATATATATATAATTTGTAAATTGCAATTGCACCACCATTTCATCTTTTAATTATGAAAAAAAGCATAAATATATGATATTTTTCATCATTCAGAAAATATATCCTCTTCAGATTCTTCTTCTTCTAAAATATTAAGGATCTGTTTTGATTTTATTGTGTGAGACACATCTGTATTATGTAATGTTAATTTGTTTCTACTAGTAGAAGGCTCAGAAATTATATCTTTGCTAGAAGGAGAATTTGTACATCTCTTAAAATTTATCTTATTACTCTTTGGTGTAGCTTCACTTTTATAATCCACTTTGCGTTTTTTTAAATTAGATGATGCAGTACCCTTCTTGCTCTCTGCATCTGATTTTTGACTTTCATCGTCAGTAGTTTCATCATATACTGATTTTATTGTTTGTTTGTTGCTATCTAAAGCCTTCTGAAGCTCTCTGATCTTATTTTTCTTTGCATTCAGAAGTAAGAGAAATTTTGCATAAAGATCCTTTTCCATTTTATCTTTTATATTTATCATTTGCTCTATATCTGTAGTTAGCTTTATATTGCTTTCATTTAAGTATTTGTTCTCTTTTTCCAATGTTAGTATCTTTTCTTGACATTTTTGATAAAACTCTAATAATTGTTTCAAAGTGTCAGAAATAATTAATATATTTGAAAGAGGATATATTGCAATTTCTCCACGAGTAAGAATATTTTGTTGTTTCCATATAAATGTATCATCCTGCAGAAAGAATTGTATGTCAGGATTTTTACCAGAAAAGGCATGTCTAGTTTTCTCAAAGTATTTTTCAAAAGATTCATCTAAATGATCTAGAAAGTAATTGGCATTTTCTATGTGCATCTAGAAAATAAAAATAATTACATTAAGTATATATTTATTAAATGTAGTAGAAGATAATTATCAAGAGTAATATTTTGTTTTAAAAATAAAAAATTTGTTCGAGTTTTTAAAAATTTTAGTATCTAATTTTGTGATATATCCAAGTAATATACAATCGAATAAATAAGTATTAATCAGATTATACCTCTCCACTCAGTGGTATCGTGCATGGTTTTAACAATATTATTTTAAAGTGCGTATCCTCCCATTCTGCATATAATGTAAAATTGGTTTTGTCCACTTCATTCACGAGCTGACTCACGCTCACGTTAATCATTTCAATAATTTAAAAAAGGTATATGTAATATAAATAAAAAACGGAGGAATTGCGCGAAAAACATTTGATATATGATCTGATAAAATTTTTTAATAAATTTGATCGTAAAAATTATAAAAATTTGATCAGAAAAAATATATATTTTGATGCATAAAAAGCAGATTCTGTCGATGAGAAACGATACTCTTGTACTTTAATGTAATTAAAAATTGATAAAATTGATGAAATTGTGCACGAGAGCACATTATAAGGTTAGTAACATGTCGGAGCATGTTATGTTACGATGTGTCACATGTTCACATGTCATCGCTTGTCATCAAGTGACGCGCGCATGCGCTTGTAACAAAGTAATAATACTTAGGGTCGATATTACATTTAGAAAATTTCTTGAGTCTCTAGAATGCAGCCAATCAAAGCGTTCAAAAAATTTGTCGTACGACATGTAATATTAGCCTAGGTCTATTCTTTTTAGCTGAATTGGATGCACTGTATAAACTCTAGTGCAGCTAAAAAGAACAAAAATCTCATAACAAATGTATCTGCATGGATGTGAGTATTGTAATTGTTTAAAAAATTCGAAAAAAATGAAACGATATATTTGAAACATTAAAGTGATTATCACACACATGTGGATGCTTAATAACAGTTTTCTGATTTTTATTAGCAACAATATTGCTTTCTATTAAAAACGATATAATTAAATTACCGAAGAATAACATGACTTAATGAAATGTTTTAAAGATAAAAAATTATTTATTGCGAGAAGAGAATTACAGTACTTTTTTTTAAATTATTTGAAACTGTCCAATGTTATTTATTTTTTTCTTTTTATAATAGTTTTTAACATACCACAACTGATTTTATCCTTTACGATTTTTAAATCGACAAAAAAAAGGAAATATTCAAGTACTATGCAATAAAAAAAATTGAGACATCTTCCACAAATCAGGTGTTAGAATATATTAGAATATATGTAATATGTTATAATTAATTAATATTAATGTTTAACAGAAAATAACGTTATTAACTTTTACAAAAAATATAAATTCGAATGTTAATAGAGAATCTTTATTTGGAATAAATTTTTGATAAGGTAAGAATCATTGTTATATCGATAGTTTATAAGCGAAAAACTTCATTTTATATCATATCTAACACTAAATATATTTATACTTACAGAGTATATTTTATTAAAATTTTGAAATTCTTAAATATAAATTGAAATTTGCTCAAACACCTTGTTCATCACTTATTCTACATATATTTATACTATATCTGGAATTAAATAGAGCAAATTAGGATAGTAAGCAAATTATATGATAATATGGAACGTTCACCATTACCCAAAGTATTAGAACCATTAGCGTGGCTTGAAGGAACATGGCGAACAGACTGTGGTAGTGGCAACTACCCAACTATTAAAGAATTCAAATATTACGAGGAAATAAGTTTTACATATATAGGACAACCCATGTTCAATTATACTGCTCGAAGCTACTCTATCTCGGAACCAAAAAAACCAATGGCTCAATCAACAGGTTTCTTGAAGGTGGATCCAAAAACTAATAAAATATTTCTTATCTTGGCACACAATTTTGGTTTAACAAGTATCGAAGAGGGTGAAATAATTAACAATGTTGTTTGCTTAGACAGTATTGATATATTAAGAATGAAAGGAGCAAAACCACCACAAGTAACACAGGTGTGTCAATTTTTAACTTTTACTCAATTAAAAATACCATAATTTTTACTTATATAAATATAAATTATGTTAATAACTTATTAAATACAAATTATATCGTTTAAACTTTATGATTTTTTTCAGATGCGCAGGATATTCAAACTCGATGATAATAATTTAGAGCATGTGTTTTATATGGCAACATCAAATACTCCAGAACTGACTGAACATTTGCGAGCAAAATATGTAAAAGTAAACTAAAAGGAGAAAATATGAAGGAAAAATGAACTTTTAAATGTGCATATTAAATGTGCATTATAATTTCCACTATTTATTATTGCAATTTTTTATATAAGTATTATGAATGAATAAAATCTTAGAACAATAGGTAAAACGCATGCCAACCATTTTTGGGCATTAATTTTCTCTGCATCAGTGATATCTGTGCGCATATTACGTGATATGAATCTATTATGTATTCGTGTTTCAACATTATCTACCATTCAGATCCCTTGAAATTACCAGAAAAAATATTGTTTACGCTATTACATAATAACTTCATAATACACGAAGTATGTGTCATTTTACCATCAACAATAATTTCTGTTGCGAAATAAAAATTAAATGGTTTATGATGTAAAAAAAAATTGCATGATAACATATAATTATAATAAATGAAAGATTTCAGGAAGATATAAATACTGAAAATGTTGTGCTCTGATCTCCCAGTAGATATTTCAGCTTGCAATTGAGCGCTCGGACATAGAGAATACATATTATACAGGCTCAAGATATTTTTTATCACTTTCATTAAATTTGTATTATTTAAATTTATTGCGAAAAATGAATATGAAGATATTACCGTTGCATCAGTTGTTACATACGCTGGCCTGGCTGGAGGGCATATGGATAACGGAGGAGCCCGCAGTTGGAATATACCCGACCATTAAATCGTTCAATTATTACGATGAGATAAATATCACGTCCATAGGCCAACCGTTGTTTAATTACATTGCGCAGAGTTGGCATCCGGAAACGGGAACGCCGATGCATCGAGAGACCGGTTTCTTGCAGATTATACCGGGGACCAACAAGATAGCTCTAAGTTTGATTGATAATATAGGTCTATTCACAGTCGAACAGGGTGAGCTGATGGATGATATGAAAACAATTGATTTAAATAGTACCAATATATTAGCGACAGATGCAGCGATACCGACTTTTCCAACTTTAACGCAGGTACAATTTTTGTATAAATAATCGTTAATAATTTTTTTTTATATTCAATAGTACAATGTTTAATGTGTTCTTTTCTCGATAGACGCGTCGAGTGTTCAAATTCGACGGTGATAGTTTGGAATTAATCTTTTACATGGCAACGTCAAAAACTCCAGAACTGACGGAACATTTGCGTGCGAAGTATAAGAAAGTCGAATAAGACACGAATTAATGCTTTTCACGTTTGGTAGTAATTATCTGACAAGTAGAGAATATAAAATTTTCGAAAGATGCGGAATGTAAACGCATTCTTCGATATAGTTAATAAATGTATAACAAAAAGTAGATCTACTTTAACGCAACGTAATATACTAATATTAATTTGCACAAAGTTATATACACATTTTTTGTCTTCAATTTTACCAAGATAAATCAACTAAATAAAAGGTCGGAGGTCGGCGCATATAATATCTAGGAGAAAATTCGCGACTGGCACGCGACGTGACCGCACAGAGAACTGCGCCACAGATTACATCCTTAAGCGTATCCTTTTTCATTTGATCGATGAAGTTTAGTTATACTTTATTACATTAATAGCCAGTATGACTTTTATTGATTGTGATATATTTGCATTGCAACCTACATTATGATGTCAAAATATCAAAAATTTTAATTTTATCTTTATCATTTAATCATATGATTATAGAAAATGGTGAAATGAAATTTGATATAAAAGTCAAATAATATTTTTATAATATTTTATATATTTAATGTGTCAACAAAGTTTATCATCTAATTTTATTCATCTCAAAATCATATATCATAGAAGAAGTGAAAGAATTAAGAATCAAAGATTCTTAAAATAATTCTGTGTTAAATTAATAAATTAAAGTAAATTGAAAAATATTTATTAGCTGCAAAATTGGAGGATTAAAAAAAAAATATATATATATATATATATATATATATATATATAATTTTACTTTTCGCAGTAGACCCTGAAAGTAAATTGAAATTAAAATGAATTAAAGTAAATTGAAAAATATTAGCTGCGAAATTGGAGGATTAAAATATATATATATATATATATATATATATATATATATATATATATAATTTTACTTTTCGTAGACCCTGAATGATTTTCTTAATAGAAAGAACGTGCAATTCATATCAATCTGCGATTGTGTGGAATGATAATTGTAATGCATTTAAATTCATCGAAATGTATTATGTACGTATTTACGTGTTTCGTAATATCGCGAAACCTGAAATAAATAACCACTGCTGCTTACATTAGTCGCACGAATCCGCTCGGCACCCAAGGGGGTAGGGAATGTAACACCTGCGTGTTTACCCGCTGAAACAGCCTCGACCTACCGCGGTAGAACCGATGTCGACCATGACAGTTGCTCGCTGCGTCGGCATGACGAAGGAACGTTCCCTAGCTCCCCGAGGACACGAATATCGGAATTGATCTCCGAATCCTTCGCGTTATAACACCGCGAGTGTTCGTTACATCGTCATATGCCGCTATTAATTCAAGGCGATTCAAGCATCTCTGTGACACTTAAAATACGTGCGTTTTTTTTTGTTTGAATTTATTTTGCAATTCGCTCTCTAGATTATTTTGACATCATTTTTAAGTTTAGAGAATAAGCGTATTTAAGTCGTCATGTAGAGTTAATTTTGTACCATTTTGAATGCTGTTTCTATCTTTGATTTTGAGGCAATTCTATATATTTTCGATTTTTTTTTCATTAAAAGAATTTCTACTTTTATTTTAAATATATATTTTCTGTGTTATCTAAAAGTTTTTTTCATTATAAATATTTGGGATTTTTTTCTTTCTAATCGCTCATTTTAATATAATTAAATTAAAATTAATATAATTTAAATAAAAATTTGTTTTGTATTTCTTTAATATATTTTATTTAAAATTTACATTTCTTTGAAAGAATTAACATAATATTTTGATCTGATTTAAGGTGGTTAAAAAAAACTATGGAAAGTGGAGAAAAACGTTTGTTTCAAATATAGATTGCAATATTTGGATTCATTAATTTTCTTAATAGATGCTCGCTAAATTATGAATACATAAAACATATCTTGTAGATATCTTGTGTTTGGAATCATGTTACTTTCGACTTGACCTATGCGCAACTTGAACTTGTATTATTGAATCGATCGAGATCACTTCTCGATGCGCTCAATCGACTTTAGACTTTTTGACTTTTGAATGCCCTGTAGCATGGCACCGCTTTATGATGGTCACGATCATTACAAGAGGATGTTTGAACTTCAGGAGAAACTGCGAAAGAGGCAAGTGTATCAAATTCTCATGAAATAATCGCATATGAATGCATCGTAAAAAGCTGGAAATATTGTTACGAATTTTTCAGTGAGGAGCAAAGGATACGATTAGAGGAGCAATTCAACGTGCTTATGCGAGAATCTTATAACAGGTGAACGATTGTCTTGATTTATTTGAAATTCGAAAATTCCTTGAACTTGATTTTTTATGCTGTAGAGAAACTTGAACTTGTAATAGAGTTGATAGTTTTTATATGAAATCTATGACACATAAAATCTATTATGGAACTGTATAATAAAATCTATAATAAGTTATAATTCTTTTGATACAATTTAAAGTTTTTCAAACAACTTAAATAGCCTTAAATAATATTTTAATTATCTGTAAAATTATTGCCATATCGCCAATAATTATTATTGTTGCATATATTATTGTTAACAATACGACACACAGCAATATGATCATACTAAATGACTAACATGACAACAGTATGATTAATTAATGTGATTAATCATATTGTTTGATTATCTCGACAATTTTGTTTTTGAAGAATAAGGATAAAATTAATTTTCTATTGCTTTTTAATTTTTGTTTCATGATTTTTATTTTATATTGTTCATAAACTATAAACTAAATTTATTTAAAATCTATTTATTTTTTAATAACGCGTTAAATAAATTTTCAAGTCTAAAATGCAAAAATTAAAATAAATTAGTTTATATTTCTAATCTAGCGCAGCAATGGTAAAGGAATTACCAAAATACTCGATATCGATCCAACCCGGTTTTACGGGATGTGACGATCAATAACACTATGAACATAATTTTATTCTCATTATCATTGTCCGGCATATCTCCACGTTCGCGAATTCCATTCTCTCGTTGTTTACCTGTTCCGATTCGTGTCTGGCCGAGACATCCAACTTCATCGATCGCGAAGACAGGATAAGAACGCGCACATATTTCATGCCACACGATAGTGCGCGTCTCCGTTTTAAGGCGATGCGTTAGCTATGTATGTTGTAGCGGAAACACGACCTTGCATTATCAAAGCATTATCACGAAATGTTTTTTGATTGTAAAGGCTATACTAAATTTTTAATTGATCGATAAATAATCGAAAAGAATCGACTAAAAAAAATAACGCATAATTTTTATTTATTTCTAACTCTAATTTTACAACATTGTATGCCTGTAAAATTGATAAATATATATTATATTATAAGCGCATATCTCATTGAAGAAACATTTGTAATATATATTTAAATATATATTCTAAATGTAAAAATATAAATAAATATATATTATATAATAAATTTAATAATAAATTTATATAATAAAATTTAAATTAAAAAGAGTAAATTACAAATTAAAATTTATATAAATTTATTTATAATAAATTTAATATTATGAATAGATATTTTTAAATATATATTATACAAATGAGAAAAAGTAAAGGCTTCAATGGGAGTACTTATGAAGTATTTAAACTTATCATTCCACATAGCTCGATGATTTTCTAATTGCAGACACGATGCTTGTATAAATCGGTTGCGCATGAGATACATACAGTATTTAGAGGAACAACGTTCGAGAGATGAGAGGAATCATAAGCTTCTCGCAGCATTAGACAAGGTCACGAATAAACTTGCATTGATAAGCGCGAAAAAAGACAGACTCAATGTTCTCAGGGTAAGTGTCTATTATTTTAATCAGAGATTTATAATTATTTTAGAAAAATTAATTTACTATTTGTCTATCATAATAAAATATTAGTATTATTTCATTAGAAGTAAAACTGTCAATTATTAAGAAATGACAGAAATGTATTCCAAAAATTATATATATTTTATTTCCTTTTTTCTTTTCTTTAGAGTGATTCATTGATTGATCAAAGAAATAGAAATTAATTTCTTCATTATTTAAGATTTCAGTAAAATAAACTTTGAAAAATTTCTTGGAGAGAAAAATTCATTTTGTCCATATCTATAAGAATTCAAAATAATCTTTTCTTCCAAAGATTTAAAATAAAAATGGAAAATTGAAAATAAAAAAAAAGAAATATTTCTTTAAATCTTTTCCCAGTATTCGTGTTCTGGTTACATAACAAAAAAAAATATTTCAATATCTTAAATTTTGTCTATATATTATATTGCATGTACTTTGCTCTTATAATTGCAAGGAGATATAGCTATTGCGAGCAAATAAGTATCAATTCTTCTAACAAGCAAAAATCTTGGTTCCTTCCCAGAAACAATATGAAGCTTATCTACTTCGCGTCTATGCCAATCGTCGACAACCTGGTAGCATCACCGGGGACAGTGGTATCGCCAGTCAGAATGAAGATAAATATACGAGAAAAGTAATAGTGATGGCGCAGCCTGATATAGCATCCGCGGAAACGAGAAGCGTTTCGTCACCGCGAGTGCATCCATCTGCTCAATTGAATCAACCAAGGTCTACCTCCACATCCAAATTGCATGATCCAACTGCTGTAAATGGTACTTTATTAAATAATCCTCCGATTTCGCCAACTACGCCACAAGGTGCACCCTTCGGCGCCGATTATCATCAAACGCGCGTTCTACCTGAACCGCACATTTATGTCTCACCAGTCGGTCAAGCGAGCAAGCAGTTCACTCAAGTGTCAATTTCTTCGCCAAATACCCGTCAGTATCCACGAACGATTTCCGATTACGATGCAAGCGCATCTCGTAATCTTGAAGATGTCGCCAACCTTCGCGCTTCGTTTACGAAAGCACCGGTTTTGCCGATGACATCCTTGGATCAGATTCAACCCGATACTATTCCCGTTAATCGATTCTTCAGAGAGCATGTGGAATCAGTGCAAGCCGCGACTTCTGGTCTCTCGATGCAATTTCCCGCTGGAAATACAGCGCGATATGAAGAGACGTCGCAAAACGAAGCTGTTCCACGACAATTCGACCCTGATATAATGTCACCTAGTCCGCGGATAAGAAAATACGATCCGTCAAATATTTCAAGACCTACTTTAATGACCGCGAAGTCGAGTACGTATCGAATAGATCCCAATACAAGTGTCGTGGATGAAGTCGGTCCGTTGCCGGGATATATGGACTATATCGTGGCGAGTCCGCAGAAGTCCGAGGACGAAGAATCCATTCATTCTCTTACCAGCGATGATGTGGATGATCTGATAAAGTACAACGAGCATCTATTGCGGAGGAGCACGGATGGTACTAAGACTCCTCGATCGCCGATTGATGTTTTGGGATTGCATAATGCTAATCTGGACGAGAATGGCAGGACAGCGATACTGGAGAATGAACTGGACCGATACATTGGCAAAATCCGGAAACTTCATCGAGAACACGGTGTGCCAAGTCTAGAGGAGCTAGATCACGAACAGAACACTAGCGGTGATCTGCTGAATGTCAGTCTGTCGGAGGACGCAGCGGAGCTTCCGACCGAAGATCGGACGAGGAAGGAACGAGTGTCCGAGGAGATGGACAGGATTTTGGCGTTGGCAAACGATCTTGCGTCTAAAAGAACTGGGCCGAAGGAAGTTGCGCCAAATACAGCTGAGCAAAATGGCAATGACAACTTATCTGCGGAAGTTATCGGGGACGAAATTAGACACCGTGAAGTGACACCGAACGATACGCTACAATTCAAAAGAAAACGCGAGGCTGAAGGACGCGGGATTTCGGTAGAGAACGAAATTAGAGAAGATATTGCGACACATTCAACGGAATTAGAGCAAACGCATTTAAATACGGAGATTGCGAAAGAGGACTGGAATAATGCGGGCGATTTAGCCGAGTCGCGAGAACGCGATCAGGAAATAGCTACTACGAAAAAAGATGACATGTACGAAAAGACAGCCGTATCCTTGAATAACGAATTAAAGATTGACGATCGGAATAACACATCGGAAAAAGAACAGTTTGATCTTGTTACCGGCAAAGAATCGAATATCGAAGATCTGTTCAATGTCGCCGAAGAATTGGCGCCGTGGAATCTTGCGAGCGTGCAAAAGGAAGTTCGAGAATTACATTTGGACGATTCTGACGAAGTGAAAAAGGATGCTGAAGAGACGGAGAACAGAATTGTCGATGAAATTGCGAGCGAATCGCATGTTTCGTCATCGTCCATCGAGCAAAGCGGCACGGATGATGAAGTGAAGAACGCGCATCTCCAACAAAATACACTTCCTCAGGTAGCGGAGGTGGAGTCGAAAAAGTTGGACGCGAGCGAAAAACGTTTCTCTATCAAAGATGCTGAAGATGCGACCTTTCAAATTTCGAATCAACATAAGGCCGACGAATCCGAGATCGCATCTCAGATAAATGAGAAACTTGGCGAATCAAAGGAAAATAACGACAACAAGCAGGATGATGAGAAAACGACAAAACCTCGAATCGATGATCCATCCGAAAAGATAAGAGATAATAATGTCGAGCAGGAATATATCGAGGAGTCGAGTCAGGAGCAACAATACGAACAAAATTCAAATGAGCAATATCATTATGATCAAGGTATGCCATACGAGGGAGTTAATAACGAGGAGTATGAGAGATACGTCGCGCAAGGATACGCTCAAGAGGGACAGGAATATGTCGAGTACGTGGATGGTCAATACGAGCAATATCCTGAAGATCCCAATAATCCACAATATCAACACGATCCTAACGCTCAATATGAGCAGGACCCGAATCAAGCATACGATTATAATTATGATCCCAATCAGGGATACGGGAATGATCCTAACCAGCAGTACGATCCCAATCAAGGATACGGGGATGATCCTAATCAGCAGTATGACCCCGATCAAAGATACGGGGACAGTTCTGGTAATCAGGCATACGATTACACCGAACAAGTTGCTTACGATCCGAATCAGGCGTACGATAATACATATGAACAGGAGTATAAGGAAGACCAGCATAATCCTGATAATGTCGTCGTCGAAAATCGCGAGGGGGTACCGGAAACGAAAGAAATCTCTCGAGGACAGGCAGATCCGGAATCGGAACACAAATCGAGCAAAGCTGAAGATGAGTCGCAGCAAGACGCTGTTAATGGAACGAAGAAGAAGAAGGATGTGATCAAATCCTTACTGGATTCTGACACAGATACAACAATCGAGAGAAACATCTCTAACACGGAGAGTGATTTTGATTTTAATTAAGATGTGTTAGTACGCAACGGAAATACATTAAATTTGTATAAAGAGATGAAGGTAAATAATAAGAGATAAAGGTGATAACAAGATTCTCTTAATAAACTTAAATATGCATTAAACAAGAACGTGACTGAATCTCCGAGTTTCAACATCGATTTCACGAAAAGTGCCTCAAGTATAAACAGCAATTTAATTGAAATGTGCAATGTCGACGAGAACGAGTTAAGTTAAGTATAAATGAAGAAAAGTACAGCAATCTTGTTCATGAGAAAGTTTAATTTAGAAGGACATGCTTTTGAATCTGTGCTAAGAACTTCAATATGAATTTTATATTTATTTCGTGAGAAATGCAAGGAATGTGAATTTAATTTTAATTAGAGCTTTAATTAAATTCCACAAATTGTAGCAAAAATAATTAATTTTGTTTCGTGAAGTTTTGCTTGAAATCTAAATATCATATTTACATATGTAGGAGCAGAATAAAATGATAAAATCAGATGCAAAAATGAAAATATATATTATTTCATGGACACTTTGTTATATATATTTTTCATTAATTTATAGCAAAATTTGAATATAACTAATACGCATATGTGAAAAGAAACTGCGCACCTGTCAACGTGTCACAATCGTCAAAAGATTCTCATTAAAAGTGACACGGATCTAATTGTAACAATTTACATTGTAAGAATCGATTATTAAAGACCTTAAACTAAAGACATAAAACTAAAAAAATTGGAATAGAGTTTTTCGCATAGATAGAAGAAGATTAATTAATTCAAAAAGTTTTATAGGATTTTAAAAGATGAAGAGAATTCTTTTATATATATATTAATAATTTCTCTGTTTCATAAATTTAAAAGCTTCTGTTTAGTTAAATTTAAAGCAAACACGCCAAATAAATATATCGGAGTAGAATAAATACTGATAAAATTTCTCTAGATAATCATTTGAAATCAGAATTTTTCTGTTCCGTGTATTCAATACATATATATATATTAGACAATAGAGATGCAGCAAATTAGCAACTGTAATATTTGACAAGATCTATATTTATAAAAATGTTCTATATATATATATATATATATATATATATATATATATATAAATATTATATAAATATTATATATACAGGGTGTCCAAGTTATCTTCCGTCATTTTTCAAAGACAGATTCCTGGGATCATTTGAAGACGATTTTTCCTCAGCGAAAATGTCAATGAAAGTATTTTTTGCATGTTCCCGATTTTTGTCATCATATATCTTTGCAATTAAGTCTTAAATTAAAACTCAATTAAAGTAAACTTTATTTAAAATTAATCAAAGAATGTGATTTTGTTAATATTTTTTATTTCTACAAAGTTTAGTTTACGAAAAACGTCTTATTTCCAATCACTTATAATTGGAAAATTATTAGTGCCTCGACATTTTCGTTGAGGAAAAATCTTCAGATGATCCCAGGAATCTGTCTTTGAAAGATGACGGAAGATAACTGGGACACCCTGTATAAACATTATATATATATATATATATATATATATATATATATATATATATATTAGACAATAGAGATGCAGTAAATTAGCAAATGTAATATTTGACAAGATCTATATTTATAAAAATATTATCTGTATTTCTTTCTTTCATTATTATCTTTAACATATACGTAATACGTAATGATAAAGATATATAAATTTGTGTTCTCTTTTTAAGAATATAATTTTATATAATGTGAAATTTAATTTAATATTTTAATTCAACAGTTAAGAGGGCAAGTTTACAATTGGGAAATCGATTGAATCGATTGATTAGACTGTTAAGTGTCTTCATTTTTGCATGTGTAAAATACGTATATGCAGTTTCGTATAATTAGCGCAGTACGATGGCGGCGGTCAGTCGCATGATATGGATTTTCATGGGATCGACGGAAACGAGTCTGCGCCATTCGTGCGATTTTCACAGCTGTGTAGAGGTCTTCTCGACCAATCACGCTTATAGTACCAGAGCCGTAAGAGCTGCCGGTGAAGAGGATCTTCCTTTGTCCACTCCGTAGATCGACTCGAGAAAGGTAGAGAACTCATACTTTCTTCTGGAATTATTCTTTCTCTCTCTTTTTCTCTTCACTTCTCTGAAAATGACAAAATTACATAGAATTATTCACCGTAGAATTAACTGTTTTGCAAGACACGACATATTATCAATAAATGAAAGAAATTGAACGAGATTTCCGTGAAGTATCCTCCAATATTGAATGATCGAGACTCTCGCCGCAAAGTAGAATCGCTCCTATTTAAGTTTTATTACGTATCGAATTTTCTCTAGATTGCAGCACGTATTGAATCTAAGAAAGCTTGGTAAATATTGAAAAGAAAATCAATCGAATTCTATTCGCGTATCATCGAACAGTTTTAATAAAAGTGACACATATTCACGCTCCCGCGTATATACATACGTCACTTCGATATATCGAAGGCCACTCACGGCATGCGTCAAGGGATGACTCACACAAGTGCGTTTTCTTCATGTTACGCATGGAATTTTTTCGCGACAAAATTCTCCGATATATCGGGCGAGAATTCACATCTTTGAAATCGAGTCACGACGTTCATTTCGCGGTGAAACATCGCGTTTACCTTACCTTGAATGAATTCGCATAATTCGAATTAAGGAGTTATACCTCTCGATATTTTTAACTGAAAAAATTATGAAGACTTCTTTGATAGATATATATTATGATAAAGAATCGAAATAAAAATACCTAACAGTTTTTTTTTAAATTCCCCAAAAATACGTTTTTTTCGACTTGCTGAGGTATAACCCCTTAATCGAACGCTGTGACAGGAGCGCGAACGCTATATCGCCCGCGTTGCCGCGGACGCGCGCGCGCATGCGCGTCACCTCCGCGTCACCGCTCGCGTCCTTCGTGGCCAGCTGTTCATCTGGAGCCGCGCGCGCGACGCATCTCCTCCTCCGTTCGCAGGGCAGGGCAGAAATGAGTGAGACGTAAGTGTGACGAGCGTCGTTCGAAACAACGCGATAACTCGCAAATAATTGTTGCGACAAGACGGCGGTCGATAACGAACACGAATCGATTCGCTGCAGCACGACGGTGCGTACGGCAAAGCCTTAGCGTATCGATTGAATCGGTTGACACGTCCCACGTGTGTTCGTTCTCTCGCAAAAGTCGCTAATGGCGTAATGACGGGGAACTCATTCATGTGAGCGAGCAAAGTGCACGTTTATCCTATATATACACGGGCCTATTTAAATCTACATTTGTTTATCGCTGTACACGTACCGGTAGGTTTCAACACATGAAGTGGTAATATAAATATTTACTTGGACGAGCTTTCTCTCTCCCTCCCTCGTTGATTTTAAAGAGCAAAACGTTTACCTTTCTATCGTAACGATACTCCACAGCTATCAGCTGAGTGCGTGTTAACCTTAAATTCGAAAAGTTTTTTAATATTGATATGTATATCGATAATAAAGAACTGGAAATTTGATATAACAATGATGGATAAATATATATTATGAGAAATAATTCGGATTCCTTCTGTGAAGATAAATTCCATACAGGACATTGCAGCAATATTGCAACAATATTGCAATAATATTGCAGTAATTCAGTATATTCAGTGCTATGGATAATAAGCATGTGTGATATCTTAAATGAAGATATAATATTTATTCAATCAATCTAGAGTATTGATTTTGCAAGTATTGCATTTGATTAAGATACTTTAATAGATTAGAAAAATACATAATTCAATAAAAAGTTATTTACTTCATAAATAAGCGAATAAAAAATTCTTGCACATATATTGTTTTTAAATATATATCTTCAGATTAATGCATTCAGTGTGTTTAGCTGGTACACATACTGTAGATTGATTGAAATGTAAATTATGATCGATTTTGTTAAATGTGTGTACTGTGATGAAAGTCAAACATTATTATATATATTATCGAACATATTCGAATTTACTACACGTGTGTTAATTGTCGTTTGATAATCTGCGTTTGTCAAACGGCAATTGTTGCAGATTGTCAAAACGCACATTCATTATTTTTAAAACGATGAAGAAGAAAATGTCCATGCTAATTGCACTATTAATAGCACCATTAATCCCTGGTTAAATGAGCACAAATTAAGTTCTCAATTAGTGAATACTTATACTTAACAGAATTACAATTGTATTGTAAACTAATCAGATTAGAATGATGAGATTAATAATACACAAGAGTCGAATTATATAAAAATATCTTGTAATTCTTTATTTGATATTTATTCAGATTAATTGATAATTTATTTGCGGATCTTTTTCAATAATTTCTTATTAGTAATCATGTGATAAGTTATGCATATATAGGTTTTATTAATGCAAAATTAATAATTATAATTATAATTAAATAATAATTATATTAAGTATTCTTTTGTTATGAGTAAACTTGTGCAGTGCAGTTTTATTTCAATTAGCGTTTCTTTATCACAAAATGCAATTTCGATAAGGAGATGTTTATTAATCCAATATTCAATATCCATATAGATAACATGTATAAAACAAACAAAGTATATAATACAGTGGCGTTTTTGATAAAACAATGTCATAAATAACTTAAAAAATTATTTTTAAATTTGGACTTTATACTAAAGATGATTTAATAGCATCTTTAATATTTTTATAATTTATTATATATACACAGAAAAGAAGAACATTCTTGTTTTGAAAATATATTTAGTTTTAACATGGAAATCTTGAAGTGAAATTATATTGTGTTAATTAAAGAAAAATGTAATTGCTAGAATATTGCGTATATACGAAACATTGAACGCGTTAGTTTAAGTATATAAGTTTTGATTTGACATTTATTTTTTTTCTGTTTATGTATATATAAAATTTATGATTATAATATATTAATAATTTTTAATATAGGCTTTTTAATATTAGCTTAATTAAAGGAAAAAATAATTACCAAAAAAATAACAATTACTAAATTTATATTTCTTATTAGTAGTTAGTTTTCTTATTTTTTTATATGATTATAAAAATTATATATATATATTTCTTTATAATCTTATTTATTTTATATAATTGCATCGTTTATCAAAAAATCTATGATTGATAACGCAACCATTGCGGACAATTAAATGTGACGAATTAAGATGAATGCATTTGCAGAAGTATGGAAGACATAGTGGCTGTGAATGGAGTGAAGGAGGTGAACGGCGGCGCGGACAGGATTTACTATGAAATGGATGGCGAAGGTGATGCCGATAGCTCGACAACTCCAAGTCACAACGTGGATCACCATCGCGATCGTGAGTGCTATATCAATTTTTATTTCAATATCTCTTTCTGTCTTCTTTTTTTCATTCTTACTCACTAGCTCTAATCAATTATTGAATATAAAAGCGTTATGCAATCATACAAGACAGTGATATGCAAAAATTATGAGACAAGATAATAAGATTCTATGACGGGCTTTTATTCGTTGAAGTTATATTTTTAGTTCCTTGAGTAAGTATGACTTTAAAACAAGTTAGTCTAAGACAAATGGTCACTCGCATCAAAATTATTCTTTAAAGCTTCTTGGAGACTGATTTTAAAATCATAAAATTGTCACAAATTTATTTTCATTATATTTAATAAGAAGAAAAATTATTGCGTAATTTCTTTTTGTTAATGGAGATGATTCTAAGATAATAAAAAAATATAAAGAAAAATTACATTCTTTGATCACTTGGGAGTCAATTTTTTTCTTAGTAAAAAATTTTGATTAAATGTTGTTTTCTTTTCATAATCTCTTTTAAATGTGACGTGACGGCCGAATCACCTTCGTTTTGATAGAATTACATTATGAAGCGAGCACACAAAACATTTCGCTAAACGGTGTATTATAATAGCTACGATTCGTGTATGTCTACAACATTTTATCTGGCAGCACGAAAGATGAAGTTAATTAAAGTTCATGAGGGCAGTAAAGATCAATATGAATTATACATACAGTAACCACGATAAGAAAATAAATGTCTGATCGATCTTTTATATGAATTAGAACTCGCTGATTCTCGTAGTACACAAGATTTTATTACAAGTCTGATAAATAAATAAATATCATAAATAAAATATCGGAAATTGTGAAAAATAGCAATTTTTTACAGATTGATAGACACGAGAAATTGTGGGAAATTATTTAATAGATAATATTTTTCAATATGCTTTAATATTGTGCTATTATCATTATTAATCATCAAATTTCTCTATTCAAACAATACATTTTTCGCAGGTTGAATCTTCTATTGTTGTTTCTGAACTATTTTTAATATTGAAAAGTCCTCAATAATCATATAAATCAATTTTAACATAGATTTACACGACGTTCTGTTGATTGACGCGAGCAAAGGTTTTGGAAATTGGCAGTTAGCCTAAGAACTTCTCTTTGCAGACGACCGATAATATTTTGGCCCTCGTTACAATGGTGCCGTCTCTCGTCTCGTCAGTACGAAACGAGACTTTCAGAATAGAGGCAAGACAACAACGTGCAGATTAACTACGTAGAAAGAGATCGCAATTCGACAGTAGTTTCGCGATATCCTTCATTGAGTTGTGTTACGCATAGTCGTAAATTTTGAAAATAGATATCATATGTGTGAAATTTAAAGAATCTCGAAAACACAGTTTTTGCAATAATTGTATAATCAATTCGACATTCAGTGATAATTGTAAATCTTGAAAGTGGTGTATGTGAAATTTGCAGAATTCCATGATAAGAACTATCACAGCCAATTCAAAGACTGTCAATAAATGGCTAGTGAAAGCTAAAATCTCATGAACCTTGCAATTTCGATTTAATTTAATCTTTATTTGATTAGGTAAGTTATAAATACTTTTCACGACGCAAATAACAAATATTTATTTTTTCTAGATAATAAATGATTCATCATTTAATTAGTGATTTTGAATAACGGAGTTTCATTAAATAATTAGAAAATTAGTTATTGTCAAGATTAAGAAAATCCAATAAAAATAATTTCTTAAATTCGACTTAAAAATTTTGTAATAAATTATTTCTCTATAAATCTTGAAATGCGAGATTTTAGTTGAATCATTCTTTCTGGAGTAAATATTTACTCCGCTCGCGTATTTTATTTGACGTCAGATTTTAACAAGTATATTTGCGTTTTATGATTGTTTTGAGCTGAATAATTCGCGATCATGTTTTGCGTTTTTGAATTGACGCGTTTTGAAATCATTCAGTTACCTCGTTTGCTTTCGTGACCTTCGAGCATAGTATTGGCACGAGACTTGATGAGCACAACGATTAGCACGTTACTTAGTGCGATGCCTATGACGTAGCTAAAAACACGCTACGATATCGCACTATTAAAAGTCATGTTATCCGCATCGAGTTCGCGCATTTCCTGTCGTTTGTAGTCGAATATATTTTTTTTAAGTTATAAAAACGCGATATATCGCAGAAAATTTATTTGTAGCATCTTGACGAGTCTCTCCACGAGAGAAAATTTTTGATTATTAGGAGAGACAAGCTCGTTGGTCGAATAAATCTTCTGTCGAATCGTCTCGACCCTACTGCAACTTACTCCGCATCGAGAATCGCGTGACTCGAGACGACCTCGGTGGAGAAATGTCAATCAGGGGTGTGACCACTTCGGAGAACGAGGCGTTCCTTGGTTCCTTGCGTCTACCAAATTTTCTGATCGATCCGGATGAATATTACGAAGGTAAAAACGAGCGCGAGGGCTCGAATTCTGCAACGATATTAACCGCTTGATGTGGGGAATCGAATTGGCAAAACGTACACGTGTCAATTTTACTTTATTTTAAACTGTCTCAGATAGCGACATTTCTCCGTCGTGCACTTTGTATATGTGAATAACAGTGATGACGAATTTACGTCCGTTGTCGAATCGTTAGTTTCTTGTCTTGTCAATAACATAACTAATAGCCTACTTTTTATTGTGAAACAATTTATTATCAGATTGTTTACAAGATGCATGTTTCTATAGAAAGATAGATACATAATTGCGTCTTCTTGGAATTTTCTGACATGATTCATTGCGTACTTTCCTAAGCGTATTTAAAGCTCTTCATTAAAACTGCAAATTACTCAAGGTACAAACTCTCGTCAGTGGTAAACAAAGCTGCTCGCTAGAAATCATTAAAATAGCATTTTACTCTTGATTTACACCTAAAATGCTATTTTAGTGACTTCTAGTTTTAGGTAACTCTGTTTACATTAGCATTAGCATTAGTGGTATTTGTGGTATTATTTCACTCAAATTATCACAATGAGATAGTTTTTATATAACATAATTATAAAAATTTCGAATAATTTCCACATATTGCTTACAATTAAAGCTGATATATATATCATGACATTTATCTAATGTTGCGCAATTTTAATGCGGTCGGACAGTTTTTTGGCATCTTACAATTAAAATGATCGAATCAAATATTTTATTAAAAAATGTTAAAAAATCCTTTTTTTTTCAAGATTATAAAGTATAAATTGATTAAAAATAACTTCTATTTAACATTTTTATTTTGGAATTTAAACCTATAATTTGTAAGCTTCATATTAGGCACAATTCTACATTACCAATCAAAAAAGTATTGCATTATAATTATAAAATTTTTCAGGAGAATTATTTTATTTTTGCAATTTTTTATAATAAATTTATATTTTATATAATAATTGTATATTAATATTTTTATAAATATTCGCAACTTCTATAAAACTTAAGAACTTTGATCAGAATTTCATATATTGCCTGGAAGTTATGATAGCATCATATTTATAAAGACGTTGATGCGATATTAGGGGAAATAATATTACATAACTGAAAATATATAAAAATCAAAGTACGTGCTTAAAGTCACGATACTTTTTCGTTGGTACATATTATTAAATTTTTTAAAGTGAATGTCACAAATCATGAACTGAATTTTGTACCGAACTCTTTAATTCTGAGATGTTATATGCACGTTTACCGCAGCAGACTTCGGCCAGGATGATCTTTCTTAGCCTGGGCATTAATGTCGTGCCAATAGGTATCGAAAATACCGACGCCGGTTTATTTTTGTTCCGCGATATATTTATATGATACATTCTCGTACGAGCCCCTCATGCGTCAGACGAGGACGAGGAAGTGCCGGCGTTCTCGATGGGAAAGATTGAGGCGAGCTTCGCAGAGATCCACGGTAACTGTGCCAAGAGGTGGTATTGATCCTTTCCGCGGCTACGTCTAGCCACTATGTCACTTTTCTTGGCGCGCGCAAACCCCGTATTACTGCCAGAAATTGAATCACGCAAATTCACGCGATTGCCGTAAATAGACACTGTACCCAACCATAGGATTCGATCGCGTTCTTCGACGCCTCGAGGAAATTTCCACTGCCTACTTATTATTAGAAACGATTGCGTCATAATGCAGTTTATTGTTAAGAAGTTGATTTCAATCAAACATCAAATATTCATAGAAATGATTGGTAAATAGTTATCAGATATTTTTGTCGAAGTATTAATTAAATTTCTGTATTGTATATTAAATTTTTTCCTGATGATTTAATTAATTATATTATTAATTATATATTAAAAATACTTATTTATTTCGCGTTTATCTGTATATGTTATAATGATAAAATTTTACAAAAGTTTTACGAAAACTAATTTATATCTTTCTACAAATGCACACACATATGTTTTACATGATTATTTATTACTCTTGATTTTCTTGTCTTGTTTATGCAAATTTTCATTAAAAGATTTGTATATTAATTAAAATATTTATGGTAAAACGTTGGTTTTAACCTTGAGTTTGTAGAATAGTTCTGCAATGAATTCTTTAATACAGTTTTCAAAGTCTTTCTATAATTAGTCCACGTGTAACATAAACACTTTTATAGTGTCGGAAGTTACGTATCTAGATATGCATGATAAAATCGATAAAATGTATCTAGGTACGCATGATAAAATCAATAATTATTATCTTGCTATATAACAGCAAGAGAGAACCACGAGATTTTACAAAATAATAAGTTTTATGTAGTTAATTTCGTTGAAAGCAACGAAAAGTAAAGACTTTGCACAAAGTCATCAGTCACATTTTCTTTTATTCGTGTTATTTTTCACCACTGTATAAAAATATGTCTATATTTATAATACATATAAAAAAATGAGTGTTACACATGAAGAAATTTGCATGATTATTAGTTTTTTTCAGAGAATTTGTAAGTCAGGTTTAATTTGCAAAAATGCCCCCTTAAAATCTAATCAATCACGAAACATGTGCGGTGAAATTATTTCTACATTCGAGAAATATATATCGTGTGATTCGTAATAAAATTTGCATGCTGTCGGTGTCACTGGTTGCAGAAATTGCAGAAATTCTTCGCGCGCGTGGCCGAGGTTGTGAGCACCAATTAATGCAATCGTTGTGTTCGGCGCACGCGAAAACCGTTGTCACGACAAAAACAATGTTCTGTAATTAAATCACTAGGTATATTACACATCGCTGAAACGGCTCACGAGTCTGTCAGAAAAATGTGCGCGTGTATCATGATGCATCATGGTGAAAAATAGCACACGCGAAAGCGTTATTGTTCATTCTTTATGTTCTCGACTTTTTGTACTTCGAAATACCCACATGTCATATTTTACTCTTGAATAAATTTTTAATAAATTTTTTTTAAATTTATTTTTTTATGATTTTCTCTCTCTGTTTTTCATAAGCACAATATTAATCGATATAATCGTATCAAAAAGATACATCAATTTTTTTATTGTACTTTAATTGGAACTAATTAGTATCGTCATATGAACCATTTTTTTCTATTTTTCTTTATCGCGATTATTAATTTTATCCTTTAATTTTCTCTCTCCTGTCTTGTTTGTTTCTTGCTTCTTGCATTCGCAAAAATATGGTTAATTACGATCGCGAACTAATCGCAGAATATGATTGCGCAGCACTTTACTTGAACCGTACTTTATTTTACATTGCAATAGAAATACACTCGAATTAAATGGTACAAAACTATGGTTCGTTCAGCACTGGAAAATTGGATGGTTTTTTATACGATGCTATCTTTGTTGCTAAAAAATTATATACATACGTATTTTATTTTAAATCTTATTATCTCTTATGAGAAAACAAATAAATGTATACAAATTAAAATTTGAGATATGCAAAATATCTAAGAATATATCCATCGATTTACGTGATTGATTTTGATCAAATATCATATAAAATGCTTCAATTACTGCATATAATTGATGTATGTAAATGTCGAATTTGCATATAATATATACGATATATATATTATTATAAAATACAGAATTGATATCGAATGCACTTCAAATTAATTCAACCGTTTAATTATAATATAATTAATGATTATTTCGTTAATGATTGGAGAAATTCGAAAATAATTGGCAATTATATACTCTGATATTATGCAATAGTAAGTTATATAATTATTACAGTAGAATATCGATAATTTTTTTCAGTATGGGAGGAACGGAAAATTCCTTGAAAATAATAATTTATCAGGTGTTTTCACATATTTCTAGTATATAAAGCGCGTCATCTTATCATTCTATTATGACATGAAGAGGACACGATATTAGTTCGCTGTTGTTTACATGTCATAGTTTTGTAATCATTCACGTGACGACATTCATATAGAAAGGTAGTGGGACGTGAGATCGTTGTGTATGTCGTATTATCTTTCGAAGTAGTATATCTTTCGAGTACGATAAAAATTCAAGAATATGTCATCACGATTAATTTTGCTCGAATAAATGACATAAAATGTTTCAAGAAATTGATGCATATGATCATCGTATTTATGATAAATACGGAATACGCAATTGATAAATACGGAGTTAATAACAAAGACATATTAAAATTAAAATTATTTATTATAATTATAACAAACGCAATTAGACGTTCGAATCAATTTATTCTGTATTCGTTTTATTAAGGAGTAAGAAATTCGAAGATAACGTTATAATGTGATAATTTTATTCTGATATTGCGTGATATTACATAATAATACGCAAATTGATTAAGAGTCTAATTATATATATATATATATATATATATATATATATGTAAATATATTTTGTTTGGTTAAAAATATCGCTTATTCAATGATTGTTTTTTGTAACGTTACATTTGTTATGAATTTTGCGACGCACAATGCCCTGATATTTACATATGACTTTGTTATTCGCACCGCGAACGAAGGTGGAACACGTCGTTCTGTATCATATTATTTCTCGAACTATGATCACAAGTAGAGTAAAAAATACCAAACGATTATTTCTTGCAAATTAAAAATCAGATAGCAAGTAATTAATTATCGCATTTTTACTGTCAATATACCATAAATTCGCTAACTGACATTTTCATGAAACATTTTTCTCGAAAAATACAAAATACAAAAAAATACAAAAACACAAAATAAAATGAGTGTTGTATAAATAAGTGCTGCGCAATTTGACATTCTAGTCATTAGTGTGTGCGCGAAAGTAATTAAGCATGTTTTCGTGAAAGAATGTCATGAAGAAGTAACAAAGAATGAACAGGAACAAAGGAAGAGATTTGAGGAAATATCGATTAGGTGAGTGATTCACATATTGTTATTAACATATTTTATGTATAACATTGTACGCGTTTTACAAGAGAATTTAAAAGAATCCAATGTATTGTAATATTATAAACCATACAATTGTCAACAATAACTTTTTAAACGATGGAATATTCGTTCGATGAACGAACATTCCATCGTTTGCGCGAAAGCTGACTTAAACACCTACGCAGTTACGCACGCACGTGGACATATTTGTCACACCGCGATATGTGGGTCATCCAGGAATAAGCATGCACTCGCGATCGCGAGTGCGAATATGTTATCGAAAGTCGTGAAACACACGTTTCACCTGTGTTATCGAAAATAGCGAAACACATACATGTATCGCGCGTTGTAACGTGTTTGTGCCAAATTTTCGGTATCGTTTTGCGTGCCCATCATGAATAAAGTTGGCTATTAATACATCGATGATTTGCAAAAATGGCATAAATGCAATTTCGAAAATCTTAGTGAATTTCATGTAACGCGAACGCATAATTTTATTATAATTTTTGACTTTACGTGATATGTAATACTAAAACAAATCACGCGATAAAGTTCGTATTAAGATTATATTAAAATCCACTTGTGAAATTAATTAATTATAAATTAGCCTTATTCTTATCAGCCAAACAAGATTTCACCAACTCGAGAGATTTAAATCGCTCGAACTCTCTGAAATAATCTTCCTCTTCTGAGATATTTATAATATTTTCAATTCATTAAATTCATTAATTCTATTAATTCATGAAATTCTACTAAATTCAATTTATTAATTTTATAATCGGTATCGAGAAATCTCTGAACGTCTTCATAAAACACAATGTTTGATGTTGAATGTTGTTTGACGAAAAATTACATAATATAATATAATATAATTACATAATTAATTATATAATTATATAAAATAATTACATAATTATATAATTATGTAAGAATTGCATAATAATTATTTTTTAAAAATTTATTAATCAAGAACTTATTAATTTACACGCGTACGCGTGTTTTGTCGCGTGTGGCGCGAGTCTTGCGCATTTATTACGCACAGATCCCACGATACGACTCTGCCAAGATTCTGCCAAGTATCCCCTCTTTTCCCTCCCTCTTTTGCCTTATCCTACCACAGTTTATTCGATACTTACGACCAGTTGGCATGGTCAGTGCCCTCCGAAGCGTCGTCGACTAAACATATGCGGTATAGTTTCTCTTTCGCGACTCTCGAGAGTGAACTCGCATCTCGCGCGCGTCGCGCTTGTTTTCTTGTAGAATAAAATTACTGGAGTTTTACACACGACGAAGGAAAATAAAACAGACATCGCACACTGAGCAATTCTCGAGCATCTCACGGAAAACGCCTTGTATCGTAACTTTGTGTGTTATTCAAGGAACTGTCAAATTCGAATCACGTTGATTTGTTTAATTCTGGTATCATGGGATTCGCGCGAGTAATAAATTATTGAACCGTTTGTCATTAGAATAGTTGAAATACTTTTTATTTCTTGTTTGTTTTAGTAGCGAGATATTAAAATGTTTATAATCTCTTGTTTTACAGAAAATATATTATAAATGATTTTCGATCGAATGATTATCGATCTTGTGTTTGATTTATGAAGAAAAACATTAAATTACAAATTATTCATTACACAAAATGTTTCAACCTCTCTAATATGATTTATGAAGAAAAATTAAATTAGAGAGATCGATAAAAATTATTAATAAAAATCATTAAATAAAAAATGTTTCAATCTCTTTAATATTTATTTTATATAAGCTAATATAATATAATATTTTTCGAATTAAGTCTTGAGAAAATTTCTTTTAAGACAATTTTTAATTTACGATTAAAATTCAAATTTTTTAAAAGTCATAGCATATAATAATCGCTTTAAATTTTGCTATAAAAGAATTAGCTCAAATTTTATAGGAAAAAGTAACGCTAATATCTATTTAATTTCATTCGTGAGAAACAGGCTATACGTCATAAATCACGCGAAAAGACCCAGCTGACCAGAATTAGCGATAATTAATGTTGATGCAACATCAACGATTTTTGAAATGTATTGATCGCCTGATGCCTGATGAAAATATTGCTTGCCAAATAAATAACGTTTCGCCGAGAGCATTAATAATAATCGTAATAATTAATGCAGGACTCTTTGCCTTTTCGAAAACATTTTGATAAAATATATCGTCAGTTTATTGCGTGAGAACGGTTTCGACAAACGTAGTTGCATAAATTTATATGTGACATATATACATATTACTGAATAATAAGTAACACAACATCCTACGCGAAATTTAATTCATATCTCGTTTCTGTTTTGCGCAAATCTCTCGAGTATCGATTTTGATAACGCGAGACGGAGAGATAACATGAGGGAATTAAATTATGTGCTGCCCGATTAGAACTATCAATATGAATCAAATCCTACATTATTACCTAGATATCTGATTATTATTCAAGTATCCGGCTGTTTGAGTCTCAGGCAATTTCATCGACGATTGAAATGATGAACTGGAGCACAGTTTAATATATATATATATATATAAATATATATATATATATATATATATATATATATATTCAACCTTGTCGCATAAATCATTCGTATCATTTATGCGAGATGTTTTTACAACATATATTTTCATAGACTCAGTTTTTTTGTATATTTGCATAAAGAGATATTTTTATAAGCTAAAATTATTTTATATATTTATAAAATCTATTTTTCCTTAATAGTTAAAAGGAAATTTTGAACATATTTAATGATATCTATGATAATCACAATGTTTGATATAAATTTGAACCAATAATAATATTAATGATACGTTTGATAAATTTGAACCAATATTGCTTTGTATTTTAGAAATTAATTTGGAATGAATGTTGTGATAATCAATAATTTGCAACGGGTAATTTCTGGGAAACCGTTAAATTTTTAAGCAAATTGCCATATTTGATTATTTATGAAAATTTTGCAAATATGACAACACATGTCTCGTATACGTGGTTTAAATCAAATTTGTGCAAATCTACAATGGCGCATTGTTAATAATTGTTTTGTATTGCATAGAATTTCTGTTCTTCGTAGAATTTTGTAATTTGCAGTTAATTCGATGACTCGGTAAATGTGTGAGTTATCACACCGATATTGAAAATGGTAGAAACAATATACCGACCTTGTGCAGAAAAGCCGGGAGAATAAATTTTTTTTCGAATTAATTATTTATTACGTGAATCGATGTTTTTAATTGCCATTACTGTTATTTGAAAGAAAAGTTAGTTAGAATCGTCTACTGATATTGTGTTGCAAATTTTAAACGCCAACTGTTTGTTATCAATTCACGTCGAAACGACTGAACCTGTCATTTTGTTGTGCAATGCTTTTTTAGACAGCTATAAACGGTTTTTTAAAAGAAAAAAATTTATATAAATAGTTGTGTAGTTGTGTAGTTTGTGTGTGTGTGTATGTGTGTATGTGTGTGTATAAAGTATAAATCAATTATTTTATATATTTTTGTTATTCTTTGTTTACTTTAATATATTTATTTTGCCTTTGTTTTTATTATCAAATTTTTTAATGTAAAAATTTTAATCGCGTAAAATCAACATAGTAATTATTTTTTTCTCTGTTCTCTTTTAAGATATTTACTTTTCATGAATTTACATTTTATATTTTTCTACGCATATTCTGGAAATAATTAAAAAATAAATAAATAATAAAAGAATAATTAGCTCATTTCCTAGTTCGCTTACACAGTTGACAATAATACGTTCATGTCAATTTCATGCAAATTACACGTACAGAAACTGTGTATAGGCGTAATTTAATCATCCCTGACGCAACCCCAATTCACGTACTCTGTAGACTACCGTTTATTACGCATAATTTCCTAGCAAGATTGTAAAGTCTGCTTCATTATAAATAAGTTGTTATTTATCGTAGTCTTATTTGATGTGTGTGACATCTCCTTGCTCTCGTGGTTGAATCATTGCTTCGGAGATGAGAAAGCTCGTTGTCGGTTTGTCGAACGAAAACAACAGTCCTCGAATGCCGCGTTGCGTTCTATTAATAACCCGACATCGCGGCTCTTTGTAGATTTGTCGACAGTCGAGGGTCACAACGAGCTCGTTGGTTCATTGATCATATTGTAGGACTATGTGTTTCTCTCGCGGAGGTGCCATCGTTGAATTAGAATGCTCTTGTGATAAAATGATACAATCAAGAATTGGCATGAAAAATATTAATTAAAAAGACATTATAAATAGTAATTTATAATTAATTATCATTTTTATGTATTACTTTGAAATTACAAATTATACGTTTAATTTGAAAATTGAATAAACATAAATTGTGAACCACGCATATAACTAGTTGACAGTCAATCATTATTTGATATTTGTAATTTTTCGATACAATATATTGCTATTTTTTAATTATATATTTATTAAGACATTAATTTGTTTTCCATCATATGATCCATTTAGTAAATTAATTGCAGTTTTTTTATCTTTATGGGCGAGTTAGAAAGGCGATCGATCATTTCGAATTTTCCAAATAAGAATATCGTGTAAATGCAAGTATAGCAAAATATAGCTAAAAAAATATTTACAGAGACGATAGGAGTTCGTTGATAAAAAAACGATCGAAATTCTTGAAATGGGAAATGAGAATGAAATTCTTGCCGTGTACAAGCGCAATTCTATTACTGAGTGGTTGCAGAAAACTGGACAAATTACAGACTATGTAAACAATGGTAAATCCTCCGATAATTATAAAAATTGTGGTCTCTCTTTAACTTTTTCAGTCTATTTTATGTTATATATGTTTGTCTCTAAACGAAATGGAAAGTTTGTGATTTTTCGAGTAATTTATCGCAAATCCCTTATTGTATTTATACTAATAAAAAAAAGATTCATTAATAAAAAAAAATTAATTAATGTATATCCTATATAATAGTCGATTTCGATTCTATTTTAACATAATTATTTTATTTCTCGTTGCAGGAAGCGAGAGCCCAGTCTTCGGCATCGAAGGTGGCGGAACCGGCACTGGGGGTAGCAATAGCTTAAGACTTGCATCCGAGTTACCAAACGAGATTTCGGCACCCTACGAAGTGCCGCAATTTCCGATCGAGCAAATTGAGAAGAAGCTACTGATTCAACGACAATTGACCGTCAAGTAAGTGTGATTAATCCTAAAATGCATGCCTTTTCGAATCATGTGATTCAGATCGGTTCAAGCATGATAAAGACTTTATATATAGGCAATGTTTAATATATATTTATCGAATATTTTCTTACCAAAAGAAGTTAATTATAAAAATATTCATATTTTTTCATATATGTTTTTATATTTATTGAATATTTTATTGCCAAAAGAAGTTAATTTCGAGAAATAAAAGCGATATCAATAACTAAGCAGCGATAAAATCATGATCGCGTTATATTTACGTTTATGTGGAAGGTATATCAAAGGTATTTGTAAAGTGCTGGTGTGTGTGTTCATAGATACACTATCACAATCGAGTACCTAGTAAGACCGAGTGCCATAAATCTTATGTAAGGTGTTTGCGATGCGAGCACTTATTATTAAGGGAACAAAAAATTCTAAATTAAAGCCTAGTAAAAATCGATAAGTGTATAAATTCTTGAAAAATATCTCGAAAAATAAAATTTTCTGAAAGATGACGGAATGTTTAAAGAGATAAATCATGCTTCGAATATTTACATTTAAAGAGAGATATTATATTAAATATTTTTTAAATAAAGGCCAATCTATATATGTATTATATACCATATTGATCTAAACATTCTGACATTTTCGAGACGATCAAATATGCTATAGCATGTCTAAATATCATGATAGCGATTGTACATCTTGAGCAACTGTATCATGATCCGTTAAGGGGCTTTTACGAAAATTAAGGAACGAGTAAAGAGTCACTTATTCTTTGCACAATATACTATCACGAGATTATCAATAGTATTGCGAGATATAATACTTTAAACGTAATGAGAATATCTCTAAGAATTGTTCTTCTAGTTTTTCATTAAAAGAATACCAGAATTGCTTCATTAAAAAAAATATATAATTCTCACTTAAATTTTTAATTAAGATTCGAAGTCTGTAAAGATTAGGACGAGTAAAAAGTTTATTAATCGAATAATTTAAAAACACGAAAAATTAAAAAATTTTAATTCTAATATATCTGAAAAACAAATCTATTTTTATAAGTTTTTTATGATTAGAGATATATAGTATGATTTTTTTTATCAAAGAGAGAAGGGACACTATTTTTCAACAATCGAGCACCGATACTTAGCGTTGTTCTATTTCCTGCGATGTGACGAAACAATAAGAAACATTTTTATGCATACATTGTGATAGAATGTCAACGTTCGTCGAGCGATCTAGTTTGGAATTATTGCTAGATCCTTATTGTTTCCGTAATGTATTATATAGATACGAAATTTAAATAAGGACAAGTGAATAGGATAGAGATTGATAGTTCATATCGTTTATGCCTCATTGAAATAAATCGAGATGGACATTTTGAAAGTTTTGCGTAAGCCAAGTCATTTTTATTACTTACTTTTTGTCATATTTTTGCCACGTTTTGAAATAATTACGTTTTTATATAATATAATAATGCAGTGATTGTACTACATAAACTATTTTGCATTATATCTCTTAAAAAGATATCTCTTAAATTTATACATGCATATATTTCTCTATTTAATGATTTGTATTTAATACACTTTCATCTAATTGGAAGTATATTTTTAACATCACATAAATAAATGCGATAAAGCTTTAATTTAATTCGGTTCAATTAATTAGCATTACTAAGATTATTCATGATACAAGTATAATTATCAATATATAAATAACGAGGAGATATTTATCATTCATATTTAAATAATTCTAATAAAATTCATCTTATGTTTGGTTCTCTTGTTTTCATTATTTATAATATAAACGTTAGAAAAAGTGAAAAGTGGCATTTATTTATTAATATTTATTATTATTTTTTTATTAATCGTGATGAATATATTGTCTGATAATCGCGTACAGTTTATTCATAAACACATGGCGTTTGATTACAAATATGTGTGCGAGAAGAACGCAGCATTTACATCAGCTGCAAAATTTTCGTTCATCAGTTATATGAAAATCGGAGAGCAATCATGAATTACCTTGATTCAGGATCGTTGATCACCGATAAAATCATCGTCGTGTCGTGAACGGAATTCTGCCGTTGCAACCGATAAAGCTGCGATCAATAATTCAACGCAGGATGTATGCCTGTCTGGCCTCGAGGTGCTTAATGTAATACGATAATTCAATTCAGAATGTGTGTCATAATCATTGATAGATGTTTAAAGAACAGTTCTATGATGTAAGTAAAATCGATTAAAGGATTTGACAAAAGATGATTACATTAAAGTTAAAAAAAAAATTGATTTCGTCGTCGATTTATTGGGAAGGACATACATGTGAAACCTTGCGAAACAGTCTATATGAGGTGACCTCCATCTCAAAAATCGATCGTAGCTGGTTTTCGTCGTGAAACAAAGATGAGATTATTTAGAACGGTTTTTTGTTCATGTTTCTGTTTCTCTATAACTGGAAAATACGCATGATATTTCAACGATATCGAAGCACTTTTTATCTATCATTGATTTTACTCGATATCTTATAATAAAAGTATCAATATTGTTGAATATTCAATCTACAATAACGATGCAACAGTAAATTACTAAACTCATCTATGTATTATAATAATATATGTTAGAATATTGCAATTTACATGTCTGCATATATATGCTATTTTTATTATGACACGTTAACAATGTATTTAAATATATGTATAAAGATATGATGCATGTAAAAAGAAGTTTCATAAGCGGAAACCATGTATCAACCGTCTTTATATGCAATCAGAGAGTTCGTGAAACGCGGTAGAGTGGTGAAAAGAGAGAGGGATAGGAGGAAGGGGTTGTTCATGATCAACCCTCCTCAACCGCCCGTTCAGTGCTCGTGCGACCATCGTTGTTATAGGACGTATATTCGACGGTGTATTACGCGACTTCCGCTACGAGAGAATTGCATGCGCGTGGAGAGTTAGAGATCGTTCGCACAATAAGTCCGGTGTCGTGTCGCATCGCCGAACCGGTAGTAATATAAATTGGCGAATTATAGACGTGGAAAAATAGAACTTTGCGCTAAATCGTCGCTCTGATCATTTATGGAAATTGTTTCCACTCACCGGAATTTTACGTCACCGAAATTATATCAAGTTCAATCGCTGATTGCAACATATTCTGCGTTTTAGGTCATTCGCGTAAAAAATTAAGATTGCGTAGCAACCACACATATATATATTTTATATGTACGTCTCATATGATTATTACTTTCTAAAAATGCTCTCTTAAATGAATAAATCAATATATTATCATTAATAAACAGTGATTTTAATTATAAGCACTCAACAAATAATGAAATCTCATGTTTGTGAAAAGAATAAGTAGTATGGATTTTTCGTAAAATCGTACCTTAATCAGTGAAATACGACAGAGAAGCAAAATATTCATTAATCTTCAGTGAAATCTTGTCATTGCTTTAATCAGTAACATTTTCATTAATTCAGATTGAAAGTGTAAAATATGTATCTTTTATAATAAATATAAAGATACATGTACATGGGTAATATTTCTCGGTAATTACATATTCAATAGAAAATCGTTTATATATTAAAAAGATATTTAATTCACTAACATAATAAACACATAATATAAAAGATTAGATTATATTAAAGTTCTGTATTTAATCCATTTTAAAATCTGGAACATAATTTTTTAAGTCTTTCGCTGCAATGCAGTTATATCAGAACTTGAACTTGCAAATATAATACGTATAATGCGTGATGCAACGATATTATCACGTGTTTAATCTGCGTAGATATAATGAATTAAAAAATTTCTCGTTATAATATTGCATATGTAACAGCATTAATCCTTATATGAATTACATTTGGACAAGATCAAATCAGATTGTTGGATACTAGTTGATTGAAAAGGGACGCCTCTCACTAGCATTTAAATATCGTGTCAACAGCATCGGGTGACGCAGGAACATGTAATACGACGCGATTCTGGAGCTTAATTGAAAGGATTCTTCAAGAATTCAATTTAAATTTGTGGTTTTTAATTAATATGATTTATTAATCTTGTATTTCTTATAAATTCTTGTTTGTATATATTTGTGTTATCCTTATAACATATATTAGATGTTTATAATAATTCAAATTTTATAAATATAATTAGGAGTTAGAAAATCTAATTAGGAATTAGAAATTAACAAGGAATTGTTATAATAGAATCATAAAAATTAAAATTTTAAAATAAAATTTAATTTAAAATGTTTAAAATTTAAAATTTAAAAATCTTATAAAATATATATGTTGAAACATTTCTATGAAATGGACCTAAATTATTTTCAAAATATGAACAAAATGATTAAAGTTCTAGATTTGTGTGTGTGTAAAATTTTAAAATTTTCAATTAATTTTTTGTCATTGAAAGCAATGAAAATATCAAATAGATTAAAATAGCATTTATTATCTGAAATTCTGCTATTTTAACAATTTTACAATCTTAGTTGTAGACTTAAAAAGATTTGTCGCGTTGAAAGCAGGAGCAAAGATGTGATAAACGTGTTACCGCAGCATCGTATAGGATGATATTATACTGCAGAATTTTGTTACTCTTTCACTATATCCTGTAACTTCATCAACTATTCATCGTCTAAGTTAGGTCGCACTAGTGCGAGATATAAAATGATAAAACACCGATAAAGAATACAAAATAATAATGTGCGTTAAAAAATTGACACATTATTTATATAATAGAAATTATCTATAATCACGATGCGATTGACGTTTCTTTATTTTATATTTTCTTTTCCATACATGAATAATATTTGAAGTATAATAAATATTAATTCTTTTTGAATTTTTAAATTTAACGATATTACGTAATATATATAATATTTTGCAAAATATATATCCAGGCAAGAAATCATTCGCGACAAACAATGATTATCGAGACAAATGTTTAATGATAAAAGCAAACGGTTATGTTAACCTGTTTAGTGATGCGAAATGTAGCAGTGTAGTGAAATATATGCGTGAGACTGTGAAAAATACCGGGAAAGGACCACGTGGCTCCCATTGCGCCTTGTTAGCATCTGTAAAAGGAACTTATCGGGTATATCGGCCGACTAATCATGACAGATTATGGGAATTTTCCGATCATGTAACTGGAAATTGGACGATGCAACCGACTCGTGATCGTGATCGAGAAACGCTATTAGGTCGAAACGAATTCGCGATTCGTTGCGTCCTCGTCTTCTTACGAGCGAGACGCTATTTTACAAGCGAAAACTATTTTGCGCCCTGGGATTTCTGTAACGTTGTTTTCGCACTTTCGTAAAACGAACGACTCCCAATGAGAATAGAACAAAGCGCAGCACAAACTTATTTACTCGACTCGCATAATTTCCACTTCTCGCGTAAGAGCGATCAATCTGCAACACGTGGCATCGATCGCGTAACATGTTCGCAGACGCGAACGAGTCAAAACGATGGACGAGAGATAATAGGATTCTCCTGAGGTAATTTACGATTTACTTATGAACTATGAGCGAAGAATGCAATAGATTAATTTAATTTTTTTTTAATTCTGAAAACTGGAATATATACACTCTTGTGTGTATTAATTTTATATTATTAATTTAGGCTATTACTATCATGCAATATACATTGTAAATTATTATTATGTTACGTGATCATATTTGATAATAATGCAATGAAAGTGTCGATTAATCTAAATATTACATAGATAATTAAATTATTAATTTTGATAATGTTGATGTTACTATTTTTTACATGTCATAATAGATTATATTATAAGTAATAATATGTAGGATGTATTATAAGTATTAAGATATATTAATTTTTATTCATTTTTAATTTATCTTAATCACTTTTTATTCTTTTATACTTAAATGTGCATTACATCTAAAATTGTTTCAAACAAATATCTCTTATTACATGCGTGTCTTTTGCAAACAGCTTCAATATTTACGTCGCAATCGGAGATATTTTTTTCAATAGGAAATCTCATTTTTTAAAATAATATTATAAAATTATGGACATGTGAGAAAATAAGCCAATATCGGATGAATATCAATAGAATTTCGGATGATGCAATAATTAAAGAGCAGTTTCTCAGAGTTGTTTTTAATTTTTCATGTTTAAAAGAAAGAGAAGCCTGCGTATCAACACGATATTTATCGATAACCCTGGAGTCGAAAGAGCGCGAAGTATTGCGATTATCACGACCTCGTCAAATTTAATCCTTCTTTCTCAATCATGAAATTACTTTATTTGTCTTCATTGCAACTCGTAAATTAACTGCGTTATAAATTCTCTCATATCGACGTTGTATAATTTTAGAAATTATTCTGAGCAGAGCACACAGTTAATGTATGTCAATATGAAATACAATTCTTTAGTTAAATCTGAAACAAAAATTATATTTATAGAATGTTAAAGCGCGAATGTTGGTCTTTTTTTAGAATATTGCAAGTTTATTGTTTATTATTTATTTAGTTTTGTGTAAGTAAACACAATAAAATGTAAATGTTACATTTCATTATACATATATACACATTGAAATATTTAATATTAAAAATGAAAAAGTTGTAATAAATTACGCTTTATTATACCACTTTATTAAATTATTAAATTTCATTTTAAATTTAAATAAGTACATTTGACTTTAACATTTTGCATAATAATTGCGAATAATCTTATATACAGATAAACCTTATTGCAAGGTTTTATTTTAAATTTAATTAAATTTTCATCTAAAATAAAATGGATTCATCAATGTTTTTTTTTCTTGACAGAGCTGCAAAAGATCTTGAGGAACGTCGCAGTCACTACGAGCCATCGCTTCATCCAGGCGTTCCCGATGACATCGATCATAGTTTTAAAATTGAAGAAAATGACTTTGTGCCACACTTCCAACGGGTTTCCATATCCGGCGAGGACACTTCCGGAGTGAGTCTCAGAATATTGACAATTTTAATATGACAGATTTTTTTTAATAAATGCTCCGTAAAATTTTTCTGCGACCGATTTTTTCGAATTATGTAATTGTTGTATTAATTATCATTTTAATTAGAAGGATTAATTAACTATAATTAATGATTTACAAATGTAAATTATCAATTATTGCATCATGCTTGTAGCGAATATTTAAATTATTAAAGTTATTAATCATGAAATATAGAAAATGAGTTATTTATAGAATATTTTTCGAGAAACAACGATATATTATTTATATCGAGATATCTAGAAACGTAACTTTAGCTTTATAGTTTCACGGATGCTATATTATGTACGACGTGTCTCTTTAAAGATTTTATGTGAAGTTGAAACCTTGGGACTGCGGAGACTTAGGCAAGAAACCTTTGGTCATCTAGTTGTCTCTCTCGCTCCTTTATCCTTCATGTTCATATTAATCTAAGAGACGCTCTAATGTCTAAAAAATCGAGTTTCTCTACTCAATGACCTTGATTTATTAAATATATTGGAATTTTATTTTATATTTTTAATTCTACATATATATAATTAATAATATTACAATTGAATTATATATATATTTCTATGAATTTATTACACATGAAGCGATTATGATAAGAAATTTCTTAAAATATTATTTCACGGCTTCATGTATCCAAAAATGTAATTGTTTCAATTATAGATGATTCAATTATAAATATTTGTTTTATATATAATTATATGTATCATATTTTCTTTTAAAAATTGTACTGAATTGCAGGTGCCTCTGGAAGATCTTCAAAGGGCGTCAAAAATGCTGGTCCAGGCATTGGCGATACGCGAGAAATATATGATCAATTCCAAGCAGAGCTTCCCTTCGATTACATCTAGATTTTTACGTAGTGTCGACAAAAAGCCACTCACTACGAACGATGAGGTCCATCATGATGATCGGAAGGCCATCGCAGGTAATTATTGTTAATCAAGGAACGAATTCGAATCTCAAAGTTACATGTGAGGAATCCAAATTGATGGTCTACATCCTTGCCCTACGTGTCCCCGTTTCTTCCTCGTGCCGTCGTGACACCAAGAAAGAACAAATAATACTTGATTTTCATGAAACATTATAACGCATTTAATATATTATTGTTTAGCGCTTCAATGTCGATAGCAATCGATCGACGTCAAGCTATCGTTTGTGTGTTGTGTAATTTTTTTTCTTTTTTTTTTCGTCGCAATGCAACGATACGCGATGTGCCAATCACGCAGCTCTCTAGTGAAACATCATAAAACACAATTTTATTTTTGCGTTATCAAATCCTTTGCATATATATGAGCTAATGAGAAATATACGATATTAGTTTTATTATATATTTCTTAAGGGAAAGGGCTGCTGGATATCGTGAGTGAAATCCGGGAAGCTCGGTCTGACGCGGACATCGACGCGCTGATCAAAGACGTCTTTTGGACAGGTCTTCCTAATGCCTATTATCCTTGCCTTAAATATCCTGTTGCACGCTGTTTTAAATCAGATTAGTTACTAAATATGATAGAATTTCTCTCTCTCTATCTATCTATCTATCTCTTTCTCTCTTGCGCGAAATAATCTTTTTATATTAAAAAAAAGAAACAGCGCTGCGGCAAAAAATAGTTAATTAACATTAAATTATGCTAATACATGTTTGATCGATTATTATCAGATCATCCGGTACATGCGCCCGCGTCTCGGGGCGATCCATGGGAGTGCGAATTTCCACCGACGAAGAATTACAAGATTGTACCCGTCAACGGCGTATTCAATGTGTTCGCCAACGATGAGGACCTGGCTAACGGCAAGCCACTCCCGTACTCTTATCCAGATCTGGCGACCTTCGTCCAAGACATGAATCTGTTGTGCACCATGATAGCTGATGGACCCTTGAAATCATTCTGCTACCGAAGACTGAGTTATCTTTCCTCCAAATATCAGTTGCACGTACTGTTGAATGAACTCAGAGAGCTAGCGAGTCAGAAGGCGGTGCCGCATAGAGACTTCTACAATATTAGAAAGGTCTGTAAGCGAATAGTTTGGAGTGCGAGTATATTGAAATCATAATTTGTAAAGATCCATTCTTAAAGATGAAACGGTATATACGATGAGAAAATCGATAAGGTTCTAAAATGCAGCTTCTAGAATTCATTTTAAATAAAAATGTTTAGAATGTAAAAATGTTTGAAGTTAAAATGATGTGATCACATTTATTTCATTTTAATTTCAACATAATCCTTTTGAAAAACAATTTTTTAAAAATTTGTTTAAAGCAGAACTTAATATAGAGAAACGATGAACCTTGCACATCAATTTGATGATGAATACTTTATAGCTTATAAAGTTTTTTAAATAAAAAGTTTATTATATTGATAACTTGAACAAGAAAAATCAAATAAGATATTCAATTTCTATTTCTTAAATTAACTCTTTTCATTTGCTATACATCAATGTACCGTCAAATTATGTGTTGTACAATTTACTAATACTTATAGGTTGACACTCACATACATGCGGCTTCATGCATGAATCAAAAGCATCTGCTTAGGTTTATCAAGAAAACGTTGAAGAACCACGCAGACGAAGTGGTTACTTGTTCCAAGAACGGGGAAACCATGACACTCCGGGAAGTTTTTCAGTCTATGAACCTGACGACCTACGATCTAAGCGTTGATATGTTGGATGTACACGCAGTAAATATCCTTCTCACCGTTAAAATATATTAAAGATGAGCTTTTTCGAGAGAAGAAGTATTAAAGTGCATAATTCTTTTTTTTACAGGATAGAAACACATTTCACAGATTCGATAAATTCAACGCAAAGTACAATCCAATCGGTGAGAGCCGTCTGCGTGAAGTTTTTCTAAAAACAGACAATTATCTAAACGGCACATATTTTGCGAGAATAATCAAAGAGGTAGCAAGTGATCTTGAAGAGTCCAAGTATCAGAATGCAGAACTGCGCCTTTCGATCTACGGTAAAAGTCCAGAGGAATGGGATAAGCTGGCTAAATGGGCAATTCAGGGTGACGTTTATTCAGACAACGTGCGTTGGCTCATACAAATTCCTAGATTATAGTAAGTCTATATGATATATACGAGCACAAAACATAAACTCGACAAATTTTCATTGTTCGCATTTTTTTTATAGTGATATCTTTAAGCTGAATAAGCTTATGACAAACTTCCAAGAGATCATCAACAATATCTTCCTGCCGCTCTTCGAAGTGACCAATGATCCTCATTCTCATCCGGAGCTACATAAATTCTTACAATATGTACGTTCTTCTATGTATTTCTTATACTATTCTTTTCTAATCCGCTTATTATACTGTTTTAAATATATATTTGCTATTTTATTGTCATTATAGGTAATCGGTTTCGATTCTGTGGATGACGAAAGTAAGCCAGAAAATCCTCTTTTTGACAAAGATGTTTGTCCACCTGCAGAATGGGATGACATAGAAAATCCTCCTTACGGATATTATCAGTACTACACTTATGCGAATATGATAGTTCTCAATTACTTTAGAGCGTATGTTGCTTGTTACAAAATTCTTCTATATACTATTTAAAATAATTATATCATAAAACAGCCTGAATATATGAAATTTTTTATAGCGAACAAGGCTTGAATACATTCGTCCTGAGACCTCATTGTGGCGAAGCCGGACCCGTTCAGCATTTAGTGTGTGGCTATATGATGGCGGAAAATATTTCACATGGTCTGCTGCTCAGAAAAGTTCCCGTGCTCCAATATTTGTATTATCTGGCGCAAATCGGTATTGCAATGTCGCCGCTCAGTAACAATTCACTTTTCCTAAACTATCATCGTAATCCGCTTCCGGAATATCTCGCTAGAGGACTATGTATAAGCTTGTCCACAGACGATCCTCTTCAATTTCATTTTACCAAGGTAAATAAAAAAATAATTATATTTTTTACGTAACAAAGAAATTATTTAAAATATATTTTTTTTATTTTATTTATATATTCAAAAATTATTATTCCTATATATTTAATATATTTTATGAGCTTTTTTAATATGATGATATATTAATTATAGGAACCCCTGATGGAAGAATATAGTATTGCTGCTCAAGTGTGGAAACTTAGTTCATGCGACATGTGTGAGTTGGCACGCAATTCCGTTCTCATGAGCGGTTTTCCGCACAAAGTAAGTTATTATATCAGTTTTCTAGCTTTCTCATATACATGATATGAAAGCTTCATTTCCTATTTTATTATAATGATAACGTATTAAGTACTTCATTCTACATCTTTTGATTTTATATTTTATAAATTTGTTTAATGCCTCGACTCGCGATTCGATAAACTTTCATGTAATTCGATTATTTCTATTTTACAGAGCAAACAATACTGGTTGGGACCTAATTATACGAAAGAAGGAGTTGCTGGTAATGATATCACGCGAACCAACGTACCGGATATACGGGTAGCTTATCGGTATGAGACATTGGTCGACGAATTATCTAATATCTTCAAAGTCGTAGAGAAACCCGAATCCCTTCCATTTTAATAAGATTATTATTTGAGGTATGTCAAAATGGATCGATTAATTAACACATGAAGGCATTCGATTTAGAGATTACAAATTAGAATTCTTATAATTTGTATTCTCATACGATTCTTGAGATTTTTAGTTCTTCTACATCGATCAAAATATCTATAATTTTGTGAGTTTTCCGACGGATTATTTCTTTTAAGGTATATAACTTTTCCTTGATGTATCAGGAGTATATAATTCAGAAATTTGAAATCACTCGAATTATACTTTAAATAAAGTATAATTTTAAGTATATCTTTCATTGTGGTCATACATATACTCTACATTATGAAAGCAAGCTTAAGATTGTAATGTATGCCACATGACGTATAGAAATACGAAACTAGGGATTATAAGGAAATAAATGTGATCTAACCGATTGTTGTAATTCGGTAATAAATTGTGAATTCAGTTTTGAAACGAAAATTTACATTAATGGTGAAATAATACGTGAATCACCATAATGCATCTTATAATTTTTTTTTATAGAGATTTTAATCATAAGGATAAATCAATCAGAAATTATATATACACGTTGACCAATTTAATAATAGTTGTTAGAAGGTATATCTTCTATTGTTTTTGCAATATTAAGAATATAATTGCATATGTATTGTAATAAGCTAGAACCGAATATATGTTCGTTTATCTTACAATTATATACAATATTTTAATATTTTAATATTTTAATATTTTAATATTAATATTTTCTCGCGACGGAATAAATCAGTTTTTCATATCTTGGCTGTGCCCGACAACAGCAGTACCCTTTCTTGGATTTTAGCTTTATTTTCTTACATTTTTGTACATTTGTATCATGAAATCGTATGACAGTGTTTCGACAAGTATTCAGACAGCTAGTTCGTACACAGATAGTTGACTCGTGCCATTGTATACATTCTATAATATTCTCTCTTTTTCAAATAGTGTAAATAGGAATTTAATTCAATTAGACATATAACAAAGATTTTTTTCTATAAATTATATATTTGCGTGCCAAGTAGCAGTATATATATATATATATATGCTGTCTCCTTTTACTTTAATTATTACGTGGCCTTTCTTACTGTTTTTCAGCTATTTTCTGTGAGAACTTTTCAAACAACGAGCCTAATTAAGCGATATATAAACTACTCGACTATAAAATTACTCGAAATTACTGTGCTCTCATATCGAATTTAAATTATACTGTTGCTAGATAAAGAAAAAATATATTTATTGTAAAAAATATATATATTACAAAAAACAGAAATATACCTGTCTTAAAAACAAATTTGCAAAATTATTAATAATATGCACTAACAATAATTTAACAGAAATATACCTGTCTTAAAACCAAATTTGTAAAATTATTAATAATATGCGCTAACAATAATTTAATTTACATCAACATCAACATCAACAAATGATCAGGTACATTTGTAGTAATTGAAAATAAAAATACGATTCTCCTTTTTATTTATTATTTGAATTATATGAAAATATATTATTGAGGTAGTAAGAACTACATTTCGAATGTTATTATCTATTTTAGAGAAGCATATAAATTTATAGTAAACAATGGACGGCTAATTATCTTCTCGATATTAGGTTTGAAAAACATGCAATTTTCTATATTTAATGTCATTATTATATAAAATATTTTAAAGAATTCGTTTTTGGAATTTTATCATATACTCGATAGAGATAAAAGATGAGTGCTTTGCTTGCCTCATTTTTTTATATATTAATGTACCTCTATTCCACTTTTTTCGTCTTAGGTACATTTTGTAAACTTTGCATAATCTTTGGTATTACTTCAGTAAATATAATTGTACCTATAAAGACTAGTAGTGTACCAATCCAATGATGTATAGTGAACGGGTTTTTGAAATAAATAATCGAAAATAACAGAGATAGAAACTTTCGCAGCGTTATTACCAAAGTAACTGTAAGGGAGCTACACTCTGTAGTCAATGTAAATACAGAGCTGATGCAGATGTACCTGAAAACTTGATTAAGGAGAATATTTCAGAAACGTATCTAATAATAGTACATTCATTAAATATATGATATTGCATATAATATAGCTGCAATTAGAAAAGGATACTGTGTCAAAACATTTCCAATTAAATATGCAATTAATGATGGCATGTGTACACCAATCAGAGGTAATTTCAATGGCTCAGATGCGAGCGCGAATTTCCAATGATCGTAAATGTTGGGTGCTAGTGTTAAGAAGAATGGCAGAGGTAAAAAATGCTGTAAAGATATTTTAAATACTATATTAATAATTATACTATATAACGTTGATATTTAATGTGGCAAAAAATTATGAAAAACTGTACCGTATAATACAAAGCCTCCCGTGCATGTTTACCGTACCGGCTATGAAGCTCTTCTTGATAGATACCCATTCTAGCAGAAATGAACAAAGCGATTGTAAGTAGAGATATCCCCAGAATCCACCAAAAAAAATCATCCCATGGTGTTGTAGGCACATAGTCTGCATTCTTCTGTTGTAAGGATTTGATCTCTTGACCGCTAACAATCGTGCAGAGTGCTATTCCCGTTGTAATCATGAATACTGATAAATATTTGCTAAATGCATACTTTCTGTTCAAAATAATAATACCCATAATCATGTTGGCTATGAGAGAACCCTGAAATAATATGATTATCATATATGATAAAAGCTAATAATTTGTATCATGTAAATTGAATTTATCGGTACTTACAGCCCTAAATATCATGTGCAATGGCATAGGAATATTAAAGTCAAATGCATAATTGTTGCAAACATTGGCAACAAAAAACATGATGACTAAAATAAAATAATCCTTTACGCTTACAACTGGTTTGACAGTACCGCATTTAGATGTGAATAGAAAACCTTCAAGGGCTATAATAAAAAATTGTGAAAATGTAATAAGATTTCCACTACCAGGATCATCCCTAAAATCAAACAATTAACATTTGAACAAGCATATTCAAATTTAATAGAAGGTCGAATATTGCAATTCAATACTCAAAATATACTACATTCTTGATAATCTTAAAATTTCCTCTTATTAATGGAACTAGCTTCAATCTTTATTCTTATATTTAAATTCTTTTTAGCAGAAAATTAATAAATGATAAAAAGTTGGAACTATTAAAATGGCAAGTTTTGAAATCATAAAAATTCAGATATTAAATAGATGTTAAATACTGAATTATCAATGAATTATATATTTGAAGAGAGAAACAGAAAAATTGTAGTGAAAATGAAAGTTCTAGGAATATATAGGAAAAGAGAGAATATGATATACATATAGGAGATACAATGTGTTTATAAGGCCCGATTGTATCAACATTATTTTAGCTTTAAGCGAGACTTAAATATATATCTATCTTTATCTTTCTTTCTAAATAAATAAAGACAGACATATATTTAAATTTCGCTTAAAGTTAAAATAACGTTGGTGCAACCGGGCCTAAGAAATACAAAGATAACAAGAAGAGTTTGTAAGTAGTTATAGTTTGTAAGTAGTTGAATTAATTATGAGATAAGACAGAACGTAAAATAGATAAGATAAGTAAGACATTTTGAAAAGTAAGCAAATTGATGAGTAAGAAAATATTGGGGCCCGAATATATCTATTTTGATTTTTTCAAGAATATAAGCCAATAATTTACTTATTAATTTAAATATATTTTGTATTTTAATATAAATTTTAATATATTTTGTATTTTATAATAACAATTGCTATATATACAAACAGTAATACTATTATTAAAGTTCGAAACCAGCAGATATATAAACACGTCACTTTTAAGTTAAGATGAAATCTTAATTTGATGAAATTAAGATTAAATTTAGACATTAAGATGTAATTGAATAAAAGAAACTATAAATGATCCTAATAAATGGCAAAATATGTATATTGCATTGTACACGTATGTACATGCATATACTTACAATGCGTATACATATTTATTATACGTTATGCAATATATATTATACTATTTATTATACTATTTATTATACGTTATGCAATATATCAAGTCGACCGAGTCATCGGTACTCACTTTACAAGCAGTTCCAGGAACACGACGTTAGTGCAGCAGCCGAGGAAGACGCAAAATATCGCGATAGCCGCCCGCATCGTGCTCGAGATCTTTCTTTTTCTTCTTATTCAATCACGGGTTAATTCCAGAATTGCGATTTAATCTACAAACTATAGCATACTATATACATACTATATACACACACTCTCATCATTCGACAGGCTATCCATTATATACTGTGTCCGATATCAAATGTAGGTTAATGCAAATTGTCAAGAAATCACTTACTAGATAACGTAATGTATCACATGATTATATCACAGTATATAATTATATTATGGCATATGATAAAATTTGTGCGATGGTAGTAGAATACTTCACACACTCGCCTGTCCACGTTTCCGCTATTCTGAATCAGCTGTTCCTCTAAAGGTCCTATTCTATAAAGGCTCTTTCACAATACCAGGCAACAAGCAATAGGAACAGAAGATCCATCTTTGCTCCTATTGGCGAATATTTTCTATTCCGCGTATTTATTGGTGAATAGTTTTTATTCCTTATTCTTATTGATCCGAATTAGTCTAGGCAAATTTAGGAAGTCTATCGCTGAGTATCACTGCTCAGTCCGATCAGAGATCCGATTAAAGGCCTTTGCAAATACAAAAATTTTAGTCGTAACCGTAAGGTCGTAAGAAAACTGACAAATCATAGTCGAGTATTCTTCCTGCGCTAAAAGAATAATCAACTGAGATTGGTCAGTTTTCTTACGACCTTACGATTACGACTAAAATTTTTGTATGTGCAAAGACCTTAATTATCGTAAACATAGACTTATATAATAGACCGGCCCCTACCGTAAGGGCCTATCCAGACAAACTTGCATAGGTGCATATGCATAACATAAGACCATATGGACCAATGAGCATCGAGTAGTATGTTATGTAAGTCAATATAGCGATTTAATACTTGATGCTCATTGATCCATATGGTCTTATGTTATGCACCTATGCAAGTTTGTCTGGATAGGCCCTAAAGGCCGCAGCACACACTTTTGCATAAGCGCATAATCAGAAGCATAAGGAAATTGATTGGTCCCCAAGTATATGCATAAGAAAATGAACCAATCAATTTTTTTATGCTTATGATTATGCGCTTATGCAAAAGTGTGTGCTGCGGTCTTAACACGTCGTCTACAATGGCAGTAGGATTAATGGATTAAATGGACAGTAACTTAAGAAATTGACCAATCACAGTCAAGCATCAAAAGAATACTCGACTGTGATTGGTCAATTTCTTGAGTTACAGCTTTAATCCATTAATCCTACTGTCATTGTAGACGACGCTTAAAGGACAGAGAGATGATTCCGGGTATCTCTGTCCTTCTCTTTTGTCTCGTGGTGGGGACACTGATGGGATGAGTGAAAACCATAGACCTTATAAGTATGGACTGGCAATACGTATCAGACTGTGTCCGGAGGAGGTTAGAGAGAGAAACATACTTTTTGGTACTTCTCTTTCTACAAGTGCAATGCATACTTTCGGACACTTGTAGAAAGAGAAGTACTAAAAAGTATGTTTCTCTCTCTAACCTCCTCCGGACACTGCTTCTCTACAGAAACTATAGGCAATTGCCAGTCCATATCTGTAAGGTCTATGGTGAAAACGAAGCGAGCATGCACACTGCTTTCCCCTCACTCCTACAGTGTCCCCACCACAAAACAAAAGAGAAGGACAGAGATACCCGGAATCATCTTTCTGTCCTTTAGATCTTTCGGGTGGCACCCGATTGACCACGTCGCCAATTGGCCAATTCAAAATAGGACTCTCTGATTGGTTAATCGTTGCTGGTTACCCTAGGCACAGGTCGATATAATTGGCTGTGGTCAATCGCAATGTGGTCAAACGGGACGCTCCCGATCTTTCAACCCTGCCTCTTACGGTAAGGGCCGGTCTATTATATAATTCTATGATCGTAAACATCCTGTGTTCGATCCCTAATTCAACTATATGGAAGAAGTAACGTATAGAAGAAGTAATGATATAATTTCATATGATTAGATCTCGAATAGAAACATTTGTTTCCGAACTTTAAGAATTCTCTATTCGACAACCAGTTGCTACAGTATCTATTTGTGTTTTCTCTGTTGGAAAGCAATAAAAACAATGACTAAAGAGCGCTAAGCTTTTAGCTAGCCCCACTTTTTTCATTAGGTTTCTTTGTATTTTTTTTATATTTTGAACATTTTGGACGTTTGTATTGAAACTTAGTAACAGATAAGTTATTTAAGGATCCTTTATCCGTAATCAATTTTGGACATATATGACAATTTTGTGCAACACGATTTTGCAAGTTGATAAGAGGAATTTTTTAATCAAATATATATAATTGTAACATATATAATTGTAAGCAATGTTGACCTTTCTTAAAAAAATCTTGGAACATCTCATCGAACAGATACGCAAATCTGGTAATGTAGATTTATGGATATAATCTATTCAAACAATCTGACACATATTTCATTGAATTATCTTTTACTTTCTAAATTTTGACTTTTAGCAGAAACAACAAAAGAGGAAGAAACAAACACAAACAAGAATGCTGATGCTTTTATTGTTAGTGAAAGATATGAAGAAGTTCTAAATTTATCGAAAGAAATAAATTTGCTGTATGAAAAAAGTAAACTTTCCAAAAGAGTTAAGAAAATGATGTATCGGCTGAAAATTAAGATGAATAATTTATTTAATAATTTTGCAATTGGTTCAACAGAAATCAAATGTGATGATATTCTAGTTCTTGCGATGGCTCATATTAATTTAGGTCGCATATATCTTTACAAAGAAGATAATTTAAATGTTGCTAAAGATTATCTTATTAAATGCACAGAGTTATTGAATGGAAAAGAGCTGCACTATAAATTTATTTTGACAGCTATCTATGCACGTATCTACTTATATGAGATTTGGGAAAAATTACAACAGTTAGAGAATTGTTATTCATTATTAGATAAAGCATTAGAACTATATTTAAGTTATACAAAGGAAGAAGATTATCCAGATCCTTTTAACATAGATATCTTTTTACCGAACAAAGGAAACTCTAAAATTAATCTGATTAATAGTCATATATTAACATTAGACTATATGAAAAAATTGTATTGCCTTCAACCTACAAATATGCACAAATTTGTAATATATGTTCATAATTTATTGAACAAGCAACTGAAAACAATAAAAGACTCGACTGAAAATCACATATTTTTATGTTGGGCTGAAGCCTCAGCTGAATTATCTATTTACTTTTTGTATTCTAATCGCTTTATGGAAGCTAAAATTCATATTGCTGCTGCGGAATATATGACAGTGATGTATCGTATATCATTAATAACAGATCTGGATGCAAAATCTGAAGAGAAAATGTATAACTATCATCTAGTCTATATGTTCATCAATCAACTTTGGGCAATGTATGGTATTATGCTTTTACGTTCATCAAAAGAAAGATTACTACAGCATAAAAGTAATAAATCTTGTGAGGTAAATAATACAGAATCAGAATGTCATTTAAAGTTAGAGAAAGAAATAATGAAACCTCTAACGTTTGTTGACTTAGAAAAAGATTTAAAACGCATTATTAAATATCACATCACAGATATATATGTATCTGATCTTGATGATATAAAGATAATTTTTGGGAATGTATTAAAATGGCTTGATGAAGTATTCATGCATTTTAAAGAAACAAATCAATTTATACCTCAAGTGCAAATAATACTTTGCATGTCCAAAGCATATAAATATTATGTATATTTTGTAGGAAGTAAAAGTAAACAGATAAAAGTAATTGAAGTACAAACAAAAATGTTAAAGAAATATATTAATACATTATCTTCAGAATATAATGCATTACCAGAATATCATTATCTTAAAAAACTTAATTTTGAACTAGCAATTACTTATTCCACACTCTTGAATATAATGTTTGAAGAATTACATGAAATTGAAGAAATTACTGATGAAATGAGAATGAAAATGAAACAGTTAGTGACAAATGTTATACACGAATTTAATTTATTTACAAATTTATCTTAAATCTTAGCTCATTTTACATATTTGAATGTTTAGATTTCTTTTCTGAAACTTTTATGTCTTCTACTTGTAAACTTATATTACATGTATTGTGCTTTTTCATATAAATATATTAAAAAAACACAATTCATTTTGTAAAATTTTTCTATTTTATATTCATATATTTAACACGTAATTAATGCATATAAGAATAGATGACTTTTTTTGGAAACAAACCAAAATAAACGTTACAAATAAAAGGCATAAATAAAAGATGTTTATTAAAGTATTTTTAAAGAAAAGAAATACTCAGACTTCAAAATGAAAATTTTTATACAATTAATTATAAGTTTATATTTTATTCGTATAATTTTATCATTTTTATACAATCTATGTATCCATATATTCCTTCATTTCTAAATATTTGTGTACCATAACTGCTGATGAAAAATAAAAAAATAAATTTTATTTCAATACTACTCGATGAAGTTAAAAGGAAATTATATCCACAACATAACTTTACAAATTTGTTAAACAATCGATTATTCTAAGATAATCTGCATATACATATATATAGAATGAAAGCATGAGCATTAAATATATTGCGAAAAAGTCATATAAATGCATGTATATCATTCTCATTTTAAAATATAAAAACTTTCTATATGATATCTATGAAATATCATAATTTATTAAATTATAATAAAAAATTCACGTAATTATTCACATAAATTATAATAATTCAAGTAATTTATACATATCTAAATAAAAACGATACTATACATGAAGTATTTGAGTTTTCGCTTTTTGCTAATTTAGTTTGAAATTAAAATTTTTCAGAACTTTTGTAATATTTATTTTATTATAGAAATACTATAAAATTTATTATTACAATCAATAATATTTATTGTTGTAATTTATAATATTTATTATTTAATATCATTTACGGTCAAAATAAAGTAATTAAAATTTGAATATGAGCGAGAGTTAAAGAAAAATGGGTCGATTAAAAGCGATTTCCTGTTTCATGATAGTCAGTCCCTTATTAAAGGGTCTTTATCCTTCGCTTTGTCATAGCTTCAATATTAATGTTCCATCTATGTATTTTATGTGCTATGTGGCAAGAAATATAAACCTAATCCAATTACAATAACTTTTTGCTGTCATTAGATATTAAACAGTGGTATTAAATAAAGAAATTTCTTCCAAATTAAGAATTTTCTAATGAATAATCAATTGACACAGAGTGTTTAGTTGTGTTTTCTTGTTGGAAAGGAATAGAAGCAACGAATAAAGAGCGCAAAACTTATAGCCCTACTTTTTTCATTAGGTTTATTTTTGTATTTTTTATTTTTGTATTTTGATTATTTTGAACGTTTGTGTTGGAAGTTAGTAACAGATAAGTTATTTGAGGATCTTTTATCCGTAATCAATTTTGGACATATGTAACAATTTTGTGCAACACGATTTCACGAGTTGATAAAAGGAATTTTTTAATCAAATACATATAATTGTAAGCAATGTTGACCTTTATTGAAAAAATCATGGAACATCGCATTGAACAGATATGCAAATCTGGTAATGTGGATTTGTGAATATAATCTATTCAAACAATCTGTCACATATTCCATTGAATTATCTTTTACTTACTAAAAACATTTTACTTTCTAAATTTTGACTTTCAGCAGAAACAACAAAAGAGGAAGAAACAAACACAAACAAGAATGCTGATGCTTTTATTGTTAGTGAAAGATATGAAGAAGTTCTAAATTTATCGAAAGAAATAATTCTTCTGTATAAACAAAATAAAATTTCCAAAAGAGTTAAGAAAAAGATCAATCAGCTGGATGTCAAGATGAATAATTTATTTCAAAATTTTATTTCAACAGAAATCAAATGTGATGATATTCTAGTTCTTGCGATGGCTCATATTAATTTGGGTTACATATATCTTTACATAGAAGATAATTTAAATGTTGCTAAAGATTATCTTATTAAATGCACAGAATTATTGAAGGGAAAAGAACTGCACTATAAATTTATTTTGATAGCTATCTATGCACATATCTACCTACATGAGATTTGGGCAAAATTACAACAGTTAGATAATTGTTATTCATTATTAGATAAAGCATTAGAACTATATTTAAGTTATACAAAAGAAGATGATTACCCAGATCCTCTTAACGTAAATATCTTTTTACCCAATAAAAAAAACTCTAAAATTAATCTGATTAACAGTCATTTATTAACATTACGATATATGGAAGAATTGTATTGCCTTCAACCTACAAATATGTACAAATTTGTAATATATATTCATAATTTATTGAACGAACAGCTGAAAACAATAAAAGACTCGACTGAAAATCACTTGTTTTTATATTGGGCTGAAGCCTCAGCTGATTTATCTATTTTCTTTTTATATTCTAATCGCTTTATGGAAGCTAAAATTCATCTTGCTGCTGCGGATTATATGATAATCATGTATTATATATCATTAATAACAGATCCGGATGATGCAAAATCTGAAGAGAAAATTTATAACTATGATCTAATCTATATGTTCATCAATCAACTTTGGGCAATGTATGGTATTATGCTTTTACGTTCATCAAAAGAAAGATTACTACAGCATGAAAGTAATAAATCTTGTGAGCCAAATAATATAGAATCGGAATGTCATTTAAAGTTAAAGGAAGAAATAATGAAACCTCTAACATTTGTTGACTTAGAAAAAGATTTAAAAACTATTATTAAATATCACATCACAGATGCATATGTATCTGATCTTGATGATATAAATATAATTTTGACGAATGTGATAAAATGGCTTAATGTAATATACATGCATTTTAAAGGAATAAATCAATTTATACCTCAAGTGCAAATAATACTTTGCATGTCCAAAGCATACAAATATTATGTATATTTTGAAGAAAGTAAAATTAAACAGATAAAAGTAATTGAACAACAAGCAGAAATGTTAGAGAGTTTTATTAATATATTAATTTCAGAATATAATACATCATTAGAATATCATTATCTTAAAAAACTTAATTTTGAACTAGCAATTACTTATTCCACACTTTTGGATATGACGTCTGAAAAATTAGATGAAATTGAGGATATTACTGACGAAATGAGAATGGAAATTCAACAGTTAGTGACAATTATTATAGAGAATTTTAATTTACTTACAAATAAATCTTAGCTTTTATTATATATTTGAATTTTTAGATTTCTTTTCTGAAACTTTTATATATATCTTCTATTTGTAATCTTATATCACCTGTATTGTGCTTTCTTCATTATAAATATAATAAAGAAAAACACAATTCATTATGCAAAATTTTTCTATTTTATATATTACTTTACATGTAATTAATATATATAAGAATAGACGATTTTTTTTGGAGATAAACCAAAATAAATGTTACAAATAAAAGGTATAAATAAAAGGTGTTTATTAAAGTATTTTAAACGAAAAGAAATACTCTTAGACTTAAAAATGGAAATTTTTATACAAATTTATTATATAATTTTATATTTTATTCGTATAATTTTATCATTTTTATACATTCTATATATGTATCTATATATTTCTTCATTTCTAAATATTTCTAAATATTTCTAAATATTTACGCACCACAACTGCTGATAAAAAGTATAAAAATAAATAATTTTATTTCAATACTATTCAACATTTTTGTTAAAAGAAAATTATACTCACATTATGATTTCACAAATTTGTTAAACAACAATCGATTATTTTAAGATAATTTGCATGTACATATATATATATATATATATATATATATATATATATATAAAGAAAAAACGAGCGTTAAATATATTCCGAAAAAGTCATATAAATACATGTATATCAATCTTATTTTAAAATATAAAAATTTTATTTATATTTATATATTTAATATATTATGGATAATAAAATATCATAATTTATTAAATTGTATTAAAAAATTCACGTAATTATTCATGTAAATCATAATGATTCAAGTAATTTATATATATGTAAATAAATACGATACTATACATGAAGTATTTGAGCTTTCGCTTTTTGCTAGTTTCGTTTGAAATTAAAGTTTTTCAGAATTTTTGTAATATTTATTTTATTATAGAAATACTATAAAATTTATTATTACAATCAATAATATTTATTATTGTAATTTATAATATTTATTATTTAATATCATTTACGTTTAAAATAAAGTAATTAAAATTTGAATATGAGCGAGAGTTAAGGAAAAATGGCGAACCGATTAAAAGCGATTTCCTGATAGTCAGTCCCTTATTAAAGGGTCTCTATCCTTCGCCTTGTCATTGCTCCAATATTAATGACTGATGTTCCGTCTATGTATTTTATGTGCTGTGGCAAGAATCCAATTACAATAACCTTTTGCTGTCGTTAGATATTAAATAGTGGTACTAAATAAATTTCTTTTTAAACATTAGGAATTTTCTAATGAATAATCAATTGGCAGTGTTTAATTATGTTATCTTATTGGAAAGGAATAGAAACAACCAATAAAGAGCGCAAAACTTATAGCCCTATTTATTTTCATTAGGTTCCTTTTTATTTTTTAATTTTGTATTTTGAATATTTTAGACATTTATATTGAAAGTTAGTAACGGATAAATTATTTGGGAATCTTTTATCCATAATCAGTTTTGGACATATGTAACAATTTTGCGCAACACAATTTTACAAGTTAATAAGAGGAACTTTTTAATCAAATACATATAATTGTAAGCAATGTTGACCTTTATTGAAAAAATCATGGAACATCGCATCGAACAGATACACAAATCTGGTAATGTAGATTTGTGGATATAATCTATTCAAACAATCTGTCTCATATTCCATTGCATTATCTTTTACTTACTAAAAACTTATTATTTTCTAAACTTTGACTTTTAGCAGAAATAACAAAAGAGGAAGAAACAAACACAAGCAAGAATGCTGATACTTTTCTCATTGTTAGTGAAAGATATGAAGAAGTTCTAAATTTATCAAGAGAAGTAATTTTGCTGTATGAAGAAAGTAAAATTCCCAAAACAGTTAAGAAAATGAACAATCAGCTGGATGTCAAGATGAATAATTTATTTGAAAATTTTGTAATTGCTTCAACAGAAATCAAATGTGATGATATTCTAGTTCTTGCAATGGCTCATATTAATTTGGGTTACATATATCTTTACAAAGAAGATAATTTAAATGTTGCTAAAGGTTATCTTATTAAATGCACAGAGTTATTGAAGGGAAAAGAGCTGCACTATAAATTTATTTTGACAGCTATCTATGCACATATCTACCTACATGAGATTTGGAAAAAATTACAACAGTTAGAGAATTGTTCATTACAGAATTATTCATTATTAGATAAAGCATTAGAACTATATTTAAGTTATACAAAGGAAGATGATTACCCAGATCCTCTTAATGTAGATATCTTTTTATTCAACAAAAAAAACTCTAAAATTAATCTGATTAACAGTCATATATTAACATTGGAATATATGGAAGAATTATATTGCCTTCAACCTACAAATATGCACAAATTTGTAATATATATTCATAATTTATTGAATGAGCAGCTGAAAACAATAAAAGACTCGACTGAAAATCATATGTTTTTATATTGGGCTGAAACCTCAGCTGATTTATCTATTTACTTTTTGTATTCTAATCGCCTTATGGAAGCTAAAATTCATATTGCTGCTGCGGAATATGTGACAGTGATGTATTATATATCGTTGATAACAGATCCAGATGATGCAAAATCTCAAGAGAAAATGTATAACTATCATCTAGTCTATATGTCCATTAATCAACTTTGGGCAATATATGGTATTATGCTTTTACGTTTATCAAAAGAAAAATTACTACAGCATAAAAGTAATAAATCTTGTGAGGCAAATAATATAGAATCAGAATGTCATTTAAAATTAGAGGAAGAAATGAAACCTCTAACATTTGTTGATTTAGAAAAAGATTTAAAAACCATTATTAAATATCACATCACAGATACATATGTATCTGATCTTGATGATATAAAGATAATTTTTGCGAATGTGATAAAATTGCTTAATGTAGTATACATGCATTTTAAAGAAATAAATAAATTTATACCTCAAATGCAAATAATACTTTGCATGTCCAAAGCATACAAATATTATGTATATTTTGAAGGAAGTAAAAGTAAACAGATAAAAGTAATTGAACAACAAATAAAAATGTTAGATAGTTTTACTAATACATTATCTTCAGAATATAATGCATTAGAATATCATTATCTTAAAAAACTTAATTTTGAACTTGCAATTGCTTATTCCACACTCTTGAGTTTAATGTCTGAAGAATTAGATGAAATTGAAGAAATTACTGATGAAATGAGAAACGAAATGAAACAATTAATGACAATTATTATACACTATTTTAATTTACTTACAAATAAATCTTAGATCTTTTTGTATATTTGAATTTTTAGATTTCTGTTCTGAAACTGTATATTTTCTATTTGTAATCTTATATCACATATTGTGCTTTCTTTGTTACAAATGTATATAATAAAAACACAGTTCATTATGCACAATTTCTCTATTTTATATATACTTAACATGTAATTAATGTATATAAGAATAGATTATTTTTTTGGAAACAAACCAAAATAAATGTTACAAATAAAAGGCACAAATAAAAGGCATAAATAAAAGGCATAAAATGTTTGTTAAAGAATTTTTAAAGAAAAAAATACTCAGATCAATACTCACTTCAAAATGAAAATTTTTATACAATTTATTATATAATTTTATATTTTATTCGTATAATTTTATCATTTTTATACTTTTATAATTAACTTTTATAATTTTTATACTTTTATAATTTTATACTTTTATTTTATACTTTTATACTTTATAATTATCTATATATTCCTTCATTTCTACATATTTATATACCATAACTGCTGATGAAAAATAAAAAAATTTGGTAAACAATAACCGATTATTTTAAGATAATTTGCACGTATGTATATATATATATATTTCTGATTAAATGTGTGCGTATATATACATATATATATATATATATATATATATATATATATATAAAGTAAGCAGGAGTGTCAAATATATTCCGAAAAATATTCATATAAATACATGTTTATTAATCTTATTTTAATATATAAAAATTTTACTCATCTTTTATCACTAACACATCATAATTTAATCACACATCATAATTTAAATTATAATAAAAAGTTCACATAATTATTACATTATATAATAATTTCAAGTAATTTATATATATATATATATATATATATATATATATATATAAAAGCGATACTAATACATAAAGTATTTGAATTATCGCTTTTTGCTACTTCCGTTTAAAATAAAAATTTTTTAGAATTTTTGTAATTATTTTATTATAGAAATACTATAAAATTTATTGTTACAATTTCTAATACTTATATTATTGTAATTTACAATATTATTTAATATCATTTACGGTCAAAATAAATTAATTAAAATTTAAATATGAAAGAGAGTTACGGAAAAATGGCGATTGATAGCGACTTCCTGATAGTCAGCCTCGTATTGAAGGGTCTCTGGCCGATATTCATAGTCCGATCTTATATTCTCTTTAAGATTGTCTTAAGTCTGGTCCGAGGTTGACTTAAGACCTCATTCAACCAATCAAATGACTGCGTAGCATTTCAAGCTCGAACTTAAGACGATCTCAAATATAAAATCGAAATACCGGCCTCTATCCTTCGTCTTGACGTTCCGGGTGGCACCCGATTGACCACGTCGCCAATTGGCCAATTCAAAATAGGACTCTCTGATTGGTTAATCGTTGTTGGTTACCCTAGGCACAGGTCGATATAATTGGCTGTGGTCAAACGGGACGCTCCCGACGTTCCTCCAATCTCCAATATTAATGACTAATGTTTCGTCTATGTATTTTTTGTGCTGTGGCAAGAAATATAAACTTAATTCATATACAATAATCTTTTGCTGCCTTTAGATATTAAACAGTGGTATTAAATAAAGAAATTTCTTCCAAACATTAAGAATTTTCTAATAAATAATCAATTGACACAGAGTGTTTAGTTGTGTTTTCTTGTTGGAAAGGAATAGAAGCAACGAGCGCAAAACTTATAACCCTACTTATTTTCATTAGGTTCCTTTTTATTTTTTATTTTTGTATTTTGCATATTTTGGACGTTTATATGGAAAGTTAATAACGGATAAATTATTTGGGAATCTTTTATCTATAATCAGTTTTGGACATATGTGACAATTTTGCGCAACACGATTTCACAATTTGATAAGAGGAATTTTTTAACCAAATACATAAAATTGTAATATATCTAATTGTAAGCAATGTTGGAATTTATTAAAAGTGTCATGAATCATCGCATCGAACAAATACACAAATCTGGTAAGGTGGACATGAATAGTTTATTCAAACGATCTGTTATATATTCCATTGAATTACCTTTAACTAATTAAAAACTTTCTACTTTCTGTTTTGACTTTTAGCAGAAACAACACAAGAGAAAGAAACAAATACAAGCATGAATATCAATGATTTCAATATTAGTGAGAGATATCGAGAAGTTCTAATTTTATTAGCAGAAATAAATAGTTTGCTGGAGGACCTAGATACAATTCCCAAAACTGTTAGGAAAATGATTAATCAGTTGGAAGTCAAGACGAATAATTTATTTAATAATTTTCTAATTGCTTCAACAGAAATCAAATGTGATGATATTCTAGTTCTTGTGTTGGCTCATATTAATTTGGGTTACATATATTTTTACAAAGAAGATAATTATAATACTGCTAAAGATTATTATATGAAATGCATCGAATTATTGAAGGGAAAAGAGCTGCACTATAAATTTATTGTGGTTGCTATTTATGTACTTAACTTTTTACATGGGATTTGGAAAGAGTTACAACAGTTAGAGAATTGTTATTCATTATTAGATAAAGCACTAGAACTATATTTAAGTTATACAAAGGAAGATGATTATCCAGAACCTTTTGCAGATATCTTTTTCCACTACAAAGAAAATACTAAAATTTATCTGATTAATGTTCATATGATAACATTACAGGGTATGATAGAATTGTATTTCTTACAACCTACAAATATGCATAAATTTGTAATATATGTTCATAATTTATTGAACGAGCAGCTGAAAACAATAAAAGACTCGCCTGAAAATCACATGTTTTCATGTTGGGCTGATGCCTCAGCTAGTTTATCTATTTTCTTTTTAGAGTCTAATCGCTTTATGGAAGCTAAAATTCATCTTGCTTCTGCGGATTATATGATAATGATGTGTTATGTATCGATATTAACAGATAATGTAAAATCTCCAGAAAAAATGAATACATATGGTACAGTCCGTATATTCATCACTAAACTTTGGGCAATGTATGGTATTATGCTTTTACATTCATCGAAAGAAAGATTACTACAGTATGAAAATAATAAATCTTGTGAGGCTAATAATATAGAATCAGAATCTCATTCGAAGTCAGAAGAAGAAATAACAAAACCTCTAACATTTGTTGACTTAGAAAAACGTTTAAAAAATGTTATTAAATATTACATCACAGATACCTATGTATCTAATCTTGATGATATTAAGATAATTTTTGGGAATGTGTTAAGATGGTTTGATGAAGTATTCGTATATTATAGTACAAGAAATCAATTTATATCTGAAGTGCAAACAATGTTTGGCATATCCAAAGCATACAAATATTACGTATATTTTGAAGGAATTAAAAGTAGACAGATAAAAATAATTAAACAACAAATAGGAGTATTAAAGAATTTTATTAGTGGAGCATCTTCAAAATATAATGCATCACCAGAATATCATTATATTAAAAAACTTCATTTTGAACTTGCAATTGCTTATTCCACGCTTTTGGATAAGAGGTCTGAAGAATTAGATGAAATTGAAGAAATTACTGATGAAATGAGAATGGAAATGAAACAATTAGTGACAAATGTTATACAGGAATTTAATTTATTTACAAATTTATCTTAAATCTTAGCTCATTTTACATATTTGAATGTTTAGATTTCTTTTATGAAACTTTTATGTACGTCTTCTATTTGTAATCTTATATCACATATTGGGCTTTTTTTTTATAAATGTATATAATAAAAACACAATTCATTATGCACAATTTTTCTATTTTATATACTTAACATGTAATTAATGTATATAAGAATAGATGACTTTTGGAGACAAACCAATATAAATGTTATAAATAGAAGGCATAAATAAATGTTTATTAAAGTATTTTTAAACCAATATAAATGTTATAAATAGAAGGCATAAATAAATGTTTATTAAAGTATTTGAAAGGAATGAAATACTCGGATTTAAAAATAAAATTTTTTTACAGCTTTATACAATTTACTGTATAATTTTTATATTTTAATTGTATAATTTTATCAAATTGTACAATCTATGTATATTCATTCATTTCTAAATATTTCCGTATCACAACTGCGGATAAAAAATAAATAATTATAACAAAATAAACAATTTAAATAAATAATTAAACAAAATAAATAATTTTATTTCAATACTACTTGATATTTTTGTTAAAAAAAATTATATCCACAATACATAACTTTACAAATTTCAATAACAACAATCTATTATTTTAAGATAATCTGCATGTATATATATATATATATATATATATATATATATATATATATATATATATATATGTACAGAAAGAAAGCATGGTTAAATATATTCCGAAAAAGTCATATAAATACATGTATATCAATCTTATTTTAAAATATAAAAATTTTATTTATATTTATATATCTAATATTTTATGGATAATAAAATATCAATTTATTAAATTGTATTAAAAAATTCACATAATTATTCATGTAAATCATAATAATTCAAATAATTTATACATATATAAATAAAAAACGATACTGTACATGAAGTATTTGAGTTTTCGCTTTTTGCTAGTTCCGTTTGAAATTAAAATAAAATTGAAATAAAATCTCTAATACTTATTTTCGTACTTTGAATATTTTGGACGTTTGTATTGGAAGTTAGTAACAGATTTGAGATCCTTTATCCGTAATCAATTTTGAACATATATCACAATTTTGTGCAACGCGATTTTACGAGTTGATAAGAGGAATTTTCAGAATTTTTGTAATATTTATTTTATTATAGAAATTACTATAAAATTTATTATTAAAATCTCTAATACTTATTGTAATTTACAATATTTATTATTTAATATCATTTACGGTCAAAATAAAGTAATTACAATTTAAATATGAGAGAGTAAGGAAAAATGGCGAATCAATAAAAGCGATCTGCTGATAGCCAATCCCAGGAGTCAATCCCTTATTAAAGGGTCTTTATCGGTTGCCTTGTCATTGCTCCACTATTAGTGACTAATGTTCCGTCTATGTATTTTATGTGCTGTGGCAAGAAATATAAATCTAATTACAATAATCTTTTGTCATTAAACTTAGAAGAAGAAGAAGAAGGTATTAAACAGTAATATTAAATAAAGAAATTTCTTCCAAACGTTAGGAATTTTCTAATCAATAACCTATTGACACAGTGTTTAATTGTGTTTTCTTGTTGGAAAACAATAGAAGCAACGAATAAAAAGTGCAAAACATATAGCACCGTTTTTTTCATTAGGTTTCTTTGTATTTTTTATTTTCGTACTTTGAATATTTTGGACGTTTGTATTGGAAGTTAGTAACAGATTTGAGGATCCTTTATCCGTAATCAATTTTGAACATATATCACAATTTTGTGCAACGCGATTTTACGAGTTGATAAGAGGAATTTTTAAATCAAATACATATAATTGTAATATATATAATTGTAAGCAATGTTGGCCTTTGTTAAAAAAATCATGGAAGATCGCATCGAACAGATACACAAATCTGGTAATGTGGATATGAATCTATTTAAAACGATCTATAATATATTCCATTGAATTATCTTTTACTTACTAAAAACTTTTTATTTATTAAAAACATTTTTCTAAACTTTAATTTTCAGCAGAAACAACAAAAAAGAAAGAAACATGCACAAGCAAGAATACCGATGCTTTCATTGTTAGTGAAAAATACCAAGAAATTCAAAATATATTGGGAGAAATAAATTTGCTCTATGAAAAAAGTAAAATTCCTAAAAAAGTTAAGAAAATGATGAATCAGCTGGAAGTCAAGATGAATAATTTATTTGAAAATTTTGTAATTGCTTCAGAAATCAAATGTGATGATATTCTAGTTCTTACAATGGCTCATATTAATTTAGGTCGAATATATCTTTTCAAAGAAGGTAATTTAACTGTTGCTAAAGATTATCTTATTAATTGCTTGGCATTATTGGAGGGAAAAGAGCAGCACTATAAATTTATTTTGACAGCTATCTATGCACATATTTACCTACATGAGATTTGGAAAAAATTACAACAGTTAGACAATTGTTCATTACAGAATTATTCATTATTAGATAAAGCATTAGAACTATATTTAAATTATACAAAGGAAGATGATTATCCAGATCCTCTTAATGTACATCTCTTTTTACCTAACAAAGAAAACTCTAAAATTAATCTGATTAAATGTCATATATTAACTTTAACATATATGGAAGAATTGTATTGCTTTCAACCTACAAATATGCACAAATTTGTAATATATATTCATAATTTATTGAACGAGCAACTGAAAACAATAAAAGACTCGACTGAAAATCACATGTTTATATATTGGGCTGAAGCATCAGCTGATTTATCTATTTACTTTTTATATTCTAATCGCCTTATGGAAGCTAAGATTCATATTGCTGCTGCAGAATATATGACAATGATATATTATACATTGATATTAACAGATCCAGATGTTGCAAAATCTCAAGAAAAAATTGATTCGTATAGTATAGTCGATATATTCATCAATCAACTTTGGGCAATGTATGGTATTATGCTTTTACGTTCATCAAAAGAAAGATTACTACAGCATGAAAGTAATAATTCTTGTGAGGCAAATAACATAGAATCGAAATCTCATTCGAAGTCAGAGAAAGAAATAATGAAACCTCTAACATTTGTTGAATTAGAAAAAAGATTAAAAAACATTATTAGATATCACATCACAGATACATATGTATCTAATCTTGATGATGTTAAGATAATTTTTCAGAATGTGTTAAAATGGCTGAATGAAATATATATGTATTTTAATAAAAGGAATCAATTTATACCTCAAGTGCAAGTAGTACTTTGCACATCCAAAGCGTACAAATATTATGCGTATTTTGAAGGAAGTAAAAGTAAACAGATAAATGTAATTAAACAACAAATAGAAATATTGGAAGGTGTTACTAGTACAATAGCTTCAAAATATACTACAGTACCAGAATATCATTATTTTAAAAAACTTAATTTTGAACTAGCAGTTACTTATTCCACACTCTTGGATTTGATGTCTGAAGAATTAGATGAAATTGAGGAAATTACTGATGAAACGAGAATAGAAATGAAACAATTAGTGACAAATGTTATACATAAATTTAATTTATTTACAAATTTATCTTAAATTTTAGATCTCATTTTACATATTTGAATTTTTAGATTTCTTTTCTGAAACTTTTTTGTCTTTTACTTATAATCTTATATTACATTTGTACTTTCTTTGTATGAATATATTAAAACAACACAATTCATTATGCAAAATTTTTCTATTTTATCATATATTTAACACGTAATTAATGCATATAAAAATAGATGATTTTTTTTAGAAACAAACCGAAATAAATGTTACAAATAAAGGGCATAAGTAAAAGATTTTTATTAAAGTATTTTTAAAGAAAAGAACTCAGACTTAAAAATTTTGTATAAAAAGTTTTATACAATTTATTATATAATTTTATATTTTATTCGTATAATTTTGTCATTTTTATACAATCTATGTATCTATATATTCCTTCATTTCTAAAAATATTTGTGTACCATAACTGCTGATGAAAAATAAAAAAATAAATAATTTTATTTTAATACTACTGGACGATTTTATTAAAAGGAAATTATATTCACAATACGACTTCACAAATTTGTTAAACAACAATCGATTATTTTAAGATAATTTGCATGTACATATATATGTGTGTATATATATATATATATATATATATATATATATATATATATATACACACACACACACACACACACGCATATATATATATATATATATATACACACACACACACGCACATATATATATATATATATATATATAAAGAAAGAACTAGCGTTAAATATATTCCGAAAAAATCATATAAATATATGTATATCACTCTTATTTTAAAATATAAAAATTTTATCTCATCTATAAAATATCATAATTTATTAAATTTTATTGAAAAATGTACGTAATTTACGTAATTATTCATGTAAATCATAATGATTCAAGTAATTCATATAAAAACGATACTATACATGAAGTATTTGAGTTTTCGCTTTTTGCTAATTTAGTTTGAAATTAAAATTTTTCAGAACTTTTGTAATATTTATTTTATTATAGAAATACTATAAAATTTATTATTACAATCAATAATATTTACTATTGTAATTTATAATATTTATTATTTAATTTTTATTATTTAATATCATTTACGGTGAAAATGAAGTAATTAAAATTTGAATATGAGCGGGAATTAAGGAAAAATGGCGAACCAATTAAAAGCGATCTCCTAATAGCCAGTCTCTTATTAAGGTGCAATTTCATTGACGCTAGAAACCAGTGGCAAATTAAAATCACTAGACTTTCTCTAGATATGGCGTCAATAAAATAAAGTTCAAACAGTTTCAACTTTTTCAGTGTGTAAAGCGGCCTTTTCATTGATGCTACTTTATAGCGTCAATGAAATTGCACCTTAACAGTTGGCAGCCCTACGAGATAGGCTGTGCAGCACTGCGCGTATATAAAATAAATTTGAAATCGCTTCTAGCCTAACCAGCTTCACGCGATCGACTTTATTTGAATTGCACGGCATCGCATCGAATTATGATGCGGCGCCAATTTGTTCGAACGTAATTCGGGACATCACGATGCTGTATAAGCGTCAAATGAGCACGAATTGTCACGCAAATATGATAAATCACATCTACTCACCGTTCACCGGCTGCGTCCACAGGCCGCTCCACTCGCTCGCCTCGGGACGTCCCATTCCGATCTTGATGCACACAAACTCACACGATATCATCAACGCGAACGCGCGACACTTTATTCGGCACTCCCGATATTCGCTCGCATCCGATAATCATCATCAAGGGCGCAAATAACGCGACGCGACTTCGCTCCATCTTCGCGATCGCGCTATCACTGAACTGTGAAAAATAGCTGTCGTGCATTTTCACCGACATATTATGAAAGTCGCGCGATCATCCTTGGACACTTTCGACGCTCTTTCACTCGCGATATTCGTTTAAAAACGGCTAAAAGACGCGAAAAATGCGGACGTACGATGATCCGTGTAACTGCATATGACTCCGATTCACGTATGATGCGTATGACGTAGCAGTGACGCGTATGACGTAGCAATCACGCGCTAACATGGCGGCCGAACCAGTGCGCATTCGTTTCTGCGCACTGGTTCGGCCGCCATGTTAGCGCGTGATTGCTACGTCATACGCGTCACTGCTACGTCATACGCATCATACGTGAAGTCGGAGTCATACGCAGTTACACGGATCGTCGTACGTTCGCATTTTTCGCGTCTTTTAACCGTTTTTAAACGAATATCGCGAGTGAAAGAGCGTCGAAAGTGTCCAAGGATGATCGCACGACTTTCATAATATGTCGGTGAAAATGCGCGACAGCTATTTTTTACAGTTCAGTGATAGCGCGATCGCGAAGATGGAGCGAAGTCGCGTCGCGTTATTTGCGCCCTTGATGATGATTATCGGATGCGAGCGAATATCGGGAGTGCCGAATAAAGTGTCGCGCGTTCGCGTTGATGATATCGTGTGAGTTTGTGTGCATCAAGATCGGAATGGGACGTCCCGAGGCGAGCGAGTGGAGCGGCCTGTGGATGCAGCCGGTGAACGGTGAGTAGATGTGATTTATCATATTTGCGTGACAATTCGTGCTCATTCGACGCTTATACAGCATCGTGATGTCCCGAATTACGTTCGAACAAATTGGCGCCGCATCATAATTCGATGCGATGCCGTGCAATTCAAATAAAGTCGATCGCGTGAAGCTGGTTAGGCTAGAAGCGATTTCAAATTTATTTTATATACGCGCAGTGCTGCACAGCCTATCTCGTAGGGCTGCCAACTGTTAAGGTGCAATTTCATTGACGCTAAAAAATAGCATCAATGAAAAGGCCGCTTTACACACTGAAAAAGTTGAAACTGTTTGAACTTTATTTTATTGACGCCATATCTAGAGAAAGTCTAGTGATTTTAATTTGCCGCTGGTTTCTAGCGTCAATGAAATTGCACCTTTAGGGTCTCTATCTTTCGCCTTGTCCATTCCCATTGCTCCAATATTAATGGCTAATGTTCCGTTCATGTATTTTATGTGCTGTGGCAAAGATGTATAAACATAATCCAATTACATAACCTTTCGCTATGATCAGGTATTGAATAAAGAAATTTCTTCCAACATTGAATTTTCTAATCAATAACCAATTGACACAATGTTTAATTGTGTTTTCTTGTTGGAAAGGAATGGAAACAACGAATAAAGAGCGCAAAATTCTAATTCTAATTCTGGCTAGCCCTATTTTTTCGTTAAATTTCTTTCAAGGAAAAAAGAAGATGATGCAAAACTGTTTATTGTTTTTGTATTTTGAATATTTTGGATGTTGTGTGTGTTGAAAATTAGTAACGAATAGGTTATCTTTATCTTATTAGGAATTCCTTTATCCATAATTAATTTGACGAATTAATAACAAGATTTTTTAAATCAAATATATTGTAAGCAATGTTTGAATTTATTTTTAAAAATGGATCATCGCATCATACAAATACGCAAATCTGGTAATGTAAATAAGAATAATCTATTCGTGATGATCTATCATATATTCTATTGAATAATTTTAACGTTGACTTTTAACAGAAACAAATACAAGCAAGAATGCAGATGCTTTCATTGTTAGTGAAAAATATCTGGAAGTTCTAATTTCATCGTTGGAAGTAAAATTTCTGTATGAAAAATGTAAAGTTCCCAAAATGACTAAGGAAATGTTCAATGAGATAGAAGTCAAATTAAATAATTTATTTGAAAATTTTTTAACTACTTCAACAGAAATTGGATTTGATGATATTGTAGCTCTTGCAGTAGCTTATTTTAATTTAGGTAATATTTATACTCACAAAGAAGTTAATTTAAAAACTGCTGAAGATTATCTTATGAAATATATAGAATTATTGAAGGGACAAGAGCTGCACTGTAAAGTTATTTTGACAGCTATCCAAGCACATATTGACTTAAATATAGTTTATATAAAATCACAACAGTTAGAGAAATGTTATCCATTGTTAAATGAAGCATTAGAACTATATTTAAATTATACAAAGAACGAAGATGAATATCCCGATCCTTTTCATATAGATGCCTTATATCGTAGTAAAGAAATAATAAACTCAAAAATTCAACTAACTACATTGCATACATTAACTTTAAAGTATATGATACAATTATATTACTTTCAACCTAGAAATATGCAATATACGTTCATAATTTATTGAATAAGCAACTGAAATCAATAGAAAATTCTACTGAAAATGATATGTTCATATATTGGGCTAAAGCTTCAACTGACTTATCTATTTATTTTTTATATTATGATCGCTTTATAGAAGCCAAAATTCATCTTGCTGCTACAGAATATATGACATTGAGATATTATGTACTGATTATAATAGATCAGGATGCAAACTCTCGTACAAATAATAATAAATATAATCTAGTTTATACATTCATCACTCAACTTTGGGCAGTGTATTGTATTATGTTTTTACATTTATCAAAAGAAAAATTACTACAGTTTGAAGGTAATAGATTTTGCGAGGCAAATAACATAGAATCAAAATCTTATTCGAAGTCAGAGAAAGAATTAATGAAACTTCTAACATTTGTTGACTTAGAAAGAGATCTAGAAAACATTGATAATTATCATATCACAAATACATATGTGTCTAATCTCAAAGATGTAAAAATAATTTTTGCAAATATTTTAAGATGGCTTAATATAATATACATGCATTTTAAAGGAATAAATAAATTTATACCTCAAATGCAAATAATACTTCGCATATCCAAAGCTTACAAATATGCATATTTTGAAGGAAGTAAAAATAAACAGATAAAAGTAATTAAACAACAAACAAAAATGTTAGAGAATTATATTAGTGCATTATCTTCAAAATATAATACATTACAAGAATATCAATATTATAAACATCTATACTTTGAACTAGCAATTACCTATTCCACGCTCTTGATGTCTGAATTAAATGAAATTGAGAAAATTACTGGCGAAATGAAAATGGAAACTAAGCGATTAGTGAGAAATATTATACATAATTTTTGTTTTTATTTATAAGTATTTTTAAATTTTAGCTCTTTTTATATATTTGAATTTTTAGATTTCTTTCTTGAAACTTTTACACATGCGTTCTATTTGTAATATTATATCATATGTATTATGCTTTATTATAAATAAATATAATAAAGAACACAATTCATTATGCAAACTTTCTTCATTTTATATATACTCAACATGTAATTAAATATATAAGAATTGATAATTTCTTTGAAGACAAACCAAAATAAATGTTACAAATAAAAGACACAAAAAAGGGTTTAAAACTAATTCTTTAAAGAAAAATATTCAGACTTAAAAATAAAAATTTTTATACAAATTATTCTTATACTATATGTGTACTCTATTAATAGTAGAATAAATTTTTTATTATGTTAGCGATGTAATAAAATATTAGAGTTTTTTGAATTGTAATGCTTGTGAAGTTTTATGATTTTATACCATCTTGTTATAATTATATTCTTATGATATGTATAACATTTATGAGAAAATTCAGTAGTCATCAAGGAGATAAATTAAATGAGATAATTAAATTTTTAATTTCGATGTAAAAGCTAAAAAAGTAAAGTCATTCTTTAAATGAAACTCAAATATTATCGATAATTTATATTTTATATTATATAGTCGATGCGATGTATATAAATTATATTTTTTCGTTCTAATCATCGCTTTTGATCTCACTCTGGAGTCGGTATCGAAGTAATATGAGCATCAGATGGATCAGTTTTAAAGCGCGACACATTTAATTGATGAGTAAGTAATAATTGAAATCGTATTTTAATAATTTTTCGCGGTTCTGTAGCGTAAATTCGACATATAGCAACATGCGATGTATTATTTATGAGATCTCGTCGTTCGCGCGATAATAGTCGAATAAGTAGGTCAACAATGTTAAACGTTACATTAATTTTCAAGATGCAATCGCGAAACGTATCCTGTTTCTACTCCTGTTATTTCTATTTATTGCTTTATATTTCTTCATCTTTAAATATTTGCGCAACATAATTGGTGAAAAATAAAAAAATAAATAATAAATTTTAATACTACTTGACATTTTGTTAAAAAGAAATTATATCTACAATATAACATTATATAATTATTTGATCATAACGAAAATTTACCTATGGCTAATCGTCTTTAATATCATGTCGATGTTATTTCTAAATCTTTGTTTTCTTCTTATTGTTTCAATATTGATGTTCCGTCTATGTATTTTATATACTGCGGCAAAAGATACTCATATATACCCAATAATATAATCTCGTGTTCTGATTAGGTATCAAATAGAGAAATTCCTTCGAACTTTAGAAGTTCTCTATTCGATAACCAATTGAATATCTATTTACTGTTTTCTTGTTGGAAAGTTAGGAAAAACGAATAAAAAGCACAAAACTAATTTTACTAGTTTCACTTTTTTCCGTTAAGTCTTTTTCGCGGAAGAAAGGGATGAAGCAAAACTGTTTATTTTGTTGTATCTCAAGTATTTTGAACGTTTGTTGGAAATTAGTAACGAACAAGTTATCTGGGAATCTTTTATTAAGTTTTCAACGTATATGACAATCTTGCATAACACGATTTTACGAGTTAATAAGAGGAATTTTCGTGTCATATTTATTGTAAGCAATGTTGGATTTTATTTATAAAGTCTTGGAACAACGCATCGAACAGATACTCAAATCTGGTAATGTAAATAAGAATAATGTATTCAAAACGATCTATCATATATATATATATATATATATATATATATATATATATATATATATATGTATTCCATTGAATAATTTTTTAACTTCGACTTTTAACAGAAACAACAAAAACGAAAGAAACAAATGCAAGTAAAAATAACGATGTTCTTTTTGGTAATGAAGAATACTCAAAAATTCTAAATTCAACGTTTGAGCTAAAATTTCTGTATGAAAAATTCGATAGGGATAATAAAATTTCCAAAAGGATTAAGAAAATGATCAGTAAGGGGAAATTCAAGATGAATAATTTATTTGAAAATTATGTAATTAATTCAATGGAAATTCCACTTGATGATATTTTAGTTCTTGCAAAAGCTTATTTTAATTTAGGTGAAATATATATTTACAAACAAAATAATTTAGAAGCTGCTAAATATCATCTTATTAAATGTATAGAATTATTGGAAGGAGAAGAGTTGCACTATAAAGTTATTTTGACAGCTATTCAAGCACGTATTGTCTTAAATAGGGTTTATATGCAATTAAAACAGTTAGAGAATTGTTATCCATTGTTAGATGAAGCATTAGAGCTATATTTAAATTATACAAAAGATGAAAGTGAATATCCAGATCCTTTCAATATAGATGTTTTTTATTATCCTAAAGATGACATTAAAAACTCCAAAATTCTTCTAATTAAACAACATATATTGACTTTAGAGTATATGAATGACCTGTATTTTCGTGAACCCATAAATATGCATAAATTTGTAATATATGTTCATAATTTATTGAACAAACAGCTGAAAATAATGAAAAACTCAATTGAAAACCACATGTTTATATTATGGGCTGATGCCTCAACTAATTTAGCTCTTTACTTTTTATATTATGATCGTTTTATGGAAGCCAAAATTCATCTTGCTGCTGCAAATTATATGACAATGATGTATGCATCAATTTTAACAGATCAAGATTATTCAGAAACTTGTGAGGATATTCTGCAATTCTCTCGTACATCTACCATTGAAGTTTGGGTAATATATGGTATTATGTTTTTACGTTCATTAAGAGAAAGATTAATACAGTGTAAAAGTAATAAATGTTGTAAAGCAAATAACGTAGAATCAGAATCTCATCCAAAGTCAGAGAAAGAATTAATGAAACCTCTAACATTTGTTGACTTAGAAAAAGAGCTAGAAAATATTGATAATTATCATATCACAGATACATATGTGTCAAATCTCAAGGATATAAAAATAATTTTTGTAAATGTTTTAAGATGGCTTAATGTAATATACATATTTTGTAAAGAAAATCAGTATTTTTTCGGAGATCGGTTTCTGTCTCAAGTGCAAACAATACTTTATATTTCCAAAGCTTACAAATATTATGCATATTTTGAAGGAAATAAAAGTAAACAGGTAAAAGTAATTAAACAACAAACAGAAATGTTGAAGAATTATATTAGTGCATTATCTTCAAAATATAGTACATTACAAGAATATCAATATTATAAACATCTATACTTTGAACTAGCAATTACCTATTCCACGCTCTTGAATGTGACGTCTGAATTAAATGAAATTGAGAAAATTATTGACGAAATGGAAACTAAGCGATTAGTGGAAAATATTATACAGAATTTCAATTTATGTCTAAATAATGTTTAAATTTTAGTCTTTATATACATATACATATATATATATATATATATATATATATATATATATATATAAGTACTTTATTAATATACTTTAAAAAATTTGAGTCTTTATATATATTTAAAATTTTTGATTTCTTTTCTGAAACTTTTAGGCACTTTATTTGTAATATTATATCATATGTATTGTGTTTTCGTTGTTAAAAATATGATGAAAAACAATTCATATTATGCAAAATTTATTTTTTAAATATATATTTAACTTGTAATAAATTTATATAAAATTAGATAACTTTTTGCGACTAACTAAAATAAATATTACAAATAAAAGGCATAAAAATAAGATATTTATAAAACTATTTTTAATGAAAAATACTTAGACTTAAAAATAAAGATTTTTCTACAATCAAATTATTTTTATACTATCTATTATGTGTGTATTCCATTAATAATGTAATAGATTTTTCATTATGCTAGTAACGAAATAAAATATTATTTTTGAATTGCAATGCTTGTTAAGTTTTATGATTTTATGTCATCTTGTTATATATAATTAGAGAATATAATGAAAGGCTTGAGACGGCATCAAAAGATGGAGCAATCATGAGGTAAATAACTTACTTGTTTATTACTATTTGTAAAAAATTAAACAAAAGAAAAATTTTAAAACGTATAATTATTTTTCGAGATATTAAATATAACGTGGATTTGCTTTAAATATAACGTACCATTCTGGCTTTAATTTAGATTAAATAGATATATTTGTGTATTTTATAAATTCAACGTTGTTTAATTCTGCCGGAATTACATAGATGAGTTTGAATTATAGGTTATTTTATTATTTTATTGTTACTATTTTATTATCAGATTATTATCTATTTGTTATATTTGTTGTTTATTTTATGAGAGAGTGGATTTGAGAAAATTACTTGTGTTTATATGTGTGCATGAAATATACATACAAAATATATCTATAAAATGACAAATATTAGTAGTAAAACAATTTGAAATATTTTTCTGGCAATTATTAATACATAAAAGTTCGTATACAATAAATTTATGTTCATAATGCAAATCATATATACATAATCTATTATATGCATAGTCTTATTTATTATTTGTTCTTATTATTATTTTTTTCTATTTGATAATAGAACCATAATTTATTTTAAAATTATATTAAACATAATAAAAATTAAAAATAATAAAAATAAAAATTTTAAAATAATAAAAGTTTAGAATATAGAATATAATAAAAAAGTTAGGAATATATAATTAGTAACAATTAGTAAGTAAGGAATATATAATTAGTAACAATTAGTAAGTATTATTAATACATATACTCTACATAAATCCATTGTCCTTTTTAAATGAATGGATTAAGACAAATTGCACTAAATATTTAATATATGTGGAATATATGTGGCTGCCTATCAATATGCATACAAAGATGTACACTTGAGCATTATTTGTTATAAATTAAATTGGACATTATTTGTTTTGCGTTTTTGATCATTTTGAGAGAGAGAAGAGATTAATTATTCCTTAAAAAATATTTGTACAACTTGAGTAATGATTGGTGTAAAGTTATATAAATGGTTTATGGATATAAAGTGTGGGGCGGCGTGTGACGACAAGGTACTTGTCTACTGCCCAAGGTACCATACGAAGGTTTCTTGGGTTCGAGTCCCGTTGAGGCAGAAATTTATTTCTGCGATATAGCCGCCTAAATCCCCCACCTAACTCTTGTATCAAGAAGTCAACATTGGCCATTTAATTTTAAAGAAATTAAAAAGAAGAAGAAAAGTTTCTATATGAAACTCAAAACAAAATTGGAATGTATATTTAACTTCAAGAATCATCTTCTTTATAGAGATATATATAGGATATATATTCTAAACTATATTATAAACTACATTACACAATTCTTAATTACATTTGTAATATTAAGAAATACATACATCTTATAATAAAATCTGTTACTTAACAATTGTTCAACAAAAATATACTGTACAAATGTTTATTATTTATACATTTGCAAAGCTGTTTTTTCTGCTAAACGCAGTTATTACTTGCATCATTATTTTATTAATTTTTTTTATAGTGCTGTTACATAGCTTTCATCAACATATATTTTCTGCCATAATAATTTCACGACAATTTCAAGAGAAAGAACATTTTATGAAAATATGCAGGTTACGGATATTTTACAACAATTGGGAATAAGCACTTATGCTAATGTTTTCGAAAGTAATTAATAAGTATTTTAAAACATTATCTTTGCTCTAGAAATTAGTGTCATGCAATACGATTTTTATGCGTTTTACATGTAATATGAACTTATAATAAAGTTTTGTATATCAGAGTCGTTTAATGAACATTAAATATGTCTCTAATTTTTAAACTAAAAAATAACATAATGTAACTTTCATGTAAGAAAAGTGAAACGCGGAATTAGAAAAATATATTTAGCATTTTACTATATGCATCCACAATAAGGTTTCAGATTATCTCTGGATTATATATGATAAACTAACGCATGTATTATATATGATAAACTAACGCATGTATTTTTTATGGAAAATTTCAAAAACTTGACATATTAAGGCGGAAATTGTATATATGATTTTTGCAGTATATTAATTTTTATGGTGTATTATTTTTTTACTTGGTTTCTTGTGTCATCTCGTGTTAATTAACTTTATAAATATTTTACATAATATATTTTTCATACACACACACACACACACACACACACACACACACACACACACACACACACACACAAAAGCCAGCATTTGTGTACACATTCTAAAAATTTCATTTTTTAATTGAAAAATTTGTGAATATTGAATTTTTTTCATATTTTAATTGAAGAAAACGGAATCACAATGGAATTAATGAAAGACTTAGATGAATAAGTAATTGCTGAATTCCGAAGTGAGTTCACGCATAACTTTTTTATCATATTGGAAAAAAACTTTTCACAAAAGAAAGAAATAAGCACAAGTTCAGATGCAGAAACTAATGTGGGTTTAACAAATATTCCATTGTTGATTGTTGTTTTGTTTTGATTTATTTAACTCAAATATAAAAATTACTCTGTTGGTATAAAGTATTAAAAAAATTATTTTATTTGGTGTTTGATTGTTTTGTTTATTAGTATAAAATCACTGTCGGTAATATATTTTTATTTTTATTTTATATTTTTAATCATTTTTTCTATACAATTATTTTTATTGTATTAATAAGACCTGATCTTATTAACACCTGATCTTATTAACATCTATTATAACTTGATCTTATATTTACCCAGCTAATCATTTGTTTGCGGATTGCTAGCAAGCGGAAAACAATTTTCTGCCGAACGAAGTTGTCAAATCCAGAGCATACTGTGTCAAGTGCGCTCCAATTGCAACCAAAAGTTGAAATCGCATTCTATTAAATTATGTGCAAAACCACACAGTGCAGATGTGTCACTAACAGTGCGATAACAGATGAATGCAACAAACCGAGAGCAGATTTATTAACATCCTGTAATTAAAATAGTGAACAGAAATAAATCTTCAAACTACTTTTGGCATGTTTGCGTGTTTTTGTTGCAAAATGATGTTTCAACAGATCTGCTGCATTTCTGTCATCATCACTTTCTACAGATCTGCTTGCTATTCACTGCCACTTTGTCACGTAATCTGTCTGAACGATATTGATGAATATTTACTGAAATTGTGTTCACAGTATTTTCAATGGCAAAGTATGTTTCTCATTTGCAGCTTTTTGATAAACAGAATATGTTGCCTGCATTTGCATTCACAGAAATGATTAGCTGGGTACTTTAATAAAAATACAAGACGGATAGCAAATATTTTTTGTTCATATTAAAAGCAAATGTGGCTTAAAAAATATTTTATTATACAATTTACATGTTTTACGAAAATATATAAATTATTATAAAATATATTTATATATAAATTATTATAAAATAATAAAATAGTATTCATATTATTAAAAAAATAATTTATAATTTATAATATATTAGATACTTAAATATTTATAATACATTAGAAATATCTATATAATAATAATTGAAAATAATTGAAAATTGAACATAATTATGGTTTTTTATGTCGACAATTATTCTACTTGTTTCTGACCATTGTAATAAATTATAATTAAAATTACCTAATGTTAAGAAAGGCTAATTTTATTATTATTATATTTTAATATGGTACATGTATGTGGCATGCCACGTGTTAGAAAATATTTTTCTTTCAATGTTAAGTAAATTATTAATACATTAACTCTTAAAAAGTATTGTAAAAGAGGATTTCTGAAGGTACATTTGTTTCTAAAAATTTGTAAATACTTATTTCCTTTTCGACATTTTTATTAAGTTATGAAAAGTAGATTTAGCTCATATTGACTCAAATAATATAGAAGAATAGTAAATCGAATAGTAAAAATAAATAGTAAAATAAAATAAAATAATAAAAAGAATAGTAACAATCGTAAATCCTAACAAAAAAACAGCAGAATTAAATCATTTTCTAAACATACGTACTATAAATTTTGTGTACTTTTTAGAGCACAGGAAATAGTTTTCATATATCCAACACTAGTCTTGAAAAAATATCAAAATGCAATACAAGAGATGAGTACTTGTGAAAATTATAGCAAAAAAAGCATATTATGCGAAAAAAATGCATCTACTTTTCAAGATATGTTTTTGGAAACAATTTCTAGCATTGAAAATTTATTACAATAATCAAAAATGGATAGAATAATTTTATGTGACTCTCAAGACTAAAGAACTAAGTGGGTCAATGAGAAATAAGCTTTGCAATATAATTATCACTTACATGAAGGATCATAATATTGTGTATGTTTCCTATGCTATATTATTATAAATATTATTTTCTTTGCAGAATTTATTATTATTTTTATAACTGTACATATATATTTATAATTATATAATACGTTGGAATAATTTTTACAGTATGACAAATGAAATAGCCGAAGGCATTTTAGAACGAATTGTCAAGTTATTTCCTTCTGAAGCTGAAGGTATCTACTTTATAGATGGAAAAAAGATCCACACTTTGAATAAGAAATCAATAGCTATGAAAGGTAAACTATTGTCGTGTTAGCGCAAGAAAATATGCAGAAAATATGCTTTTTCAAAATTAAAAAAATGATTGATACAAGAACCTGAAGTTGATCCTGATGATAATTTTATTGATAATGATGGTAAAGAATTTAGTAGAGAAATGCTTACAAATGAATATTACATAATTATTATACATTTCTAGTGAGCAATGAAGATATTCAAAATGTTTTGGATTGGTTAAAAATTAACTAAGCACCTTGGGATGTGGATAGTTTTGGATAAATGACACTTAATTTCTAAATATCGACTTTAATTATTAATGAAATCATCTGATAAAGGATTGAATAACATATTTGAGGAATGGTCTCTTTTAAAACATCCATATGGATATAAACTTATCAAACATGATTTTGAGCAAATGCAGTTAATAAATTTCTGTTTAACTTTAGAAAAATGGAACGAATTTTTTAATACAATAAAACAAAATGTACAACTTACAAATAAAAATAATGATTTCTCAGATTTAATAGAAACATTAAATTTAGATATATTTGAAGGCACAGGCACACAATTTAATTTATTTATTATATTTATATTATTATTATATATTGCACTATATATACAATACGCAATATGCTTGATTATAACTTAATAATTTGTCTTTTTTTTTCTTATAGATTCCAAATTAGCTATAACAATACAACTTTTTTCATACATGATCCCTCCAAACAAAAGGTCAAACAAAAACACATTGCGACAAAGAAAAACTATAATAAAGCATTCATTGCTTTGTCGAAAGATAATATGATAAAATGTGTAACTGTAAGCATATTGATATCTAAAATTTTTATTTAAACACACATAATGTTTTGATTAATTTAAAATTTGATTATATTATTGTAGACTTCTGCTGATATTACAAAGATTCGAGAAGCTATCGATGAAGCAGAAAAAGAATCAAACATCTATACAACCATGTATAATAGTTGTAGGATCAATGTGTTTCACTCATATGTCATGATTGATGAAGTTTCGTATTCAACAGATTCAACGGAGGATATCTGCTGAAGCAAATAAATCCCAGCACTGTGTTAGACAACGAATAACAGGTATAAAAACAAAATAATAAGTATAAAATTATTTTTTCAAACTTATATAGCACTTTAATTTTAATTAAAGTCGTGTCATTTTGTATATTTCCGGCAATCATTAAAGTGTGCTTAGTTTTTACAAGTATTTACAAGTACATTGGTTAAAGTATTTTGCATATTTTTATATCAATTTTTCATAATGTTTATTGATATAACATCATATGTATTATATATAACAAAATAAAATAGTAGGAAACAAGTACAAGAATTTAGTAATGGAACGTATAAATTTTCTATATAAATTATTTTAAAAGTACGATTTTATAAAATGAGGTTTTACTTTTTTCAAATTTAAAATTAAAAAAAACAATGTAGGATTAATTTCGATAGCAAAGAGTTAACTGAACCAATTTATTAAACCGCATCGTTCGAAGTGCTAGTATGAACATATATAGTAATTAGGATATATTTTCTAAATTTTCTAAATTTTCTTAACTTTGGTTAATCTAGCAAGTTCCTTTTGGCTTAGCTAGCACGTAGAGCGATTAAGGCTATTAGAATTAATAAAAATATAGAAATATAATAAATGCGCGCATTTAATAAACAGTCTTAATTATCTATCTCACATATATCACATATATACATTTTTATAATTTTTTGTTCCTATTTATCAGCAGAGTCCAGATCTCGGTGCGGTTTTCCTCACTCCAAGTGCATGCTAGCGACAGAGAATCGCGAAAAACAATATTGTCTACGCCGTGATAGTCACTAGCATGCATTTAGAGTGGAGAAAACGGCATCGAGATCCGGATTGTATTCATCAGTTTCACATATTTTTATCTTAATGTATCAAGAAATGTAATTCAACTCGCTTCCTCTTTCTTTTTGTTTTCATTATACATTATCAATATTTGCAATTTTTGGAATATATATAAAAATTTGTACAATATATGTGTATGTATATGTGCATGTATGTATATACATGTACGCGCGCATACATCCACACAAACGTATGTACATACATTTTATGTAATTTTAAACGTACGTACATAAATATAAAAACTCAGATCTATACATATGTACACATAATGTTATATGTATAGATTTGAGTTTTTATATTTATTTGTTTGAAATAGCTAAAAATATCCAATATACATGTTTCATTCAGAAAAAAGAATAAACGTTAACTTTCTAAATTTTCTTTTTATTTTTTAATAATTATCATTAAAACCATGAATGAAAAAAATATGATTCTGATTCCAAATTATGCATTATCAATATTTGCATATGCAATTAATAATTCTTGAAAAATGGATATATATCCTATATATTCTATCAAGCAACAAGACAATTGATCAAAATATTTCCTTATAGTGACTTCGGAACATATTCAATATGTGATAAAAAAATTTGTTTTTCGCAGGAACATTTATAGAAGTTTTAATAACAAATAATAATATAAAATAATAGTTTTAATCTAATAACAAAAATCTATCTCTTTCACCTTTTCTACAATTTCTTTTTCTAATATATAAGATATATGTTCTATCAAGCAACAAAAATATATAGAATATATAGAGTAAATAGGACATATATCTTACAATAAGTAATTTTAAATATAATAAATTTTAATATAATAAATAGGACATATTTTAAAAATATAATTTTTCGTCTTGTTAATGTGGTGTTATTTTTAGACGAAGTCCGTTCGCATTTACAAGTACTAATTCCGATATAAAGCGCAATTGATCTTCTGTATCGAAGGCTTCCACGCGGAAAGCTTTTAACACGGATAACACAGCCACTTTGATGACCGATGTGGCAAATCTCGAGCCGATACAATTGCGTGATCCAGCACTAAAAGGGATGAAGCTGTAAGGAGGTAATTTTGGAATATTCGGTAAGAAACGCTCTGGACGATAAATATGCGGATCGGGAAAGAAACGCGAATCTCGATGCAGCAGATAAGAATTGATGAGAACTGTTGAACCTGGTGGAATTTTGTTACCCACTAGAAACATAAAAATATAGATAAGAGAAAAGTCCTCGTTTACATTACACAATTCTTAATTACATTTGTAATATTAGGACATATATCTTAAAATCTGTTGCTTAATAATTGTTCAACAAAAATATACTCTACAAATGATTATTATTTATATCAACTGATAATGTTATATATCTATGATTATAACATTAAGATATATGAAATAATAATGCAGTAATATTATCAAGTAAATAATATTTTGTGAAGAGGAATATATCGATTTTTCGAAAAATAGAATTAAAAGATATTTACTCAAATTGATCGGTTTATAGATTTGTCTCGCTATGAGCGGTGCTACTGGATATATTCTCCATTGTTCTTTAATACAGGCGTCCAGCCATGTTAATTTGTGGATATTTTGTAATGTTACTTCTGTTGTGCCTAATACATTGTAATATTCGTCTAAGATCTTTTCCTAAGAGAAAGCAGAAGAGGATGTTAAGTTAAAAATATGAGAGAAAAGTACATGTATCTATTAATTATAAATAAACCTTCTTAAAATATATCAAATATCAATTTCTTTAAGTTTATTTAGATGAAAAATCTCACTTCCTCTCTCTCAAAGAAATATTGTAAATGTCGAAGATTCATTAAATTCCAATGAGAATTGCTAAAATTAAATGTTAATGCAATAGGACCAACGTACCTGATATTCGGGATGTCGCCCCAACGCGTAAAGCGTCCAGGATATACTGGTAGCCATTGTGTCATGTCCGGCATACATAAAAGTATTTACTTCATCACGAATATCCGCATCTGAAAGATGCACAGTTCCATTCTTCGATATGTCGAGCAGTAAGTCCAATAGAGCCTGTTTCTTATTCGGCGGTTCATTGAGGTTCCCATCGTGTTTCTGCTGCCATTCGATCTTTTTCTGTGCGATTACCTATGAATGAAACAGTCCGTATATACGTCGATAGCGAAAATACTACATATCAATTTTTTAACTTTTTATCTTTATAATTTTGCCCGAAAAGTCTCGATATCAAATTGCTCTAAAAAGAGAAAAAGATTTTTTTTTCTTAGATATAGTGTTATCTAAATTTGAAATTGAAACCGTAATTTAATTTTCGAAATTTAGTGTTCAATTTCATTCCAAAATTGTATTAAAATTGCAATAATAATAAAAAATAGTTAGTTCGATAAAATTTAAATATAAAAATTGCAATATTATGCTAACTAAATCATCTCGATTCGTAGTTTTAGTTTGAATTTCGCTCCGTGAAGTCTCGTGAAATTGTCACACTAACAAATGATTATAAAAACTCTAATCATTCGAATTTATTTAACTTAAGATTTTCATTACTTTGTCAACAAAGTCTTGAATGATACGAAGTGCGTGATCATGCTCCTTTCCTGCTTTGGTTAATTTGAAAATTTTATCATTTGATACCCACACGTTTGTGAAACGCATTTGTACAATAGATGCAATTCTGAAAATTACAAACAGGATTTTTTTAACATAATTTCATTATGTAACTTCAACATTGTATGTTGTATGAAATGCGAAAGAAATCTATGTAAAAATCTATCTATACATATTTCAGGCAAAAGACACTTACTTGTCCACAGCTTCTACATATTCATTTTCGGAATTTACTTGAGCATTTAGTTTATATCCCATTGCAGATTCTGCAATAAAATAAGTTTATTTTATTTTAAATAAAAAATTATTTCTACTAGAGTTTGTTGATTGAATTGATTTGTATTACGTTGTTGCATTAAAAAAATTAATATATTTTTCTTTAATAAAACTAATAATAAATATATATAAAAATATAATAATAAATAATAATAAAAAAAAGAACATAAAGTATATAAAATATATACAATAAAACAACGAAAAATATATCAATTTAATACAAAAAATGATATTTTTAATTAGAAATAATTGTTTATTCGTAAATCGCAAATTAATTATTATGTGTAATTAAAACAACTTTAAAACTAAATTTATTAAACTATTGGATCAAAATAGCAGTTATATTAACTCACCGCATATAATATCGAGAGTGGCGCGTTTTAAATAGGGTACTACGTCGAACCATTTGTTACTTTCTTTTTCAAAACAAGAAATTAAAACATTCATTTCTTCTTTTGCAATCTTAAAATATGTTGCGAGAAGACCGCTGTGGAACGTCGGCGTCAATAATTTCCTGCGAAAGTGCCATGTTTCACCTAAAAAAAGAATATAATTTTAATTATTTTTACATTTCGATGATATTCAACATAATATATATTATTACATATTAAAATAAAAATACGATTGTGCAAGAACATACATGGCCTCATTTTGTTTGAACAAGCTAAATTTAGCTAGATACACGATGTGTTTTTAAGATCTTCTTTTATTTAAATTTCAAAAGTGTCTATTGAAATTTAAATAGAATAAGATCTTAAAAACACATCGTATATCTAGCTAAATTTAGCTTGTTCAAACAGAATGAGGCCAGATGTGATATCCAACAAAAAATATTCGTCGTCGCAATATGATCTTAACGAATCGTTAATCACTTACCGGTGCTGGTCACCAGGCCGGTACCAAGCCATGGCTTCAGATATTCATATTCCAGACTTTTATCAATATGGGTACTGCTACTAAGCAAGGGTTGTATCGCTTCAACTTTATAAAGAAAGATAAAAGGTCGCAGGCCGACCCAAATCAAATAAATGTTACCAAATTCTTCAGCCCATTTGATCAAATTCTGGAAAAATTCTGGGAAAAAAGAGACGAATTGAATTTTAAACGTAAATTCGCTAAAATTTCATTATTTTGTCAATTTTTTAATGAGATTTCTCCATTTACTTATTAGGCAATTACACAATGGAATGTCGATATTTTTAACTCTATGTAAAAGAATATTATTTCTTTCTCATATATATATTCTCTTATATATATTCTTTCTCATATATCTATTCTCATATATATATATATTCTCTTAATCGCTCTTTTCTCGTGTATAGATAGCTTAAAAATAAAAAAAATATTTAAAATTCTTTCTTTTAATTTCTCTTTATGTTTTAAACAATTCATTTATAAATTTTTTTAACATTACATATGAAAATTTCATTTTTTGATTAAAATTTATATGTAGTTTATTTCAACTAAATGAAGAGAAATAATAAATTATTTATATTTTTTGAATGATACATTGAAAAAAAGGTCGATGTAGAAATAGATAAACAGAAAAAAAGAACGAGAAAAAAGAGAGATGGGGAATTAAGAAAGAGTACGACTCAACAGAGAAAGAGAGAAATCGCACGTGCAGTGAGTTGACGGCCGAGACTGACTGGACATTGACCGGTCGAACATAAACAGCATATATATTTGCACATGGATGATGGGGGAATGTAAAGAACAAGAGAGAAAGAGACAGAAATCAAGAGGAAGGAAGAGAAAGAATGAGATAGAGAGAGAAAGAAAAAGAGATACTGCTCTGAAAAGAATGAGAAAGACTTCGCTGTCAGAGACCTTGACAGGCGTGCAACAAGACGCTAAGCGTCCTTCGGACAGTAGTGGGCCTTCGATGACCTATTTTAGGCCGGGAGCTAGCCTATGTCAGCTGGCCTATTCCCCGCTTTCCCGTAGAGGATGCGTCATAAGTTTGAATAATGAATAAATTTGACATAACGCTCAAAATGTATTGTGCATAAAAGAGGGACCGGTTCTGCGTGACAATTCGAAATGATATTTTTTTTTGATACGAAGAAACATATAGAATCGTATTTATATTTCGTTTATTGTCGACATTTATCGATATTTACTTTAATGAATATCCAATATATTGCAAACTAAGATTTGTTCTAAAAAAGAATTTTTGCGTATTAAAAAATTGAATTTATAAGTAAATGTTTTCAAATGGAAAACAATAAATGGCAAAATCTTTTTTAATCTTTTCATTATTTCTTATTTATTTTATTTTATTAAAGATTTTTTATTCTACTCTTTCTTTTTGTCTTTTATTATTATGTCTTTTGCCTATATAAAACTATTTTGTATTAGACATTAGCAGAGTATGTAGAGACTAAAGAGTTCAACTCTTGACAATTTTTTCATCAGTTTGATGTAAATTTTCCTAGATATTATTTATAAAATAAGGAAGAAGAAGAGCGGCCATAAATTTTGATTGAAGCCGAAATTTTTTGAAAGCACATAATAAGCGAAAATAAAATCAAAAAGAAAAAAATATTGATTAACAATATTTGCAATAGAGTGTCGTTGTAGGCTAAGATTTTATCGCTTTAAATACATCGATATATATTCTTTTTCTTGTTTTATGAAACAATAGGGATCAATGACGGTTTTCGCAATGCATATTCGTTGCCATTATATACGTTAATTACACGTCTCCCCTTTTGTGCTGGTCGATCTGATTAATTGACATATGCGTCATAACGCGTACGTAGCATCAAATTAAATTCTATTCTCTTCTCGCGACCGACGACGTCTGGCTGAAATCTGATTCGGAGTCGTTCTCCGATCGCGAAGAATCTCAGATGCAGGAGGCTTTTTTTATAAAACTTTGTCCTGCCTGCGTGGATGCTTTTTTATTCTCTCCCTGAAACGAGAGGAGCGTACATAATACTGTTGCCCGTATAAAATCGCGTGTAATAATACTCAGACTGCCCAAACGACCTCGACCCGGTTCGTTTTATTTTTTCTCTTCCTCACAATTTCGTTTCTTGACACGTGCAAGGTGGCCGATTTTTAGTAGTGGATGGCGCGAATCGTTTTTTTTTTCTTTATTATTTTCTCCCGTCGCGTGAGTGTCTCTACGCGCGAAAGTTATGCGAGATTATTTGTCTCTTATTATAATAATCAATTTGTGTAATTAACAGAATAAATATAATAAGATCTGAATTTTTTAAGAATTGAACGTTCAAAGAACAGATACTGTTAAAAAAGAACGAATACTGTTTTACAGTCAATATCAAATTGTTATAATAATTTAAACAAAATTGCACTATATTATATATACTTGGTTGATTTTTTCACGGTCTATTATGAAAGAAACTGTCTTCATGGTTTATTACGAAAAGAAATTATTTCATTTTGCATAAGCAATACTAATTAAAATAAAATCAAAACGTACTTTCTAAAAGTGAATCAGTGAAAATATCACTAATTTAAACAGTAAAATAAGATTTCACTGAGAATCTGTGAGTATTTTACTGATTTTCAGGGAACGCTTATTTTTTTGTTATTTTATCTTATATCTCACTGATTATGGTCAAGTAAAATAAAATTCACTATAAAACCAGTAAATTTCACTGTAAAACCAGTAATCGGTAGTTCGTTTACCGCTATGATCGCTATCTCTCTCGTATTTAGTTTTAGTCATAAGAATTATATAAAGTTTGGAAAGAGCGACAGATAAAATTAGAAGGATTATTTTGATTTAATTTCTGATACAATCTCAATAGAAGGGCTTAAGTTATTAAATCGATCTTATATAAGTTGAACAATTAAATGTCTGACGACTTAATGAAAATTATGAAGAGATGAATTATAATTTAATATTACTGACGATAGAAAGAAATATTACTGATACTGAGAAATATTACTGATTGAAACAGTCAAAATTATTAACTGATTCTTTCAATAAAATATCACTGATTTACAGTGCTGTACTTATAACTGCTGTAATCAGTGACTATTTACTGTTTTTCAGTGATAATACATTGATTCATTTTTAGAGTATGAGAAATCTCATTTAATTCTTATTACGATATAAGGAATTTCTCTAATATTCTGGAGTAAACACTGTTACATCTTCCATAAATGTTTTTTCGAAGTCTACTTTATTAGAGAGAGAGATCTTACATACAATGCTTTTAATTATCGTGCAAAAAATGTTTTACATATTCACTGTAATGTTTCAAAATTGTAATGTAATGTAATTTTTTCTATAATATTGTCTAAATAACACAATTTTATAAAATTATGTTGTATAATTTAGGCAAAACATTGGGCAAATACACACAGCGCACACACACATACACACACACACACACACACACACACACACACATATGTGTTAGATTGTGTATGTATATATATATATACACACACACAATCTGCAACCTCAATAAAATTTACATGCAATAATTATCTTTTCTCTTTCTTTGATGAATAATATAAATATTATTCTAGTTATATAACCTTTTCGTAATAATAACTTTTTTATGCGACACATGAACAACCGAAAAAAAGATTATATATTATATTCAATATTAATGAATATCATTTACATTCATTTTTAGCAAAATTGTTAATTCGTCCTCTCATCAGTAATAATAGCCATATATTAACGAATTATGATGTTATCATGCATGAAAAATGTAAGATACATAATTGTCACTGCGATGCTATGTTTTTTAATATGCCGAAATCACAAGGGCTTACCTTCTGGCGAACAGTTGAGCTGATAAGCATTACCGATGATGGGCAGTGCTGTGGGATAGGGTACCTTCCTCAAGGCGTACAAAAATCTTCCTCGCTTTATCAATAAAGCTAACAGAAGTGACAGCAGACAGACAGAGAGGATCATCCAAGATCCTTCTGCCATAAAAATTGACTCTACAATCATGTTAGTGCTGTGATCAATTGTCTTCTTGCTCGATATAGGCTTCTTTTTTCAGAAGCAGTGCTTGCTCGATATAGGCTTCTTTTTTTCAGAAAGAGGCAAAACAAAATTTTTCAAATCTCTTCGTTAGATTTTAAGAATGATCTAACACTCTTCCTTTCCGAGATCTCTTTAAAAAAGAATTATGTCGAGGAATTCTGGACTCTTAATTTTTGCAATAAGATTGAAAATCTTTTCACGAGCGATTGCGGAGATCGTGTCAAGAGATCCGATCTTAATATGAACACGTTCACTAGTATTTACGGAAAAAATGCAATCTTAGGTGTAAATATATGGAGGAAACGAAAGGTCACGATCTCGTGCAAAGTCCACAGAAAGAGGACGAGAAAAAGAGAGAAGCGTCACAAGAGCTTCAAAAAATAAGAAAAATTGCCGATTTCTCAACCGCGTTATAAAGACGTGTCACTCGTGGCTGCTCTCTCCGGTTATAATGCATGATCGTACGAAAAAGCTGCCCTTATATACTACTGGAATGTCCGGTGTATTACACCAGATGGGCAGTGGCTAGCTTCCTCACCAATAAAGTAGCGAACACGTGGGACATATATGTATCTGTCTGTTTGTGTATAGATGTGAAAAGAAAACATATATTCACACATATATATTTCATTGTATACGTTTATATATGTGTGTGCGCGTGTGTAAATGAAGTCGCAGAAATACAGAAGCGAATACCCCTCCGAGATCGCCGCTCGCCCTCCCTATCGCTCATCGACATCGCCCGCAGCCTCAGTCAGGTTCATCTCTTAAGACAAGAATTTCCACATGAAAAAGAAGCGACTCCCGCCAACGTTACCGTCGATGACAGTGTGATAATTTGCATTATATGCGACATTCACTGTCAGAGATTTCGCAAAAAAAGAGTCTCGCTTTCCGTGTCGATACATCGGAGATGATAGATAATATGATGGAGGAAAAGAGATTTATTTTGTCCTATTTCGAAAAAGATGAATTTATATCAAATATGTAATGTTTAGATAATGAAATAACATTTTTTTATAATAATAACATGTAAGTCTTTATCTGTAAATCTGTCATTCGCAAATATTGCAGCTCTTGTGTGCGACATGATTTTCTTTTTTTATCATATAGAAACGTCCGTCTTGCGAAACAGACCATCAGTATATACAGTTTTTAATAGCACTATGAAATGCAATAAAAACAATAATATGTATTTTTATTAAAAAATGTAGAAAATTATATTGAGAAATATAAAATTATTAAGTTTCTGTTAGACTTGATATTTATCACGCGTTACACATTTCTTTATAATGTTTGAAAATAATACTTGCACCTTTTTCTAAAGACTTTTCTTACTAAAATAAAAAAGTTATCAATCAGAAACCAAAATAATTTGGTATATTTGGCACACAAGCATGTTCACGGAGTTACGAAGACACGTAACGATTGCGAAACTTGAAAGTGAATGTTTCCATGTCACATTTACGTTGTGTTGTATACACGTGGTATTTATATCTTTAAAATTTAGGTCAATACAATATTTTTTTTACTTTACGTGAAAAAGAATTTATATGCATTATAATTTTATTAGGGAGAGAAAAACAAAATACACATTCTAATTATTCTTTAATTAGTATTTCATTAGTTTTTATATTCATTACAAGATAATTAGAAGTAAAAAAACAATAGAATTGCTATTATAACCTGAGGCAAAAAAACGTTGCTATTATAACCTGTGGCAAAAAACATTCTCCACGTGCGGTATTATTTCATGTCTCGAATATTTATTTGTTGACTTATCTTAATCGTTTTATCATTGCGATAAATGAATAAATAATTATTTAATGATACTGATATGTTTATTTTATCACGTATATAAATAGTAAGATTCTTGCACGTGGATTATTATTTTTTGTTATTTTCTTTCTGATTCTTTGTTAAATGATTTGCTCAATAGCAAAACATTTCGGCACAAATTTAAATGATCAGAGATAAAAGAAAGATTAAAAAATTGATTTTGATAAACTGGTTTTTGAATTAGATTGATTAATTATGCATGCTATAAACAAAATAATAATAATGAATTGTTCGGCAACAATGTTTTATTAAAACATCGACAATAAAAAAAGAATTAGAAAGATTATTTCCTTGTTTCGATTATTTTATCCATTCTGCGAAATCGCAGATCTTTTCATATAAGCATCTGTTCATCGCAATAAAGTTACGTAAGAATCATATTTTCCTGTTATATCAATTAAGTGAGTCATTCCATTAATATCTTAAATTTCCACATATTTTTAATCTCTTATTTTCTAATATTGTATCTCTAATATTGTCTAGCTGTAAATATAGAATCTAGTTGTAAATATAGAGATGAATATACAAAATACAAAATCAAAATAATGCGAAATTGCTTTTTTTGTTAATTCAGCAAGACATACACACACACACGTGTGTGTGTGTGTGTGTGTGTGTGTGTGTGTCTTTTACTTGATTAAAATTATATATATATATATATATATATAATTTTAATCAAGTAAAAAAATTTCATAATACGCGATTTAATGGTAAAATTTTTCTACAAAATTTACAAATTTTATCATATGAATAAAAGTTCTGTTGTTTATACTTTGACTTGTTCATCGGGTACTCTTTACTTTTTTTAGAAGAACATGAATATAATACGATAATTAATAATACATGACATCTGCGCATATAGAATTTTTCCTGCTTCGAGACAAATATTACGCTATCAATTTAAAATAAAGACAGTATATCTCGCATCCTATAACTTAGAGTTCTATGTAAATATGTTTTAGTATATTTTTTATCAACTCCGCCATACGTATATGAAAAATATAATAAAATAATTCTATCATTTATTTTTATTAGCGATGTCATTGCAATTATATTGCTTGAAATATTTGTTATAACAAAGTACAAGATGTAGTCAATATTACCCAACATTATTGCTTTTATATCTTTTTTTATATCATCGCTTATGTATGTATGCAGTGTGTAGGATTTGAAGAATTTAATTAGAAAAATTATAGCAATGCGTCAATTCCAATTATTGAAAATTACGACGACATATTGTTTTGAACTGAATGCGGATAAAAAATCCCAAAACCTTATTAATCCATTATATCCTTATTAGTATAATTTAAATGCAATAATTTAAATACAATAAAATATCAATTTATGAAGTATACAGTGATATAAAAAATTAATATTATGAGATTTTATAGTAAAATTTTTTTAAATAAAAATTGTTTCTAAATATTTTAATAAAAAAAAGATTAAATATGGAAAGATTTGTATCTTGAAATTATTCTTTTGCATTTTGTACTCGACATTTTAAACAACGATCTCACTTGTTATATTTATGCAATCGTTTAATTATTTACTTGGTGGAAAAATAAGTGTCCTTGTTTAATACTATATATATTTATCAGTAACGTTACTTAGCACTGATTCTTCTGCGTTATAAATAACTTCAATTTAATGATCTCAATATGTTTTTTCACTTATCTTCTCTTTTATCTTTGAATTCGATTTCAATTGAAATACAAAAGTACAACATTATTTCTATATTCAACGATTTTTATATTCACATTGGAACACATATAATTAAGATATGTACATTATACATCTCAATTAAATTTATCACTAAATGAGGCCATCTTTTAATCTTTAATTCTAAATTTACATTTCGCATATATAAAGCTTCTTATCTTTCCATAGATGTCCTTCACTTACACTTGTGTTTTTTTTTTTTACGAAAGCTTCTTGATATTGTGCGGTATCTCTGTGAACAATTCTCATTCAAATCAATTCTCAAATCTTCATTTGTAAAGATATTTTTTATCTCTCGACTATGTCTTCGGCATTTTATTCACTTTTATGTAGATTAACTATACTTACTAACTTATGTAGATCAACCAGACAATAAATCGACCCCATCAAAACTCCTGATGACGTTCTCCTTCACTCGGTAAGTATATCGGATAACATCATATATGATGTCATCGACGATGATTACCTTATCGCCACGTGCCATGTGAACGTAACAAGGTCTCTGCACCACGCGTGTGAGTGCGAATGAACGGAGGATATAAGAATATATATGTATAAGAGAATACATAAGAATAAGATAGTACATACTATTACAATTTAAGAATGCACTCATTAAGTTCCATTTATTCTTCCGTTTCAAGACTGGTCTTGTTCCTCTCTAAATTTCAACTATTAATTAGTAGCAATCGATTTACACATGATTTATCTACCTGCAGTCGCTGATAATAGCCACGTGCGCGATCAAATCACTTATTTAATTTTCTGCAGAGTCATAGTTTGATTGATTACGTGTATCTTTTGACTTAGATTCGCAATGTTAGATAAATATTAAATGCTTTGCTTAAATATAATAAGTAATTAATAATTGTATTAAACTTAATTATTTAATTTTAATCCGCTTATTTATACAAAATTGTTTATAAATTAGTTATTTGTTATAAATTATTTATTATGATAAAGTTATGAATTATAACTTATAATCTAATTGCGACGCTAATTTTCATTACAATACACTAATTCAACAGTAATTTAATTTTCAAAAGTTCGATGAGATTCGATAAAATAATATTTTTGATATCCACTTGTGAGGAATTTTGTGCAGTTTTACTCAGAAACATATCAAAGATAATTGTAATATTCTATTTTTTATCATTTTTTTAAATCAGATTAAAAAGAATTCTTACTTATATTAAATTTATAATAATTTTTCATACTGTTTTTCCCTGAATCTTATTCTAGATTACAATCTACTAAACTATATATATTTTGAATCATCTTTGAAGCAATTATTGATCTTTTACCTGTTAATATTAAAAAAAATACTTGATAAATAAAAAAATAATAAAAAAATTTTAAACTGGGTGTTTGTAAGTTAATTTTATTTGCAAATTAATTATCATATTATTATCGAATCTAAATTCGTCATGCCTAAATATATTTATATATATTTAAATATAGTTGATATTCTCTTTTTCTCTCTTTCTTTCTTGTATATAAACTTAATAGTCTGATAAGGAATAATAATAAATTTAAATTCGCAGACATCATTATATTGGTATGTATGTGTTTTGAATATGCGAGTTATACTTATCGCCGTAGAAATAATCAGTATTGTGATGAAGAAGAATATATTGCAGTAAAATAACATCCATTTGATTGATATCGATTTATAGATAATTAAAATTAAATTGCGATCTTTTTCATGACTAATAACAAGAATACATTGCACAGTAACAGTAAGACAATCGCTATTTAATTGAGATCGATTCGATAAGATTTATAAAGAGAAAAAGAAAAAGAGAAAAGACAGCAAGAGAGAGAGAGAGAGAGAGAGAGAGAGAGAGAGAGAGAGAGAGAGAGAGAGAGAGAGAGAAAGAACCTATGAATTTTTTTTGAATAGGTAATTATTTACTCCCTTAAAGTAAATAATTACCTATTCGCATTCATAGATTTAGCCTACGTAAATACATATATGTATGTTAAAATCACAAGACTATTCTTATGTTGCGAGATGACTTTGCAGTAATACTTCCTAGATAAATTCAAAAAGATACATAACAAAATATACAATAAAATATACTATTTTACATACATTTTATACACGATATTTTTACAATTCACGTTACAATTGTCATTGTAATACATTGTAATAGATTCCATACATGATATTTTTACAATTCACGTTACAATTGTCATTGTAATAGATTGTAATAGATTCTTTGGACGCAAATTAAAATGATTTCGTTTTAAATGAAAATACTGAGGAGGACTGTGATTTACCGTAATTTGTCAACTTAATATTACAGTATATATTTTCTAACAAAAGCTTTTCAAAAATAAAAATTCTATCAAAGTAAAATCTTTTGAAATTAATGGAGATATATGTGATTATGGTATTGTCTACTTTTTTTTTCTTTTTTACTTTAAATTGCGAAAAGAGTAAATATTTTTATTAAGGAAAAATTAATCTTAAATTTATTAAGAAATTTATCTTTAAAAAGAATGATCTAAAGAAAAATCTAAAAAAAAATTGAGAACTCTGCAAGTAAAAAACAGATTTCACGATGAGAAATTTGACTCTAACAGCCTGCATATCTACACGTGCGCGCACATCAATAACGTAAATGCGATCTAGTTAGCAACAAGATATGTTTATTAGCATCTGAATGTTCATTGAATATCTTTTTCAAAACATTGTCGTCAATATATGCTTGCATATCTTCAGCATCTAGCTTATTCATTTTCATTATTCCAGCTTTTTTGACGCTCTTTCTATGCTAATTTCTCTTTTCAACGTGATTCTAAAGTACTATTGAGCGAATTGAAGACGAACGAAAGAATTCTAATATAGATGTCACAAAAAGACACATGTTAAGTATCTGATCCGATAAGAGATAAAAGGGATAAAATGTACAGTTCCAAAGATGACGCATGCTCGTAAAAGATTTAAGATATAAAAATTTAAAACTTAAAAAATTTAAGATATAAAAAAATTAACAACCTCCAATAAAAAATTTTAGAAGCGCAAAACTCCTGCATTGTTGTCACATTAATATTGATAAGAAATTGTGTTTGAACTATAAAAATGAAGTAAATCGATATATTTGATATTGATCGCGGTAGCGCATTTTAAATTTTAGTATTTTAATATTTTATATAATCTGTTATATCTCGCTCACTCTTTTTTTTTCTCATCTGTTATATTTCGCTGTTCTACTTCGCTCTTTCTTTCTCTATGTATTTTATTTTATGTCTTATATGTAGTAATCGCAATGTCTTTTTATCTTTGGAAGAATTTTGTAACTAGAGCGATATATTGAGAAGCGCATGTAAGTGATAATGTAACGTAAACATATCGATGTCCTAATTATGAATCGGTCACATATACAAATGTCCTAATTATAAATCGGTCACATATATGAGATAATTACAAGGCCGCTAAACTTTTTTCTCTCTTTGTTTTTTTTCTTCTTACGTTTTATTATAACGTGTATATCGACAAGATTAATGTTTTCTTAAAATTCACTTTTGTCACTATACAACAGAGATCATTTTTATGAAGTATTTGTTTCGTATTCCATTAAACGTCATAATGATTCAAAAACCCAAGAGCATCACGGTGTAAATAGAATTAATAATCGTCGAGTAATTAAAGTTTTTAGCATTAAGATATATATATATATATATATAAAACATATTTACTTTATACTAATATAATATTAATATAACAGTTTACTAGATATTAATTATATATATAAGCGAAATATTATATCTCCTTTTTTATCACATTACGACATATTAAAAACAATATTAATTAAATTAAACTTTAATGCATAAGTTTAAAAAGAATTAATAAATTTTAATAATAATAGTTTGTGTAAACAAATAAATAGTATCTAATTGTATAAATGTTTTGAAATACTTGTTTCGATATTATATCAATTTTTATTGTTCTTATTTCTTTATTTTAATTCAAGCTTGTCTAACCGCTAGTAAGAAAAAAGCCGATCCCATTCTTATCGATACGAATTTTCCCCACCATTATGCTCACAATCTCAACGCGCGGCATCATATGATTTTATTTATACAGAAGCAGATGTGTCACAATAATAAGCGATTTCTCAAATCGCACGATGCTTTTAAAGTATTTTTAATAAACTAAAAAACAAGCATTAGGAAGCGTCAAAAAATCACGAATGAGTCACGAGACGCAGCGCGGCCCGCGGACAAGCTTGTTTTAATTAGATTTTAATAAGATTAAACCAGACATATATTACTAATTTTTGAATATGTATAAATTAGAATTACATAAAATCTCTCTTATTTTATCGACGTATTCTCTTTTGTTTTTTTGCAAACAGAAAAAATTTATCTATTCATTAAACATTATAACAATGATAATATTAAAAAATGGTATTAGTATTTGTTAATATAAATATATTATTATTATAAATAAATATATATATATATATATATATATATATATATATATAGAACAAATATGAACCATATTAATGCTGTTAATAAGTATTAATTTAAATTAAATAAAATTCAAATGAAGCTTTTATTAAGGTCTATATTAAGTTCATATTTTACTATTTTTCGCGGGACATACATACATACATATATATATATATACTAATTTAAATTAAATAAAATTCAAATGCAGCTTTTATTAAAGTCTATATTAAGTTCATATTTTACTGTTTTTTGCGGGATATATATATATATATATATATATATATATATATGTATATATATCCCTCGAAAAACAGTAAAATATGAACTTAATATAGACCTTAATAAAAGCTCTTCATTTGAATTTTATTTAATTTAAATTAGTACTTATTAACAGCATTAATATGGTTCATATTTGTTCTATATATAAAACTAATTAAGACTATAAGAATGTCGAATAAAAATGTCCAGAATGTATATATACTTTGTATACTACAAAACATATGTATACATGTCGTATATTCTTAATCGACATGCATACTCATACACATATGTTTCATAGTGCAAAGTATATATACGTACTTCTTATTGTTAGTATCATTTCATTATCAAGATATTCATATTTAATTTGTCTTAATAAGGATTTAATTAGCTAATCTACTCAAATTAAATTAAATCTAATTAAAATCATAAAATATGAATATAAATCATAATATATAAATTAATAAGCCCCGAATTTTAATTCAAATTTAATTAAATTTAAAATAAGGCTTAATATATTCTTTATAAGGCAATTAAGGGCAGCGCACGTTACGCACCTGGACATCGATCATATAACATTTCTCTTAGGCAGAAACGTAAAAAGTAAAAAATTAGTCTCTTTCTATTCAACACCAATAAAAATAGATAGTTATAAAATTTTTCTCGTTTCCACCCTAGAGAAAAAGTTACATAATTGGTGCCCTGTAGTATAGCAATTACCAAAATATTGCAGTCCCAATCAATAGGCAATGTTTTTCGAATGTTTAAAAAACGTTTATCTGTTGATTAGATTAATAATGCGATTGGAGAATGGTATCAACAGGGAATGAATTATAAGATACAATTTTAAAAAATTCTTTAATAGTTTTTGCTACAAGACATTTTTTTCTGAATTGATTTTCTGAAGTTAAAGAATCACATTACAAGTAGAGTTTAAATATAAAAATATAGAATATATGTAAAAACACAAAATTATGCTCAGTAAGAAACTTGACTTAAAAAAAAGATAAGAAAATATCTAATAAAATTTATGAAATGCAACACTTTATAGACAGTAATTAACACGAATATATAAAAACAAATTTTAATCGCTAACAACAAAAAGATCTAACTAAAAAGACTGATGTAGTGGCACAAAATATTTATCATAATCATAAAAACTTAGAATACAATTTGCTAGCTCAAAAGAAAATAAAAATGAAGAAGTTATTAATATATTTCATCAAACTAAAGATCGATACTGCATGGAAGAATCGCTAAACAACTTTTTGTCATGATATTTGTAAGAGATATTATACTCTGGATTCATTAGACTGGCGCTTTTGCTCTCTTTCCCTGATTTCGCAGAGACGCACTGCCATACCACTCTGTGAGTAGAATCCTTTTTAAGACGCCAATGTTTGAATTTCTGCCATTCGAGAGCCTTATCTAGAAAATTGAGGGTATTTATAAGCAATTCTAAAGACCATTTTTTCATCAACGCAAGCAAATAAAACTTAATATATTCTAAACTTACCAATAATTGCATCTCCAGCAGGGAAATCTAGAAATTTTTTAATAGAACTTGGGTCTGCATAGGCTTGGCGACTCTTGCGTCTTGGCAGAAGACCAGACACAGTACACTGAAGAAGTGAGTCCAATATAAACCCTCCAATAGACATCTGACTGCTTTAGTAGCAGAGTTTGACGCCTCTGCAGTCTTGTATAACTTTGATGTGCAGTATACGTCATCACCGATCAGGATTCCCTTTTGAGAACAAAAAATATATAAAATGTACTTGAAGTTATAAGAAATTTTTAAATTCGATTTTTTTAATCTCACCTTGCTTTTATCTGTACAAAACATTGAGTTTGAGTTCTTGATCTGGCCTTCCTGCTTTACAATTTTATCATTTCAGCCTGTTCTTTAAATCCAGTTTCAGCTGAAATTACATTCACAGTTTTTGGAATTGTCTTTTCTCTTATTACAGTTAATTTTGTAGCCTGCAAAATAGTATCATTGACATAATATGATCCAGATAATGGTTTAATTTTGTTGGAACGGTCACTAACAATAAGAGCCAGCTTCTGCTCCAGATTCATCACACTCAGGTGATATACAATTTCTTTCGTGGCAGGATTCAATGCCAATTGTACATTGTTAGCTCCATTATTGTGAATAACGTCTTCAGAACTCTTCTTACCTGGGGCATATAAACTTTGTAATAAGTGTTCATTAAAGGACATTGCAAAAAAAAGAAAAATATATATACTTCTATTCTGAGGAAATAAGAACGACTGAAGATTTTCTTTAGACAAAGAGATGAATAAATTCAAAGAGGCTAGCTTTGTAAGGACCTTTATATCAAGCATGGCAGTCGCTAAGCGAGTCGCTACCTGTAAAAAAATTAAAATTTAGTAGAGATAATAGTAATAGTAATGACTGTGTATAAGTTTTGCAAGAAATATTTACTTTCTTCACTTGTTTATCTTTAATATTATCTATCTCTTCCTCAGATCCATTATATAAAGATATGTGTTTATCTTCTTCATCTTGCCAAATGGGTGAATAATAAATTTCAGTAAAAACAGAGGATAGCAATTTCTACATAAAATTGAAGCTACCTCGTGAATCTTTTGCTCTCTATTATTTTCTGCAGAGTCACTGTCATTTTACGTCACTACTGTATATTTTTTCTCTTTTCGATTTTGTTGCAGAACAATTTGTTACAGTTACTTTCTTTCTTTCCAGAGTATTCTGCAGGAATATATAGTCACAGTAAACTTTCAATACAAAGGCGTTTATGATTACATTCTTATATTATATTCATGATTATATTTGTTGTAATGGAGTTTCTGGTTTTTTCTTTAGACACTAAATCCACATATATCATTTAAATTACATAAAGTCAGAAGCAGATGCAGTAAAAATAACCTAGTCAAAATGATGTCAAAGTGACATCAAATTGATGAAGAGTATGATGTCAAAATAAGTGACCAAAATGATGGCAATGATATTACTGTACATACCACGAGTTGCAATGAAGCCTTTAGAATCAGATTCGAATGACGAAACATATTTTGTCAAAAAGTGCATGAGACTGTCTCGGAAAACTCCGGATCCCAAAAACCTTTAAAAAGATTATATTTGTTATATATAACATAAAAAAGTAATAATGAAATAAAATATTAAACCTTCTAATGTATTTGATCGCTCATCAAATCGATGTATCGATGTCGCGAGCATTGATTCTTCCGTTTTTGAAATTCTTCGTCTGACAAATTTTTATAATACTAAAAATGAAATATCATGAATTACTTATTTATTAAAAAAATATTTAGATTTATTTATATTTATATTTATATTTATATTTATTTATATTTTTATTTATTCATAAAAATTACAAAAGTGAGCGAATTCACTAGGTATACCAATGAAATTATAAATATTCTAGTAAATTCACTCAATTTTTGTAATTTTCACTAACAATAAGTTTTTAAGTTCACAATCGACCTCCAGCCAGATAGAAAGTGATGATAAATGACAATTTTGACATATTGACATCATTTTGATTAGGCTATTTTCACTGGCCGCCTCAAATCTGGGAGAGAGGGACATGCCTTTAAACAAAATATATATACATAACATATATATATATATATATATATATATATATATATATACATATGCAAAATAATTCTGTGTCGACTTTCTCTTTAAATTATTCGTTTTGTTCTAATTTCTAATTAATGTTTCAATTTAATTTAAAAGTTCATAGATTGTATTCGATAGCAAAATAAAATCATATAATGTAAAATATTATATTTAGAGATATTATTTATAGTAAAATTTAGAAAATATATTTACATGTAGTAATCAGAAAAAAATACATAAAAGAAAAGAAAACTGATATCATTTAAATATTTTTTGTTATTTAAAAAATTAATTATTTTTTTATATATTGCATTTTAAAAATATATAATTGTAAAAAATATTTAGATTTATATTTAATTAGCAACAGTTTTTATAAAGCGAAATATTTCGTAAAAAAATAATTATTACTCTTTTTCTTATCCCTAAAAATTTTCACTCTTATTAAACACATGACTGCAATAATTAAATTATTTGCGAAAAATATTTTATTTTTATGTTGTGAATTTCAGGCTAACATCCTCATTATTGTGTCTTTTTCTTTTTCTTTCCCACATATTTACCGATAATAAGAAAAAAAATGATCGTTGACCAGTTAGGAATAACGGGTACGTCGACCGCGTTCTTTATGAGGAAAGCGAGAACCGTAGTTACAAGTTGCGTGGGTTTATGGAAAGAAATCGAAGGAGGAAGAACCGTAAACGATTTCATTTCTCTGAAAAATCTCAGCCGTGTTAAGAGCAAATAAACTACGATCTTATTTTGATCTTTGTTTTTGATAAGAATATGTCGTTCCAGTTCATTTTCTTTGGTGTCAGCGTTCTTTTGCATTGCTGCGTGTTCGGTTTATCAGGTGAGTCGAATTATTCGATAATTATACATAGAGATAAATAAATAAATATTTTCTCTTGAATATTACACTTTATACATTATATCTGTTAACAAAAAAATAGAACTAATAATAGAAAATCTGTTAATTAAATTTATATAGCTTAAATTATATTATATATTATATTAAATTATATAGCTTACATTTATATAGTAACTGAATAACTGCAAATAAAAATAGTTAAATATTTATTATGTAATTTTAAAAAATGATGTATTAATAATATTTGTACGCATAGATATATTATAATATTATAATATTATAATAGATATAATATTGTACATATCATTCCCATATGCATGCTAAGATAAAATAAATATTTAACATATTTTCTATTTATAACAATAATAACATTTATTTCAGATTGTAAATCCATTAAAAACAGCATTAAACATATTAAAAATAAAATCTAAACATATTCTATTAAACATTAAGACGATAAAATATAATATTTTGAACATTTTTTTATATATAGAAATATGTTTGACAGATATTTCAAATAAACTTGTGTGCAATTTATAACAATCGAAAATATATGAACTCTGAAAAAAATAAAGTCTTTTATTTTAACAAATAATATTAATCGAAAACTGTTATTTTTTTAAAAATTATTTTATTATATAAATTTATTGCCTTAAATATTGTCTTAGATATTATTATTTGACAAAAAATATTCTTACGATCTATTTGTTTCAGATGAAGATAGAAATTTAATTAGCAATCATGCATTAAATGCAACAAATACAATGAATGCACCATTAACGCCTTTGCCAAAAAATGAAGTACGACAATTTCAAGGAAATTATCATTTTCCTTCATTTACATCTGGATCGCAAAGGTGAGTTTATCATAAATTTCTATGTATATTATATTTTTATATTTATTATAACAATATTTTATATATTTATATATATTTATAATATTATATTTTTATAATATTATATTTATAATATTATATATATTTATATATATTTATATATATTTATATTTTAATATATTTATTATTTATATTATTAATATTTCATATTTATTATAACAATATTTTTTATATAACATTTTATTACAACATTTCTGTATTGCGACTTACAATAATACGTAATCAAACATAAAATATTTAATGTTAAGTAATTAATATCCTTTTTTTATTTTTCTTTTCACATATCATAACATATTATTATATATTATAAAATACTAAGGCTATTCAGAAATTACACAGATTTTTAATATTACTCAGCATGACGATAAATTGCAAATAACACTAATTTTCAAAATTACTTCGTTTAAAATGGAATATTCTATATTTAAATCTCATTATGTATCATCATTAACAATTATTTAAAGTGATGTACTATAATAATAAAAAATTGTTTGTCCCAAGTTGTTAGTCAAAAACTTGGTTAAAAGTAATGAATAATGTTTTAGTTAGATTTTTTAGCTTACGCCTACTGCTCTCCTCTTATCTCTCGTGCCTTAGCGACCGCGCCATCGAACGCTCATAACGTATATGTTCTGTAACAATTAAAAATATTTATGTTTTAAAACGTAATTAATAATAGAATAATTATTTTTATTATTAATAAATAATAAAGAGAACTTAGATAGATTGTCACATTACATTTGTGACGCGCACGTTCCTGAGCGTTCCGTAATTACGAACGATGCGAGCGATAAGAGGAGAACAATAGGTGTAAGCTAAAAAATCTGGCCGCAAGTTGCAAGTAAATCTCACTTTTAGATAAATGTTGATGACGCTTATATGTTGAAAATATGTATATATTGAAAATTTATACTAATTTAATTTAATTAACTGACATCAATTTGTTGATTTATTATATTGTACATGCAAGATATTGTTAATCTGAATCTTTATACAATTCTTTCACATTATTAGTACCATTAATGTCAAAATTAAAAGATCGAAGTATAAATATCAGTAATTATATCACCAAATTTTAACAGAATAATAAATATATATATATAAATTAAAATGAGATTTAAAAACATGTATATATTACGAATAATGATACTTACACATTTCTGTTTCAGATGTCCTTTGTGTGATAGTTCGGTATATCCTTATTGTGGCGAGAAACTGTTACATGATGCCTGCTGTTGTGTCGATTCTCATGATTTGCCTTATCAATGTAGATTAGCGGACTGCCGATTTCTGCATGCCAATACTTGTAGGGAACACAGATTGATCGCCAATTGTTGCTGTAGCGACGATTATCGAGCTGTCTTAAAAAGTTTCGCACAAAGATAAATTTATTATATAATACATATTTATCATCCGTGGCAAAAAATATAATCGAATAATTTGGGAGAACAAATAAAATATGCAATATATAATTTCATGTTTCATATTTGTATTAGAAATAAAATAATTAATTATTAATAAAAAATAAAAATTATTAGAAAAATAATAGAAAATAATAGAAGTTAATACAATAAATAGAGAACTAAAAAATAAAAAAAATGCGATTATAATGAGAAGAATATTTATAATTATTGTGAAATAAAATTTATTATGAAGTAAAATTGAGTAAAACATTTAGAATATCTTTCTCTAAAGTAACAAGAAAGAAATAATAACAATATCATTGTAGAATATTTGTTTTTCGAGAAAAAAAATATCTTTTCGTCTGTACAAAAAATGTCAATAAGTACAGTGATGCCAAAATGGACATACTCACACCCGACAACGCATCTATTATATGATATCAGTGATCTCATTGCTAAATTGCGACTAATAAGGTCATTGATGAAATCGGGTGATAGTTTGGTTGCCCGCACTTCAGCGAGCAGCGTTAAATGAATAATAAATGCGTGTCGAATATGCGCATTTATGCCAATAAATAAAATTATCATTGATGAAAACTGTTGAATCTTTTTTTTTTTTTTTTTTACATGGGGAAATGCATTTACGCATACCCCCGCCCTTAGGGAAAGGCGGAGATTATGCGGGACTCCGAGGGATAATCTCGACTACCCGCTAAAACCCCATGGTGACCGCTATCGCAATTGGGGGACCACGGGATCGCTTACGCACTCGGCTGCGACCCCCTGCATGCAAGACCCCTCTTCAGTTAACAGAGAGGATTCCCTACCAAATATTGGGGTGTTATACACCCCAACCTTCGACGAATATGACGACAAGACGCGGCCACGCAATCTCGTCGCCCCTCCAGGAAGGAACCTAAGGGGGGAACGTCTGTGCCCTCAACAGCACGTCCCCCAAGTCCCTAGTCGAGGGAGAGTGAGTCCTCATCGACCTGCCACTGGAGGTGATACGGGGAAAGTTAACCCCGGAGGCGTTAAGCAAGCCGGACATATGCCCTTCTCCTTGCACCTCCTTTCAGAACTGTCGAACCTGGTGGAATTTCATTCCTCACTAGAAACATAAAAATATAGATAAGAGAAAAGTCCTTGTTTGCATTACAAAATTCTCAATTATATATCATTTCTCAATTATCTATCATTTGTAACATTAAAAACTACATCTTAATCACGATGCAGCAAATAAGAATTGATGAGAACTATGGAACCTGGTGGAATTTCGTTACTCACTAGAAACATAAAAATATAGATAAGAGAAAAGGAGAAAGAGATAGACTTTTGTTACTAGATTAAGACCCTTATTCTGTAAGCCTTAACAATGTTGTTATGTAACGATTGTCATTAACGAATGACTTTTCTTATTCTGTAAATAGTAACTGTTGTTAATTAATGATAAAATGCCGACGAAATTGTCGTAAACAGCCAAAGAGGTGTTGTTAAATGAAATGATGTTGTTATAAGATACATTTTAATCTATAATATTGAGATCTTGCCACTACTATGGTACACCTGCATGACAAGTCGAAATTTTATTTGTGCGAATTAATAATACATCGGTCTTCAATAAAAAAAAGGAGTTGATTTCAAATAGCGTAAGTCCGCTGTATTTAATACTGCTGTAAGTAATTAATTTTGAAATTATTGTTCAACTATAGACATATGAAATTATTTTTTGTAAAATCAAACTTGTTTAAAATAATTTACAATTTGCAACAGAATTTGAGATAAAAACCAATTCATAACTTTATTAATGAGAAACGTTATTATTAATGTGCAATTACTTTTTTTCTCTTTTCAACAATTAAAGAAATGTGATATATGTAAATTACATATCACACACGCATACACAAATAAAAAAAAATATTTTTTAAAATTATAATAAAAGGATGAACGTGAATCGAGTATTAATTGAAGTAATATTACACGAATTACAAAATCGGTGAGCGTTTCAATATGTGTTTATTAAATATAATAAATATGTGTTAAAATTAAATATGAAGATTTCTTCTTTTTCTTCTGAATTTTCAAAAATTAATCGGAAAATAGAACATTTTAAAGATTTGTTAACTATATTTGACAGAGCTGCTCTTGAAGAATTGCTTTCCGTTTGTGACATACTACCAACATTGAAAATCTATGATTTCCATTACACATACTATAGAAAAGTAGTACCAACCTTCTAAAAAACGTCGTTAAGCAGAGGTAGTCATTCGTACCTGAACGACATGCTTATAGAATAACTAAAAGAGGTAGTTGAAATCGATCAGCACTGGCAATATTTATTGAGTTAAAAAATCACAATCACGACGTTTCGACCATAGGTTTTGGTCCTTAAAAAAATAGGCTTTAGAGTCGTTTATAATGTGCCTAAAAAACTCAACTCATTAATTAAACGTGGTAAAGATAGGTTGCCTATTAATAACAGAACGGAAGTCGTTTACAAACTAGACTGCAAAAATTGTAACGTATCATATATCGGCCAAACAAAAAGACATGTAAGCACTCGCATAAAAGAACATCGCAACAACATCAAAGTGCACGAAAGTAATTTTTCCGTTATTAGCAAGCATAGAGTGGAATTTAACCATGACTTCGATTGGTCATCACCGACTATTTTACACAATGAGAAACACGTGAGAAAGAGAGAAATTGCCGAAATGTTTTATATAAAAAAGTTTGACAACACGATTAACTTACAAAAGGACACTGAAAATTTAAACGATACCTATGATAGAATAATAAAGGTTGTCTAGTCTTTCTCTGTGTGTTAATGGAGACAGTGACATGATAATCTTGACGAAGTGATTTCTTATTTCTCACGATAGAACTGTTAATTTAATTACTGTATGTATATATAACTTGTTGCTCAAATCTTACTCGAACATCTATGTAATTTAGTATCAGTTATTTTTCTTGTTGTTGTATTATTGGAAATAATTTTTTTTTTTTTGTAGTTCACTCGAAAAGGACCAAAACCTATGGTCGAAACGTCGTGATTGTGATTTTTTAACTCAATAAATATTGCCAGTGCTGATCGATTTCAACTACCTCTTTTATTTATTTATTGGCGATCTTCAAGATAATTTAAATTTATAAAATAACTTTTTCCAAATTGTCATTAAACAATCATTCGTAAGAGAGTCGTTAGTACAACGATGTCGTAAAATAACAACAAGTTACAAAATAGGGGTCTTAATCTAGTACCAGGAGACTCTCTCTTTTTTTCTATAATTTCCTTTTCTAATATATAGGATATGTATTCTATTAAGCAACAAAAATATAGAGAATATACAGAGTAAATAGGACATATATTTTAAAAATAGAATTTTTCGTCTTGTTAACGTGGTGTTATTTTTAGACGAAGTCCGTTCGCATTTACAAGTACTAATTCCGATATAAAACGCAATTAATCTTCTGTATCGAATGCCTCCACGCGGAAAGCTTTTAGCACGGATAATACAGCCACCGATGTGGCAAATCTCGAGCCGATACAATTTCGTGATCCAGCGCTAAAAGGGATGAAAGTGTAAAGCGGTAATTTTGGACTATCCGGCAAAAAAGAAACGCTCCGGACGATAAATATGCGGATCGGGAAAGTAACGAGAAACACGATGCAGCAGATAAGAATTGATGAGAACTGTTGAACCTGGTGGAATTTCGTTACCCACTAGAAACATAAAAATATAGATAAGAGAAAAGTTCTCGTTTATATAGCATAATTCTTAATTACATTTGTAATATTAGGAAATACATCTTAAAATCTGTTGCTTAATAATTGTTCAATAAAAATATTTTCTATAAATGTTTATTATTTATATCAACTGATAATGTTATATATCTATGATATATAACACTAATCTATATTAATCTGATATTTAATCTTTAACAATTGACTCGAGATAGTTGGGACAATCAATTATATTGATGAAAAATAAGATAAAATAAATTTTCTTTTCGTAAATAAGAAAATGACAATAAGAGGATGATTTTATCTTCATTTGGCTCCTCCGATGATCTTTGACAAAATCTTTAAATATATTCTGCGACGCCGTCGCCCGCCTCGGGAACGCCGCTCCCGAGGAGGTAGCGTGCAAATTTGGCGGTGTCAGTAATTGGCGGTATCGAGATCTTAAAATGGCGGTAACGGTATCTTAAAATGGCGGTAACGTACGGTAACAGAATCTCCCACAAAAAAGGAGATAGAATATGGGCGCCAGGCGCGGTATTTCCGCGCCACGATATCGAAACGGTAACGGCAAGCTCAGTTTATGGCAGAGGGGCAGAGTTCTTTGCGAATTATTTATCGTAAGGGGGGAGAGAGAAAAAGAAGGAGATCACGAAGGGGGAACTCGATTCATATTAACAATGTTCCTTATTTACAAAAAAAATTAATTATTAGAATAACTTGTTTAACATATTGTACGTAATAATTTAACTTTTATGTTATATATTGCTTGGTATGTTATATATTATGTATGTTGTTTAGATTTAGTTTTTATTTTAACAATAATATTTTTTTTGAAATTAATAAGGTGATTTTTTAAAGAAAGGCGTACATATTGGCCAAGAGTGGATTTCTATCATTTATGCTTTTTCTATTCTTTATTTCTTTAATTGATTATATCTTTTACATGCATAATAAATATAATTTATAGAATTTATAGTATTTATTTAAATATTAATTTTAAATATTAATTTTATTTGTGACAATTAAACTAGGAGAAAAGATGGCGAGATTGAAATGGACACTGAAGCCTTGCCGCCTTTTGTGCAATTAAGGACGTGCGAGTGGACGGCTCTCACTTCGATTGTCGAGAAGGGCAGGAGCCTTCCGTCCAAAAAGACAAAGAGAGGGCTTTCGGAGGACACTAGGGAAACCCAGTTCTTCCCGGAGCCCTTTCCCCAAGAAATGCAGTTCTCCGAGAAAGAAAAAGGAGATTACGAAGGAGGAACTCGATTAATATTAATAATACTTATTTAC